TAAAAAAAAAATAATTAAGGAGGACAGACTTTTTCATATACTCTATTTATGTAACTGCAAAGTTTAATTAATACCTTGGAGTCAGCAGATGACAACAGTTCTGAGAATTTGAAAAAATTTGGTCTATTACAATATCTACTAGGAAGATATTTTTTTCTACATTCGGAAAAAAATTTACATTCTAAAATATAGTGATACTCATCAGCTATTTGTCCATTATTACAAAGATTACATAGTCTATCATTTTTGGGAATTCCAAACCATCTGGACAGTCTCAACTGGAAGACGATGATTTGCTGTTCTTAGTTTAATTAAAATTGTTCTAAACTTTTTTGGTAGTAAGGCTAAATATTTTTCAAGTCCAAATTCTGTTTTGAAGAAACTATAATTGAGACCTTTAGACGAATCGCGCATATTACTTCTCCACTTCTGTATGTACTGATCTTTAAGACGTTGTTCAACTATAGCTTTTAGCCATTTAATATTTAAAAAGTTCTGTTCATTCCATACATTTGAGAAGCCACAGCTATCAAGTATATTCTTAATACATGTACATAAAATCCAAGGGTTCTTATGACTCCCTGAACAAAACTGTTCAAATAAATGTCTATATGTAACATAAACAATCTTATTTTCAGGGCTTACCAATAATTTTGCCCAATAGGATATCATTCTTGAATACACTGTTATATACAAAGAGAAGCGACCTGTTTCGCCATAAACCATATAACTAGGAGTACTACTTTTTAGATTAAAAATAAATTTCAAAAATTTAAGATGAACGCGTTCAATTATTTCAATGTTCTCAAAACCCCATATCTCACATCCATACAGAAGTAGTGGAGTGACAACTTTATCGAACAAATCAAGCTGGCAATCTACTGGTAAATTAAATTGTCTAATTTTTCGTATAATTCCATACATGGCTTTTTGAGCTTGCTCACATAAATGTTTTTTAGTTTTACAGAATGAGCCTGATCGGGAAAAGAGTATACCTAGGTATTTAAATTCGTTCACAATTTCAATAACAGAATTATTGTAATAAAATACATTTTTAACAGATAGACCTTTCGAAAAAATCATAATTTTTGTTTTGTCTACATTGACATTCAATTTCCATTGTACACAATACGAATGAAACTCATTAAGAGCATGCTGTAAACCCTCTGCAGATTCAGACATTATAACTGTATCGTCATCATAGAACAGAATAAATAATTTAAAATACAGGAGAGGTGATAAATTTTCTCCTTGGCGGACACCAATATTACAATTGTAAAATTCAGATGAAAGACCATTCATAGTCACAAGGGACTTGACTCCATTATACATGTTTTTAATAAAAGTAAAACATTTACCGCTGATGCCATTATTCAACAGTTTGTACCAAAGTCCATTTCTTCACACAGTGTCGAATGCCTGTTTGAAATCAATAAAAGCACAAAAAAGTTTCTTTTTGAGGGACATCACCATGTTTGTAAGAAAATGTAAACTAAGTATGTTATCCAAGGTAGAATAACCTTTCCGGAAGCCAGTTTGACTTTCGCTTCTCTACATAACATTCCAAGCGTTTACATAAAATGGAGGTAAAAACCTTACCAAGGCAACTTAAAAGTGTTATTGGACGATAATTTTCTGGATTTGTTGGGTCACCTTTATTTTTAAAAATCGGTTTGACAATACCCGTGAGCCATTCGTCTGGAATGATTCCACTATCGAAAATCAAATTAAACAATTTCTTATATAATACAGGCAAAAATATAGCTATTGTTGATGAAATGTGTTCATTTAACAACTGGTCGTAGCCTGCGGCCTTATTATTTTTCAATTTTTTAACTGCACATAAAATTTCTTCCTCACTAATCTCTAAATTCAAAAAATCATCACAACAACAACAATCTGACATGATTGTAGCTCTACGACTTTAATTGTACATATCAACATCTGCAGTAACAACTCTAATAAATAAGAATCATGAACTCTGGTTTAGTATACTTAGATATATAATATTATTAGATAGAAAAATTACTGTTTAGGACGAATTCCAATATTACCCGGGCTGAGTAAGCATTACAACAATGCTTATCTATATCCAATGAAAATGATACACTATTACGTTTCTTAGACTAATCCATGTGTGTACTGTGTACGAAGTCATACACTGAAATTGGACCAAAACAGTAGGAGGGGTGGTGTTTTGAAAGTATTTCAGAAATTCCTCATTGAAGTAAACGTGGCAACACTAGCCGTCAATATTAACAGTATTATGTCTTAGTTATATATAGTGTACTTGTGTACAAAGTCTTGTTGAAATCAGATCAAAACTGTTTTGAAAATTTGTATAAGGGAAGAACATTAAAAAAACTAGAAAGGTTGCTATTGACATAGCTTAGGATAACTTTCATTTTTTGTCATCATTATATCAAAACCCATTATAGCTAAGCTTGGAAAACCATCAAGTCAGTCCTTTCAGTACTTTGCTTTGATTTAAAATCAAAGTTAGAATTCACTTTGTCCCTGTTTTGGCAACAGACAATTTGCAATTTTTAAATGCAAATCGCACAATTACATATACTAACCATTACAACAACAAAGTTTCATATTTCGCGGACAAAAGTCAAAATTCGACGCTTTTTGCAGGTTTCCATGGCAACGGTAGCCATTTTGAACTTGAATGACCACATGGCACAACTACAACCAGTTTCAGGAAGATTGTCCCAGCCATCTCTGAGAAAACCCTGGACAAAAAACATGAACTATACTATCAAGAGGATAATATGGTGTCCTGCAACGTAAATTCATTCAGACTGAGATTATATTTCACCAAAAGTCAATCTATATCTTTTTGAATTGAACAACATATGGGTCGTCACGTCGTCACGTCAGTATAAAAAAATTCACTTACCGTCCAATCTTAACTGAATTTCGGCGGCATGCAGAAGAAAAAAGATTGATTGATTGTATGTTGTTTAACGTCTCTCCACCCCCTCTCTCTCTCTTTCTTGATCGATCGAAATTTCCACTCATATGGAGACGCCACCACTTGCCGGTGGAGAACTGCAAATTTTGTCCTATACTCGGCACTTATGGCCATTGAGCAGTGAGGGATCTTTTTCGTGTCAGCTCCTACTGCGACACGGGAGCTCGGTTTATACGGTCTCATCCGAAGGACCGATCGCCAAGTCCCACAGTGGGATAAAGGGGAAAAGAAGGCAAAAATTGGGATGCTTTTTTAATGTTTTATTCATTAAATGTGAGTCTGTGACATCATATTTAAGCACTAGATGTATTGTTTAAAATACAGAACAACAACAGAAACAAAAGAAAACTTTTTTTAATCTGTAGAATTAGAAGACAGTAGAAAAACAACAATTAAGCTAAAATACAACAAAAAGCACATGCCAAGAAATATTGATTAAAAGAGTAAATAACAAATGCACATTTATGTAATCTACATAAAGTGTAAACTATTGCACTTCAACAAAATCAAAAATCTCACCCTTTTTCTCCATTTTTTTAGTGAAAGTAAAGCAAACCAACATAATTCAAAATTTCTTATTATAATCATTCCTTTCTCTCTGAAAATAAAGTATACAATGCTTCCATTTTATTAACAGTATAGTCAAAAAATTATTTAGAAAAAAATTCAGATATCAGAGGATTCAAGATATCTGGGTTAAAATGCATCAATAAAAATTGGTTGGGACTTCTAAATCACTTCAATATATCAATGATATTCAAGATATGGAGGTTCAAGCTACAGAAATTGAACTGTATATTATTAATTTGTTTGTATAACTACATAATTATATAACCAAAATAAACACTTAAATGATAAATGGTTTTCAAAAAAAAATATTTATTTGATATTCCGCTTATTATCACAGGCTTTTTATTAATATAAAGTGGATGACATGATTTTTCATTGTCATAGGTTTGCAAGCATGTATGAATGAATACTGTAGGTTTCTTTAAGATAGTATTTATACAATAATATGCATCAATCAAGAATAATATGAGTTCTGCCACAGGGGCATTTTATCCGCTCTGTTCTCTATTACATGTAATTACTGTTACACATTTAAGCCTTGTGTATTTCATAGAGAACTGAGAGGATACATGTATGATGCCCCTGTAGTAGTTCTACCAACATCATTGTACAAATAAATGACTGTGTTTAGATGTGTAATACATGTACAATTTTTCATGATTGCAAAAAGTAAGTGAAAATACTTGTCAACTCTAAACTTGAAACATATATATGTTACCTCTTAAATTAAGCACTTTTTTCAAAATGTAAAAAAAAAAAAGTGATTTAAATATTATTGTCTAAATTAAAGGTAAAAAAATGACTAGTAAAATTGTGTTCATATTAAGTAGTAAAACCTTGTTAGAGAATATTTCTTGAGTGCTAGCATCAAGTTTTCTCAAAAGCGTGCTCACAGCAAGAACATATTTTTTTAAAGGATTTTATACACATCATACAAGACCTCTAGTAATATTAAGGGTGTAGCTAAGGGTTATCTGATGTGAATGCAAAGGCAGGTCTTGACTTTGGGCCCCCTTAGCCCAGTTTGAAGCTTTTGGAAGCTGCTGAGGCCTTCCTGCCATATTACGGTAATTAAAGCGTCTATACACAGATATTGACAGGCACTGAATATGAATTTATAAGTTCATAACTTCCGCTGATTTATCAAACATTGATAATTTATATTGTTGAACATTAGAGGAGGTGCTTAAGCTATTTATTTCATCAGTAGAAGTATTAAGATGCTATATGAGGGTATGTTTTCTATTTGAATTCCTATATTACTTTGAAGTTAGATACTGTTTACAATGTAGGGGATGGGGAAAACCTTGCAATCTCATCTTAGATATTACTGTGGAATTAACAAAATTCATTGGGGCCAATTTTTGTGGATTGTCTAATTTTTTACAAGTTCAACAGGACATTATTTCGTGCATTAACTCGTGTCTACATAAGGAAAATGCATTTTGTTGAGGATATAAATTTGTGGATGCCGGGTACCCAAAAATTCAATGAATATTGGGCCACCATGAAATTTAAATGTTTCCACAGTGCACATATATGTTTTTGCAAATCATTAATTTTAGGAATTATTTCAAAAGACGATATGGTAGCATTTGCAAATGCCCTGTACATGTATTAAAAAATGAATTATTTTCAAAATTACACTAAAATTTGTACATTGTTTTCTTTCCTTGAACTGGGTAGATATTACAATGTATAATGTAAGTTTGTTTTGAAATAAAATTAATAAATGTATATCCACATGTACAGTTTTGCTCCAAACAAATAATTCATCATATTTTCATTTTCTGAAGTTTTATACATTATACAGTGTATTGTTGCAATCTTCACTGCTTTATGAAAATCAATGATGAAAAATGTGAAGAAGAAGCTTAATTTCATAAATGTACAAACAATGAATCCTTAGCCCCATGTGTAATCTCCTAGGGTTTTTTGACCAAAGGAACTCAAACCATAAAAGAAACTCTATGGTATGTGGATAAAACTTCAGTGAGCACACAAACAATGTGGAGTAGCTAAGAAAAGAAACCAAACCTATACGATATCACAGATAAGTAATCTCATCAGTGGTAGACACTAAGCCATAATACGAATCTTTCAGTTCACTCTCTACTTGCAATTGCTTCAGGCATTCTAAAGTCTCGCTGAACTTCAAAGAACCAGGGCTAATGTCCCCCTCACTCTGCTCACTTGGAGAATAGATTTCTTTAATGCTTTTAGAGTCCTCAGTGCTCTCCGATTTCTGGATTTTCTCTCCATCCTTCTCTTTCTCCCAAACAGAGGGTAATCTCTTTAGAATTTTGATTAAACATCCTCCATTGCTGATTGAATCTTCATTTTCCTTGACTGTGAAGTCACCCTCTTCCAACTGGTTTAATTTTTTCTCGTCTTCTGAGGATTTCGGTGTGGTTTTTACATGCAGTACCACCTGTCCATCTGACTGCGTTTCTAGGTCAGCTGTGGTCATGTGACCTTCTCCATGTCCACCTGTCACAAGGACTTGGCTTTCTTCCTCAACCTCCAAAATGGTGGATGAATTCTTATCATCATCATCTTGGTTATGGATGATAACTTTCACATTTTCATTCTTTCCTGCTTCCTCATCTTCCCTTCCTTCACTGGCCTCTTCCTCATCCTCTTTAGATGAAAGTGTACTTCCATCATCATCCTCAGTGCCTTGTAATGTAGTTTGTGTACTCTGATCACCATGAATTACAATATCCTGAATTTGTGCTTCTACAAAATCAAAATATTTTATGATGAATCAAATACTAATTACAACTTAAGAAATATTTTGAGTGATAAAAGTAATTTAAAATTATAATCACTGTAACAAATCTTGCCTTTAAAATATATTTAAGAAATTAATTTAATTTTTGAAGATTCATGAGGTTATGAACTACGACGCTTCACGCCCGCTTATTTCATGAAGTGCGTTAGCGCTTCATGATAAATATGCCGGCGTGAAGCATTGTAGTTCATATACCTCATGAATCTTCAAAAATTAAATTCATTTCTTATATACATTACTTTTCTAATGACTTGCCATAAATTTATGCCATTCAACTGTCATTTTTAAAGCAAAACAGTGTGCATTATATTTTTTACGTCAAGTGCAGTATTATGATGTAACAATGGAGATATTCATGCTTATTCCTGGTACATATGTAATATAGTTCATGAGAAAATGAACTGCATTTTATTTTGTAAAGAATCATAGTGGAAATTTATTGGAAATGTAAATATTTATAAATATGCAAGGTCATTTATTGTATTATACAGCTGTAGTACATTCTTTGCTTTACACAAAAATACAACAATGCATTTAACTTAAAACTAATATGTCCAGACAATGTGAATTCATGTACTTCATAATTTCACATGAGGAAAAAAAATTTATTTCCTTATGTCAGGTGTAGAGAGTACAATGATCAATAGCTAACCCTAGTATCCCTACCTTCTCAAACTCTTTTTTATATTCTGCTTAACAATTATTTTGCATTTAGTTTGTTCTAACATTATAACATGCCAAAGACATTTTATATAATCATATCACTATATACTACATGTAATAAAAATCTTAGTTAATAAGTGATAATTATCTAGGTTTTTTTATTTATTTTTCAATCTTTCTTCCTCTGATAGACTCTGTCATTACACTTGAACAGATTTGAATCTCCTTAATCAAGTTAACCTAAAGATTTTTTAAAACATACATGTTTTCCACCAAAGAGGTTAAAATTAAAAATGTGAAGATAACAAATGCTGATCAATCTCAAAAAATCTTAAAACAATATAAATCTGTGTAGAGGGGATAAATGATGGGCCCCTTAAATTCCAGAGGTGGGATCAGGTGCCTAGGAGGAGTAAGCATCCCCTTTCAACTGGTTAAGAAATAAAATGGCTTAATAATTTTGTAAAATCCATTAAATACTGTTAACTAACTATTATTCGCATCATCTTTTATTTGGGATTCGTCAGTTTGAAATCAATCTGCGACGATTAATTTTCACAAATAAGGAAACATTTTCTACAAAAACAAAGCAAAATAAATGGTTCGCAGCAATTAATATTCGCAACTTAAAGTAGATCGCGAAACTCATGATTATTTCTCGCACGTAATAAAAATTGGTTTACAGTATATTTAAAAAAAAAAATTAAAATCCTAAAGCATGAAGAAACCTTGGCCTAATAATTTTGTAAAAGCCATGAAAAATATCTGAAAGTTAATAATTTCCAAGAGAATGAAAAAACCAATCTGTAACTTGAATGCATGCTAACAGGGCTCTCACACCACTTCTTGGGACTGTGGCCGGGGCCGTTCAAATTGGGAAAACTATCGTCATTTTGGGAAAATCTGGATGACCAACATTCATTTTAAAAAAATCCTCAAATTTTGCATTTCTAGAAGTCACCAATTTAACTCTGGTTTTGAATAAACAATTAAACAGAACAAACATGGTAACCTAGGCTATTTATGAAAGTACATTAGCTTTGCTCATAACTATCTTTGGGTGTTGATATTGCGATTATTTGTCTTTCTGAGTGAAAGTCGTTAGTCACATCATCCCGAATTTCCTCGATCACATGGTCATCGTTGCTTACATTGTACCAATTCAGTGCGCGACTGAACATGCTGAAGTGTGTTTCTAGGTGCAGCTTACTAATGTTTAAATGAAATGTCTTACCAATATAATGAATTTTTGTGGATTTTCTTGACAAAATACTATGCACTCATTATTACACATTTCTGTAATAACACTAACCTGGTTCCCTGAACCAGTTTACGAATGCATTTGGCGCGAACTAATAAATAGTCATACAAAGAATTGGTTTGTTTAACTTTCATTTGCAAGCGTGTTTTGTTTTAGAGATGAAGTTTCATGGACTTTATTTTTTAATTTATATTTTGCTATGGAAATTGGGAAATTTACATCTTTCTTTTGGGAAAAAAGTACCTTTTTTGCATTGGGAACGGGGCCGAATATCGGCCCCAGTTTTAGAGAATCGAGAGCCCTGGCTAATGTGACTATGTAAGCTTTATTGACATACGTAGTGCCTCCTCAAGGCTGAGTTGCATGGCCTCTAGAAAGTGAGCATCATTCTGCATCCTCAGGTCCTCTTGCTTTCTTAGCCTGCGTCTTGTGCGCCTCCAACGTCTTCGCATCCTGAACTTGTGACCGAAGTATGCAGGCACTACAATGGGACTGACTGCAACAAAGATGACTGCTCCTCCTATGGCCAACCCCCCAAGGAGTATTCCTCCAAATAACTTAGCACCTGTAGGGAAAATGTCAAGGGAAATTACATCAAAAATAAATTATACTAGTTTTTATCACTAAACATATTATTTTTGTTCAATCTCTATGGTGAAAAAGTGACCTGACATGGCTGAGTAATAACTAAATCTTAATTAGGCTTAGATAAATAAATTGTGTGTTTCCTGTTCCCCACCCTAAAATATATGAGCTGACCCTAAAAATTTTATCACCAATATCTTTCTGTAAGTAAATAAATCCTGTTTTGCTTTTAGAAATATTAATTTCAATCACTTCTGTGTATGAGAAAATGCATATCCTATACACATTAAGCAGAAATGTTTTGACATTTATTTCCATGGTAAAAATGACAGTGCTCTTGCTAATAAAATATTTAAATTAAATAAAATGTTTTACCTACCTACCTACCCTATTTTTTCTCAGGTTGGAATAGAAAACACACTATTTATTTACCTTGGCCTTATCAAAGTATTGTGTATATCAAAACTGAAAGTAACTTTACAGGGTTTTTTGTCACTTCAAAATGTAGATATATATCTTTCTTCTTTATCTAAAACAAGACACTCATAAATATGCATTTAAATATCAAAGGCCCACATGGCACAAAATTCAGCTAAATCACAATACTCAATTTCAAACCATTTAAACTTAAATTAATACAAAAATACAGAAACCCCTTACTGTGCCCCACACTAAGCTAAAGCTGTGTGTGCTTGAATATAATGTTAGTCGTGTACATACATTATATATATAAATATTTGTATCTTCATATGAGAAATTATACTTTTAAAAAAAGAAGTCTTCACTTGTGGAGTCATGACTTCAGGGATTGAATTTCCACAACCAGGAAATGATAGTCAAAAATTAAATATTTATGTATGAAAATATGAAGCTTTTTTTTTCTCTTATGAAGGTAGTATTTAAAGATTTTTGTCACAATTATCATGAATTAAGTAAGTGTCTTTAGGGATTTCAATATCCAAATCAGTGAATGATTTACCAAGTGCTGATCCACGTATGACTTTTCGTAGAACTGGTTTATCTGGAAACAGTTTGTGTTTACATCCCAGTGGACTGAATCTGCCATAGTGATCCCCAATAAATCTGATTTTAATGTACTTCTCTCCACACTTGTAGCAGAACACTGTATCACAATTCTTACAGGTCATGTGGTCGCACCCAGAGGTTCTCTCTATAAAAACCTACAAGCAAAAATTAAAAATAAAAAAGATCCTGAGTAAAAAAAAATATGAACTATGCAGAATTTTTTCAAATAACCAGAATTTTTTCAGCCATTAAGTTACCTTGCATTTTGGGCAACGTTCTGCATTTTTGTTTCCATAATGAAACTCTTTGGCCCAGTTTTTAACTAGCTTGTCACCTTTCTGATAATCTTTACATGTTATGCCTTCTCGATGCCAAGGTGCATGGCAAATAAAGCACCATTCCAAATGACAGTCTTTACAAACTATATGAATACCATATTTTCTTTTCTTTTTTGGAATGTTCAATTCCTCTTTTGTGACTCGTTGTACATAACTACAGTTAGGACAAGTTTTAACATGAGGATCGTTATTAGTATCTACAAGATATTTGTAAAATTTGTCTTTTAAATCAACTGGTAATCGGCACATAATCTCGTCAACATGAACATATTCCTCGCAGTCAGACGCAATGCACTGCATCCTTCTAAAACCAGATTCTATTTGAGTAACAAAATATTTCTCCATGCAGTCATCACAAACAGGTATTCGGCAGCATGAACGATTGCGGACTTTACTTTCTTTGGACAGACATATTTCACATTCGTCCGATCCGTTAACATTTCCGAAGGGAAGTAGTAAATCTACTGGAACTATTGGGATAATCTCATCCTCCTCAAAGTCATCAGAATCAGCCAGATAGTCGAATAAAATGTTCTCCAGGAATAAGTCTAAGTCAGGGCTTGATTCTTCAACCTCCTCCGCCATAAACGCCTCTTCAGGAAGTTCATCCTCTTTATCTTCCATCACCTTCTCTGAGGATGCCATGTCTACATATTATAATAAAATCATATGATAAGTTTCATATAAATAGTGATGTACAATTTTAACTATTTTTAAATCCGTAACTATCTGTCTATTTTTAGCCATGATCAATGTTTTCCTCAATATTGGAAAACACTCACCTTACCCTCTGAATCCTTCACTCACTTATCAGATGAATGAAAGTAAACAAAATATTTACAACTTTCATTCTACATTAGCATGTCATGAGTGTTTAACTGATATACAGTCCTCATTCTTTGTTGACGACTTTCATCATGATATGATAATCATAATTCCATGAAAACACACAGTATTTACTTCCGGTACTTTGCACGTATGCCGAACCCAACTATAAATAAATTATGAAGCAGGACGATAACAATCCTTTAAATTATTTTCTCCCGTTCTTTTTCATTGCTGCACAGAATCACAGAATAAATTCATGGATTAGGCAAAAATAAAATTTTCTTTTATTATTAAGAGAATTTTTTTTAATAACTCCGCTGATAAAATAATTTTTAATAACCCAATTTAAAAAAAAAACAAACTCCACATATATCAACAAAAAAGTGCAGGTAACAAAACAAAAACGAAAAAAGTTTTTAAATGTCTTGCATCAAAATCTATATTCAAGGTCTGATGGGATGGGGCACTCCCAATCACTTCACCAGTATAAAGTATACGCGTGTAGTTTAAAATAAAAGTGGGTGCAACACCACCACCACCACCACCACCCCCAATAAGGTCATTTTCGAAAAATTGATGAGTTCAAATCTTTCATAAAGGCATATGTAATCACTAATTATCTATTCCCCGCATCACCACAAAGTCGGAGGTCCTGGATACAAAATTCTCTGTCATCATCTTTATTTTTATTATAAAAACTTCACAGGATGATAAAGAGTGATAAAGCTCTTAAGCTCTTCTTGTGTAGAAATGACTAAGAAGGATCGGGACAAGTACATTGTGTAGTACATCCTTTTTTCCCTGATGTGGCCCTCATAATCAAGACTTGGTTTTTCACTAAGTACGAGGAGGGACAGTTGCAGTAAGAAGCTTACTAATGAGTACAGGTCTATACCAGGAAGCAATTTCATTTTTCTTCTATTTTTTGGGGGTGGGGGTGTTCAGTCAGCTTGGGTGGGCATTCTATAGGTACACGGTTTATTCGTAAAATAACTTTGTTTTAAATTGTATATCTATCAGTAGCATGTATTGGAAATCCCTCCTCGGTAGCTATGTACAGCGATGACTTATTCGACATATTCCTTTAATTTGCTGAATTATATATATATAGTATATTGATTAATATTTTCAAGCAATTGGACATCTCAAATTTGTATATCAATGATGCATGGCAGAATATTTGCACCCTCCTTTAAAAATCGCAATTGCAACTTGAATAAATAAAGAAAATATGTCAGTAAAACATTGATGTCCCCGTATGACAGCTTATGGAAAAAATTAAAGTTTCTCACATGCAAAGTCAAAGGTCAAGATACCAAAAAATTGCTTCCCATAGAAAGAAATTGTTTCAACAAAAATATCTGTAAATTACCAACCACTTAATTAAAAGTTATGTCTTAGGATATTATTCTTCTAAAAATGGGTAAATCTCTAAGGTCAAGGTCAAAGGGGTCAAGATAAAGATACCCAGGGAAAAGCCTTTTCATAAGAAATATACACGTGAAATATAGAGTTAAAATCCTAGCATCAACTGCTCAAAGTTATGCCCTTGGTTGTATTTTTTTTTTTCAAAAATATGTCAAAATACAAAAGTCAAGGTCAAAGTTAATAAGGTCTTGTCACAGGGCACACGTCTGTGAAAAATGAAAACCCTAATATACTTTTATCCCTTGACACTGACCTTGAATATGACTTACAAAAAGATTTGAAAAGAAACCGTAAATTTTGTTTAAATGTTTAAAAAAAAAGTTACATTGGCCATATTTTCTGAATGGTTGGGACATTTGCTTCAATGCTTTTGCCTATGTATTCCTAAGTTTGATTAAACTTTTCTTTGGACATCAACATTTTTTGCACCCTTGACCTTGGAGTTTGAAAAACTTTAACGTTGACCTTCAGCTGTCATACAATGGCATGCATCAGGGTTTCACAAACTTTTATTGTGTCAAAGAATAGAAATACTAGTATTAAACCGGGGAGCTGATGTGAGCATTATGACCACGGGCCTCTTGTTTGTTGATTTTGCCATGGAAAGAAGAGGTTCTAATTAAAGTTAAATGTGAAGCTGGCACGAAGCAAAAGGGGGGGGGGTGCCCTACCGTTTCCCCCTCTTTTTTCCATGAAGAAAATGTTCAGTTAAAGCCCTCCTTTTATGTTGCAGCATAGTCAGCTAAGGGTAATGTAGTACCAGGTACATGTATATTTGAGTAAAAGAATCTGGTATTTAGAGAAATTGGAACATAACCCCAAACCCTACCACCCCTTTCAACTTTTCCACTCTCTACCATCGGCTCATGAATACATATCTATAAGAGAAACAAAATCTGCAAGAGTGATTGGTCAGTTTCATGTAGGGAACTTTGACCTAGATCATTGTGACGTAAAACATCAACATTGTTTATGACGTCATAGTATACCATTTGATAGTTACAGAATCAACCAAAAATCAAAATGTTTCTGACACTTCTGGGATTAGTATCCTTTTGCATGGAACGGCACAGAGAAAGAGGTAAGGAAAATTAAGTATTGTATTTGTTTTCTTGTTTTTATATACCTCTAGTGTAACATTATCATGGTATTTTTTTTACTCGATTTTTTTCCACAATGATTGAAACCGTCCAATGATATACATGTAGATCTAATTTTATGCATGTATGATGAGTTTTAAAAATGCTGTGATTTTTTAAACTGACTTCGCCCCCCCCCCCCAAAAAAAAGTAATAATAATAATGACCGATTTATATAATATCAACTAGAAAATACTGTCAATTTTAAGATATTCACTTGTTTTAATTGTAACTTCCTATTACTTGTCAATATTCTAAACAGTATAAAGATTCAAAGGATTTCTAACTTATTGATATTTTTCAGCACAACAAAGATGCTCAGTCGTCCTTATAGAGAAAACAGAGGAAAAAACAAAGAACGCGACATTGGTCAGTGCATATTGTGTTTTTCGGGGGCGGGGCTTCCACATTCCTGAAAAGTAGAATATGGTAAATATTGTAATGTCTTCTCTTTCAGACTGACCAGTTCATAGCTGCAGGTGATTGTCAGGAAGAAACCTTAAGAGAAGCGGAAATCCCAATCAAGAATGAATCCGAATCAGAGAGAAGAAGACGCAGCTGGGAAATGGGGGAGATAGACTACCTGGGTGTGGACAGTTTCGACAATATTTTGATGAAACTGAACCAAAGCATGGACTGCATCCCCACCCACTTCACAAAGGAGAGAAATTAATAATTGGATTGCAGTTTTAATTATCGGTCAAAACGAACTTTGAAAGTCTACAGTGCCGTTTTGAGCACCACTTCATTTCTGAATAGTGATTTTATTTTCACGACCTCCATGTCATGTCATTTTGGTAGCCAAGTGTTCGTTTCAAGAGAAGCTACATGTAGGAGTAAGAATCTGATATATGAATAGGGAAGATTGTAAATTGCAATGTTTATTCACGAAGAGAACTTTCACTAATTAAGAAAAAAGTATATTTTCAATCAAACATGTCTTATTACGAAGTTGATTGGAAAACAGGCTGACTTGGTTTATACATGTATTGTGAAGTTCAATAAAATATAATGAAAAGCAACTTTAGTCGATTTTTTTTTTTTTGGAAGATTAATTAGGTGATTTAACCAACAAAAAGACTGTTTAATTACGTTTAATATTTATTCAGACAATACTGAAAACAAAATTCATAACAATTCAATTATTTCAAAATCAATGAACCACACATGCATGTAGCAAAATTTACACAAGGAAAGAAATATTGAAATTGTCTAGAAAGTATAGCTTCATAAATTTCATTGAAAATGCATTTTTTAAATCTTAGAAATAGCAGTGACTGTCACTATCTGTTGTACTGTTAAATCAAATTATCATTTTAAGTTGCATTTACACAAGAAATGGCAATAAATGTTCTTCTAAGTAAATGACAGGAACACCTAGTTGTAGAGCACAATAGATCTACAAATCCCAAACAAGTATAAAATACTTTGAAATTCAAACTTTACACTGGCTTACATTCAGTATGAAAGTGCATGTGAACTTATTGCAATAACTGCATAACAAACCAAGTGTAAAATTTGCATACAATTACATGTATAGCTTACAACTGTATATAGTCAATACATGGATGCATTTTTTGAAAAAAAAAAATTTTGAAAGTAATTTATGATAATGCACATTTTATTGTCCCATACAGAAATTGGCACTTGATATTAAGAATTTGTATTGTTTTTTATTCCAACATTGTACACAGATGGAAATCAAATTTCAGACATTAAATTACAGAAAAAAAAACAACAAGCAGTCAAACAATTTTTTTTAAGTAGATAGCTTTTGTGAAAATGGTGCACATGCATGTTGTTTTGTTGGGTTAATCTCTTTTTTTCCTCCGTCACTTTTTTCTGTTTTATTTCAATTGATTTCTTTTAAAATATATGTGTATGTATCTAGACATCGATCTGTACAGTAGTCTTAATAAACCAACATTCATTCAAATGGCTAAGGAGTAGGAGAAACAATTATAACATTACAGTTGAACAAATACACTGCAGAAGTTTTTCAGTCCGGGTCTCTAGCCCACACTAATCTTTATGACCACAGTCAAACTATATTGCACAAAACCCTTCAGATCATTTCAATGTACATTGTGTAATTTGTATTTGTTTTGAAGTACTTGTACTATGCTGTAAACAATTATCTGTACTCTGTGGAGACAGCTAGTGACACTAGTAAGGACTACAGTTTACTTTTATATCATTGTTGATAATACTTTCCATAATACATGTACATGTAAAATCAAAATCCATGAGTCAATAAAAAAATAACATAATGAATACATGTATACTTTAAATAAATCATGAATTATTTTCATGAATAATTTTGTAATTTCATCCATAAAACCTTTGGTCATACTTTGTTCTAAAAATTCCTTGTTTCTTTTTTTGTTTTGGAAAAAAAAAATGATTATAAACTCAAAATGTATTTCTTTAGTAATTTTGTAGGAGTAAACTTCTAGAATTACAATTAACAACAGCTTTGCATAAATCAAAATTTAAAAAAAAATCAATCAGGAAACAAACTCAACCTTCTGGCTTAAATATATGATCATTAACTAAAATCCTTTTTTGATTAATCTAGCAATTATAAACAAACAAAACGGAAAAAACAAGATGTGTTTGTGAAACACTATGTGCCCCGTGGCAACAAAGTTCCAAAAAACTATTTTTAGCATATAGGTCACAGTCAAGGTCACATGGTCAATGGCCTTGGTGTCATTTGAAAGAGTTTAATTAGTATTGGATGCATACCAAATATGAGGTCTTTATCTCTCATGGTTCAAAAGTTATGGCCAAATTTCGAAAGTTATTTTTAGCATATAGGTGACAGTCAAGGCCACAAGGTCAATGACCTTGGTGTCAATTGAAAGAGCTTCATTAGTGGAGTAAGAATACCAAATATGAAGTCTATATCTTTCATGGTTCAATAGTTATTGCAAAAGTTCGATAAAGCTATTTTTAGCATATAGGTCACAGTCAAGGTCATTGACCTTGATGTCATTTGAAAGAACTTTTTTTGTAGAGTATGCATATCTAATAAGAAGTCTCTATCTCTCATGTTTCAAAAGTTATGGCAAAGGTTAAAGTTGAAAACAAACAGACTAACAGACAGGACGAAAACAATATACGCCTTGGATTTATTGATCCGGGCGCATAAAAACATAAAATGCCTCCAACACTGTTGGCAGGGATTATGAGCAGACACATAAAACAAAACCAAAGAGTATTTTCTCAAATTCTTCAACAAGTGAACTGGCATATTCTTACAGCTGCATGAATAATATTGCACAAGGAAATATCTGGATAATATCAAATGTATGTATACATGTATATAGCAAACAAATCTATTGATACTCAAAAAGTACTATGCAAAATTAAGACCTTTGCAGTGCACACAGCTGAGTACTTTAAATGTACATGTACTTAAAAAATGAAGATTTCTCAGTCGACTCTCCATACGTTTACAAATTAATCAGTCTATAAGGAAGAAATCTTCATCCAGAGTGGTGTTTCTTGTAAAATCTCTATTTTGGTCCCATTTCTGTTTCAAATGGAAAGCGGAAGGGAATGTGTCTGACCTTTTCCTGTAATAAACATACACATAGTAACATACAAACTTGTACTTTGGCTAAAATAGCTGTAACTTCAGAATTTTGTTTTATTTTAACTGCACACTATTTCCAAAACACTGGATTAACTCCCCAAAGATAAATGATATGATGTCTGGAGAATGTACTTGACTAAGACAATGTTTGATCATGTGGATAACAGTATGAAACACATTACATCAGCCCTAAAATTTGATGGAGATGAGGATAACGCCAGAATGGTATGATAATTCTACAAAAATCTTGAGAGGTAATCTGAAAATGCCCATTAATGTACTCTTAATGATGACCTTGAACCCCCTGACCTTGAAGTGACTCCCTCAAATCCAAGTTTCCTTTCCCTCAACTTAAAACATTTTTCTGTATCCTCTTGCAACTTTAGTTGTGAGAATAATAAACAAGAGGCCCGTTGGCCACAACTCTCACCTGAATAACTTTGGCCCTGCTGTTCATCAGGTTGAGTTTCCCAAATATATGCGACCAAATCCTACCCTCACGGCCATGATTTCAACAAGGGGCCCAGGGGCCTTATAGATCACCTGAGTATCAACAATTGAATTCGGTTCGTGTTTTAAACCAGAGGCCATGAAATTCACAATTTTGAAAGAGGCACCATTGCTTATCATAACTATACACTTTGCTTGCTTACTTTGATTACTTTATACCCAGAGGTAGATCAGAGTAACAAAGAGAAAATGCACTTCCACTCTATAACCAGTTGTGCACCCCACCCCAAAGGACCCACTGACCCTGGGGCCACATATTTCAAAATTCTGGAAATTTTATCATAAATTTTATTTCATTATAAATGGTTGATTAATACCAAAGAGCAGGGGGCATGAAATTAACCATTTTGCTAGATGCACCTTTCTTCATCATGAATATATACTGTAAATCACTTTTTATTCGCGAGAACTTTATTTTCGCATAATTACGCGAGACAGTGTGCTCGCGAAAATTTATTTCTCGCGTATAATAGTATTCCTTAAGATTATATAGAGCAATAACCATAATTCATGAAAATTTTGTCTCGCTAATCAAGAGTCAATGACTATCTCGAGAAAATGAGGTGTCGCAAAAATTTAGTGATTTACAGTATACTTGGATCATTGGCATAATACACGGGAGCAAAGTAAAAGATTTTCAAAGAATTAATGTATTTTCACCAAATAATCAAAAGAGCCCCCCCACCTACAACAAATGGCAAAACCCCTGAAACAGGGGCAAGGCAATACTTTCAACAATTTAGAATCTACACTATCCCAGGAGGCTTCCAGATAAGTTTCAGCATTTCTGTCCCAGTGGTTCTTGAGAAGAAGACTGATAACTTTTTTTTTTCTATATATTTAAATGTAGAACTTTGTTTCCCTGTTTTGGTCCCATCCTAGTCCTGGGGGCCAAGATTTGAACATTTTAAAATGTACACTACCCCAGGAGAGGACTGAGGGGAAAATTTTGATTTTCTCGTTTAAAAAGTGCAGTATTATTAAGCATTTAAATGTTACACTTTGAGAAAGACACAAATTAGTAGGTCACTTAATACTTGACTTACTTAATAAAACAATGCTCTGGCCAGTATATGTGTTTATCACCAAAACTGAAGCTTTCATCTCCTATAAGCTCAGCAGCCCAGTTCATGATATTGTGTTCAGGCAACGTTCCTCCAAGCTCAGCAGGTAAGGCTTCCTTGTGGATAAAATTGTGGAGAGTTCCCAAATTGATCCCATGCATGTGTATCTAGAAGTATATAAGTACATGTAATTTCTTTATTTTCCAATTTTGGTCCCATTAAGAGCACATCAGAACAACATCTTGAATATAAATAGGAAAACAAGCAAATTCAAAGAATTGTGGTCCCCCGCTTTCGGTGTCTTTGTGGGAGTGATGTCATTTTCTATGACATATTGTCTCAAATATGAATGCCCTTTCATATGTCATTTAGAAATTATCATTGAAGTAGGGTTTTTTTCTTTAAAATAAGGTCAATCATGAAGGTCAAGGTAAACTGGTCACAAATCATTGCATGCTTAGAAATATCTTGTCACAGGTAATACACATGTCAAAAAATATGAAAGCCATAGCTCTTCTCAAGATGTGGCAACACAGCGAAGGTTAAACTTTTCTTAAATGCAAATTAAATATTATATATTACCCAAAATTTTTTTTATTAACTCTAAGGTCAAGGTCATTCTTGATATCCAATGAAAGGTCCTGTCACAAGGATTAAATATGTGAAACATGAAAGCCTTTGCCCAAATCCTTTAAAAGTTATGGTCAAGGTTTGTTTTTAGCCGGGCTTATTGCTCAAAGAGCAATTGCCGGCTTATGTCATCCTTCAAGACAGGATGTCAACCCCATAGTCGCCATTTCAAAGTTACGTGTAAAAAATATGGTTCTTACTCTCAACCGCTTCTGAGATAATACAAACGCTAAATAAAGCAACATAAATAAAACGAAATTTTATCTAAATAAATAAACATTAGTAGTAATGACTTTTAACACTTCAGTCTTAAGTCAAAGAACACAGTTTATCAGCGTAAGGATTTCTGATAATCAGTGTTATCGTAGTTCTCTACACTAACGAGGAAACACAGGAGAGGGAACCAGACTGGCCTGTTTGTTTACATTCAGCCGAAGTACCAGATTAATTTTGATTCTGACAAAATCGGACCGTGGTATTTGGATCGAAAACTCACTGTCAGTGTCTTATAATTTATATTACTAGTTTTAAAAAAAAATTTCATCAGAATTTTTAATCTGATATTCTTGTTATTTACCTGTTAATACAATATAAATGTACGATTCATTTAAGAAATTCATTTTACTCTGTATATGAGCCTGGCTTTCTGTACTTCTGAGTACTTTGATTTAAAAGTAAGTTACACTTCTAGGTCAAGATCAAAGGGTCAAAGTTCTTTGTATCCAATGAACAGTCTTCTCACAAGGATTACAAATGTGAAGTATGAAAGCCCTATCCCTTACCGCTCAAAACTTATGGCCAAGGTTAAAGTTTTTTCACAAGTACAAAAATCTCCAAGGTCAAGGTCAATACGTCAAGGTTGTTGGTATCCAACAAAAGGCCTTGCCACAAAGAATACATATGTGAAATATGAAAGTCCTAGTATCTACCATTCAAAAGTTATGGTCAAAGTAAAAGTTCGGAATTTTTGTGTAAAAGTGGGTCAAACTCCAAGGTCAAGGTCAAAAGGTCTAATGTAGTGGTACCCAAAGAAAGGTCTTGTCACAAGGAATACACATGTAAAATTTGAAAGTCATAGCTCCACTTCTTCAAAAGTTATGGGCAAGGTTAAAGTTTTTGTTATGGACGGACAGATGGACAGACTGAGACTGACGGACAGACGAATGAGATTTAATGTCCCCTCGCTTTCGCGGGGGACAATAAAACAATTGAGAGGGCAAGAGATCCAAAACAAAGATACATGTGAAAAGATTGAGACATCATATAACAACATATTTTCCAGTAATTATGCCCTGGTAAACGAAGTTTCGTGGGTATATAGTTTTTGTCAGGTCCGTCCGTCTAGCGTCTGTCTAGCTGTTTGTTTGTCCGTTTGTTCGCAAAAACTTTAACCTTGCCCATAACTTTCGATTTAGTGGAGCTATGACATTCATATTTCACATGTGTATTCATTGTGACAAGACCTTTCTTTTGGTACCACCAAATTTGACCTTTTGACCTTGACCTTGGAGTTTGACCCACTTTTACACAAAAATTTTGAGCTTTTACTTTGGCTATGTCTTTTGAACAATAGATACCAGGACATTTATACTTGACATATTTATTCTTTGTGGCAACCTTTCATTGAATACCAACAACCTTGACCTTTTGACCTTGACCTTGGAGATTTTTGCACTTATAAAAAATCTTTAACCTTGGCTATTACTTTTGAATGTTAAGTGCTAGGGCTTTCATACTTCACGTATGCAATCCTTGTGAGAAGTCCATTTATTGGATACCAAGAATCTTGACCCTTTGATCTTGACCTTAGACTTTGATCTACTTTAAAAATACAACCTTGACCATAATTTTTGAAGAGTTAGGACTAGGGCTTTCATACTTCACATATTTAATCCTTGTGACAAGACCTTTCATTTGATATCAAGAACCTTGACCCTTTGACTTTGACCTTGGAGTTTGACCTACTTTTTACAAAATTTAACCTTGGCCATAACAATAGGAACAGTAGGAGCTAGAACTTTCATATTTCACATATGTAATTCTTGTAACAAAACCTTTCATTGGATATCAAGAACCTTGACCCTTTGACCTTGGAGTTTGACCTACTTTTTACAAGTTTAAACCTTGGCAATAACTTTTGAACGGTAAGGACCAGCGCTATCATACTTCCCATATGTAATCTCTGAGACAAGGCCTTTCTTTAGAAACCAACAACCTTGACCCTTTGACCTTGACCTGGAGTTTGTCCTACCTTTAAAAATGTTAACCTTGGTCATAACCCTTGAACAGATGGTGCTAATGTTTTAGATCTGTATTTCTTTTGAACAGGCCTTACTTTAGGTACCAAAAATTTGATCTGCATTTGAGAAAGCTTAACCTTCGCTATGTTGCCATATCAGTGTTTCACAAACACATCTTGTTCAGATAATAATATGTAATGCTTAAATTTATCTATGTGACAATATTGTTTCTCATTTGAAAACATTTAAATATATATTGTGATTGAAAACAAAATATTGTTATCAAAATCTCAAATATCAGTGTCTTGAAACCTAGGCTCTTTCACATTTCACATATTTTAACCTCATTATAGATTAAGACAAGTAACAAATAGAACTACAATATGGAATGAAACCATGTAGTAGACCTTTCTTCTACTCTTTTCTTTCAGGAATGGCAAGATGATCTTGCAGATAGCTTCAATGTACCAGGGTTGATTTACAAAGTGAATGGAACCAAATCTTGCAGGGAAGCAGTCCTGTCAAACAAGAGTTCAATGTACACAGATTTTTTTTGTTTCAAAATATAAGTAAAGCTGGAATATGGCAAAGTTTTAAAACTTTATTCGAGGGATCATGCTTCCTTAACGCTTAACACTTCTGTAACAGTCCCTTTATGAGTTGATGTTTTAGCATTTTATGCTGTCATTAAAATCTCATTAAAATCACTTAATTTCATGTTAGAGTTCAAGTAATGCTACTACATATTAGAAAAACCTCCTAACCTATAGGTGATCTAAAATTTCATTTAAAATACATGCATTACATGCCTTTATGTACCTAAATGTCAATAGCTTTCATGAATAATTGATAATTTTCATTTACTGTTAAGTTTGTAAAGAGAGTAAAAGAAAGAAACAGAAAACAAAAATTTTCATTTTAAAGCAAAGCCATGCAGCTCTCACTTGAAGTCCCTCCACCATTTGCTTTAAAACTTTTGGATTCAATGACCTAGATTGGCCAAATGTAAACTGACTCCAATCCACCACAATGACAAATCCATTAATCTGACATGCCTCATCGTCAATTAACTTCTCTAACGTTAGCAGTATTGCCCTGTAAACTGAGGGTAGCTGGTATCTACCACTGTCCCAGTTAGCAGCAAAGACCACAATGATTCGCCTCCCTTGGGGGTCACAGTTCGGTAACACACTGGGAATGCCGTCATATAGCGAGGCTTTGATACCGGGCTCAGAGGCATTGAAGTTCTTGAAAAGACTTGGATTGTTTTGACGAAACTCAAAGTATCTTGCAAATAACTTGAAAGCTTCCACTGTGTCAAATTTTCTAGCTCTTAAAAATCTCAGAAGGAATGCATCGTCTGTTCTCAAAAATGCTGAAAAAGAGATGAAAAACTTTTACCTAGATCACAATTATAAACATGTATGTATGTACATCATAACATGTTCCTTAAGTTTTCAAATGAAATTTCTTTGTCTTTGTGTGATAGGATAAACACTGTGCCACTGTATTTTGGTACTCAGTAAAAATGTAAAATACCAGGTGTGTTAATTTTACAGAAACCAGTTAAGCCCTGTTAAACCCCATCAATTACAAGCAATTAGCATATTAACAAAGTTTTACAGGTACAATTATAAAATATTAAAAGGCATCTAAAAATCTTGGACTGATTGACAAAAATTTACTTATATCTGGTCGAGTTTCAATCTGCTCCCTGACATCAGATAAGTCATCAAATCGGCGTGCTTGATCTTCCCCTAGTTCATGCTGAGATTTCTGCACCAAGTCTTCTGACAGACCCCAACCAAACTCAGCCATGTCTTTCAGTACATCACCTTGAAAAAAAATATAAATCAAAGGTCTCTGGAAAGATTATTGCTCTCCTGATCTGTCAAGTCCCTACCCAATTTGCTGGCCCCACTTTTTTCCCAGGCATTAAGTTTTTCTATAGGAAAGCTAGGTTCATTGAAAGTTTGGTTGGCCCCCACGTTTAGTTGCAGTATTTCCAATAAGAGTAATATAAGGGTAATGCAGAGTTTGAATAAATAATTAGCCCCATCCCCACACCATGAAATGGGATTTATTTTCGAGTTCGGACAATTTTTCTTTTTTTTTTTTTTTTTGCTTGTCAAGTTTAAAAATTTCTTCAGGTTGCCCCCCCCCCCTCCCCCACTTTCAAAAACGATGCTACGTCACTGATAAGCAATATGTTTTTGATTTACGTACTTTACAACATTTGATTCACCTCAGATTTCACTTGCTCAAAATGACTTTATAGATGTTATTGATATTGTTAATGCAAAGTTATCTTATGAAGAATATGTGTACAAACACCACATAATCATGAAAAAGGGATTTTTTCAACATAAATACCATCCCGAGTGACTGTGAGTGTTTTGCTTCAGTCTTTTGCACGTTTTCCCAGTCTCTTCAGCCTCAGCATCTTTGACCACGTGATGCACAAATTTTAACTTCGACAGAAGCTGATACAAAAAAGAAATTGAATTCATATTTTTTAAATTTTGATGTACAGTATACTTATTTTTAAAAATATTTTTCAAAATTATTTTTTAAATAATATTTTTATCATTAAAAATAAGATCATCACGTTTCTCCTTGACCTTGTAAACAACATCCGCTTTTGGTTTGTCGAGTTGTAACGAAAGCAGAACGTGAAAACTTCTTCGAAGCGGCTGTAAAGGTAGGTCAAGGGAGATACAGACACATTTTTGCTGTGAAAAATTAAGGAATTGGTAAAATATTCCCTTGGGCAATTTCTTTTTGTGCTTTTTCATGAAAGCCATCTATAGTAAATTTCTTATGCAAACTTGATTGGAAACCGAATTTTCTCAGTTATCTGGTGAAAACGACTGCGACATCCGAAAGTTTGTTACTGGAAACTTACGATGTAAAATTTTCAGAATCAACACAAATTAATAAAACTAGCTTATCAGTGGACTCAGTGTCTGTTGACATTCTGATCATATCACCCTGTTCTTCTTGCTAGTGGTTTTCCAGCAAAGACTATCGGAAAGGGTGCCTGTGTGTACAGATCTGTGTCAAAACCTCTAACTGAGACTGAGTCCATGTACTGTTTAGATTAATTTCTTTCATTGAGATCCTGACCCATCCTTGAGTTCTGAATACGAAATATTTCATGTTTTCCCAGCTTTTTAGCTCACCTGAGTAGATATGGCAAGAAACTGGTACTGCGTTTTTAGGTGATACTTTTGTACCCTAGGGTACACCCTTATTAAATGTATGGAGAAAAGGTTACAAAAAGGGTACACTATTCCTACTGAAACCAAAAGTAGATGCTCCACAGTAGTAGGAAGACTGTATCATCTGAGTTAAAATTAAAAATAATGGAGCAGGTGCTCAGGGTACAGCGGGTACACAGGGTACACTTGGGTACAGCAGGTAACAACACTGTAAGGAATGGATACAAGGGTTTAGAAGGCTGAAATTTTCTAAGATAAAATTAAAAATAATGGAGCCAATGCTCAGGGTACAGTAGGTATGTAACCGAGCAGTAAGGCAGATGTTATGTTTTCATAATTTATTCAGGAAATAAAGGCATTGATCTAAAATAAACAAAGTACATAATAAGTCAAAATTACAAAAATTGAGAAAATAACATATGAGATAATTTACCTTACAGTATACGTTTAAGAAAAATGAACTCTATGAAAAAATGTGTTCTGTAAACAATTCAAATTGAAACCTTACAGACTTATTTCATTTACAACTTTGAATGCAAAAATACAATAAAGTAAAACGTTTGCAATCAAAATAATAACGTAAATCAAATCTTTATATGGCAACGAAACACATAATTAAATATACAAGTTACATACCATAAGATGCGTATGATGGACACTGGATTTAAAATATACTTATTTCATCAAAACGTAATACTGCTCTGATATACAAGGTAAAGCGCGGTAAATTTATACTTATAATGAAAATGTATTATATGATGAAAAAATAGGAAATAACCAATCAAATGAAAGAGCCAATGAAATCATAGAATAAAACTTTACTCAGGCAACTCAATCCAGGTGCGCAATAGAACTTTTAGTTAATCAAATTTTAAGATTTTATTTCTCAAAACGATATGAAAAAATAAATAAAAACGAATAAATACATATAGAAATAGATTTCATTATATCACATACTCCCCTGGAAAATTGTTAATCTGTCCTCAGATTATAATAATATCAAATTCACATAATAATAAATACATATAGATATAAACACGAATCAATGAATTCCTCCATTTCACAGAACAAGAAATAACTTTCTTATCACACATATTCACAACCACAATCACTGACGAATTGGCTTCAACTCCTGTCTGTTCACGTTTCTGGTCTTAGAATCGTCGTTTTCCAAACGCACACTGTAAACGGATGGAAACGGTTTTCCAACAATGGTGAACACTTCTGGTCTCCACTTGTCTTGAATCTTATCACGCCCTTTGATCCCTCTGTTTCTTACGTATACACGGTCACCGATCTGCAACTCATCATTCACTTTTCCTGCATTGTGTCTCTGTTTCCGGTCATCTTCGTTACGCTGTATCTCTTCCTTTGCTTTGTTGTACGCGAATTGTAACTTATCCGAATGAAGTTCAATCCACCGGTCTAGACTGATGTCGTCGGTTGGAGGATTAGTGTTCCGTCCTATTAGGAAATCTATCGGCAGGTATGGGTCGCGTCCGTACATGAGGTAATAAGGTGAATATCCAGTTGATGAATGGGGTGTCACGTTGTACGAAAACACAAGCTCCTTGATGTATTCCGGCCATTTCCGCTTCCTCGCTGGGGGTAAAGATCGAAGTAAATCATGTAGCGTTCTGTTGAAGCGCTCGCACTGTCCGTTTCCTTGAGGGTGGTACGCTGTCGTTCTTGTCTTTTTAATGCGATAAAGAGTACACAGCTGCTGTATAATCTCCGCTTCAAAACACTTTCCTTGGTCTGAATGTATACGTTTGCAAACTCCAAACTTAAAGAAAAACTCGTTCACTAACACTCTGGCTACCGTTTGGGCTGTCTGATCTCGTGTCGGAACGGCTATAGTCCACTTTGAGAAAACATCTGTGATTACTAACACATTTTCAAATCCTTGCGCTTTTTCCAACACAGAAAAATCTATCGCTAAACACTCCAGTGGTTCGGATGCTGTAAGGTGTCCCATACTAGTATGCACTTTGGGTGGTGGAATCTTGGATATTGCACAACGGTCACATTTTTCACAGTAGTTTTTAATATCCAAAAACATTTTTGGCCAATAACACCGCTGTCGAATCAGGTTGAATGTTCTTTCAATCCCTTGATGACCATTCTGATCATGGAGACACTCTAACACTAAGTCCTTCATACACTCCGGAAGTAGAATCTGCGTGAGCTCTCCTAATTTTGGATCTTTAATCTTCCTGAGAATAACACCATCAGAAATATATAAGGACTTTAACTGCCTTAACAAAACTTGCACTTTCTTGTTCTGTTTCCTCGAAAAACTTGGTTTAGGAACAGTGTTTGTCTCCAGGAAATTCGTACACTTTGAAATCACTGCGTCTTTTCTTTGTAATTCACTGATCTCATCCTTTGAATATCCAGGAAAAGTTTCTGCATGAGTGACAGTAGCTGATTCAATGAATAACACTGAGGAATGCGCAGTTTTAATATCCAAAGGAACAATAGATCCATGTATGCATTCACTGAGAACTTCAACACTTTTCATGGGAAGTCTTGACAATGCGTCTGCGTTGCTATTCTGTTTTCCCGGTCGGTACTTTATCTCAAAATCAAAATCTGCTAGTTGTGAAGCCCATTTCTGTTCATAAGCACCAAGTTTAGCTGACGAAAGGTATTTCAACGGGTTGTTGTCTGTAAGTACCACAAACTTGTTTCCTAGTAGATAGTCTCTGAATTTCTCCGTCACACTCCACTTCAGTGCTAAAAGTTCAAGCTTCAGGCTACTCATGGTCTTTGCGGAGCGTTCATTAGGTCGAAGAGTTCTGCTGGCGTATGCAATAACGACAGTACGTCCATTCTGCACTTGAGAAATAACGGCTCCTAGTCCATGTGCACTTGCATCAGTTTCGACAATGAATGGTAATGTGAAGTCAGCGTATCCAAGTAAAGGAGCACTAGATAACTGTGTTTTCAGCTGTTCAAACGAATCCTGACAACTTTTAGTCCACTTATCACCAAATTTTGTCTTTGGATGTTTTATATTAAGTTTGGCAATTTCAAGTAATGGTTCCGCTATCTGTGAGAAATGTCGAATAAAACGGCGATAGTAGCCCGCAAATCCCAAGAATGATTTCACTTCTTTCACATTTTCAGGTATTTTCCAGTTAACTATGCATTTGATCTTCTCACTATCAGTGCTGATGCCGTCTTTACTCACAATATGTCCCAGATATTGCACAGATGGTTGGAAAAATTTACACTTCCGCATCTTCAGTTTAAGACCATGTTGACGTAGAATAGAAAACACTTTGTCAAGACGCTCAATATGTTCACTTAAAGACTTTGAATAAACAATGATGTCGTCTAGGAAAACTAACATTATGTTGAATACTTCTTCCCGGAAACAGTGCTGCATTAAACGCTGGAACGTAGCTGGCGCGTTGGTAAGTCCGAAGGGCATGCGCATAAATTCATAAAGTCCAAAGGGTGTTGTGAAAGCTGTTTTCTCTATATCCTCTTCTGCTACTGCTATTTGGTTGTAACCGGAAGTTAAATCCATGGTAGAAAACATAACGGAACCGTGTAACACATCAAAAGTTTCTTCAACTCTGGGTAACGGAAATTTGTCTTTAATCGTCTTCTCGTTAAGTTTCCGATAGTCCACACAAAGTCGTAGAGTATTGTCTTTCTTGCGAACAAGTACAATAGGTGAAGCAAAAGGGCTGGTACTCTCCCTAATTACACCGTTATCCAATAACTTTCTAATGTGCTGTTTCACTTCCTCAAACTGAGATGGTGGTATACGGCGGTACTGTTGAGAAATGGGTTTATCATCAGTGAGGCGAATGCGATGTTGAACAGTATCTGTACTTCCGATGTCGTCATCATTCTTGGAGAAAATGTCACTATATTTCTGGAAAAGTGAAGTTATTAATGCTTTTTCTTCTTTGCTACAGTCGAGATGGTAAATGTCCTCAGGTAACGTGAATTTTTCATCAAGGGTAGTTACCTCTGAGACGTCACAATTCTGAATAAATATTTCCTCAACACTGCCGACTCTATTAAATCCAATATTTGATCTATTGGTATCAACTTCACATCTAGACACAGTTCCTATCCTTGTACGTGGTTTAACTGAAATATCCTCATCTCCGATATTGGCTACACGAACCCACAGTTTCCCACTGATTATGGTAGCACACGTATCTACAGTTCGGAAATTTCTGTGTAGATGTGATCCATTAATCAAAGGATTAACAATAACGTCACTGTCAATATGCGGTCCAGTGCACTCTATAACAATGGCAGTATTTGCTGGTATACGAATAGGAATTGACCCGCTCACTCGTGCAAATCCACTAACAATCCTATGATCGAACACGTTGCTTTCAGTAAAATCTTCCTGTAAATGTGCACTTGTTGGAATGTTATAAGTAGATAAGATATCTTTGCAAACACTGAGAATATTCATACCGATGAGACCTGGTAGAGCTTCTTTACGCTTCCTCGTTTCACTATCTACGGAGTCTTTGACTATAAGAAAACCACGTTGAGGAATAGTTTTTCCTAGGTACTGGATATCAAGTTCTACATATCCTATATATGGGATGGTTAGTCCATTCGCAGCTTTAAGTCGTATTAGATTGTCGTGTATGATGGTTGTTCCTAATGGCTGAATAAACTGTTTGTAAAAGCTTTCTGTCAGTGTTGAAACCATGGAACCTGTGTCGACTAAGCAGGGGATTTTCACATTTAACACAGTAATATCCATCACAGGACACTTCCCTATAAAGCGTTGCATAAACGGTGAGTCCTGTTGACCGTCATCTATTGTCGGACTCGTGTCAATAGATGTTACTTGTTTTCCGAATCATTCACTTTCACACGACAAAATCTCTGTATATGGCCCAGCTTTCCACACTTGTAACACTGAGGACGGTTGCTATAAGGGCGTTCCGTAGAATGTTCACTGCCTTCGCGATCTTTCATCAGGCTGGTTAGTGAGTCGATCTGCTTTTGTTGTGCTTGGATGATTTTCAATAGCTGATCCGCTGTAGACGATTCCGGTGTTGGGACATTTAAATTTGGCTGATCGCTGATCTTCTCGACCGGTTTACTATCTGGAAGCTTTGACTGCGTGTTTGAATGGTGTTGCGTTGTTTCTTCTTCACTGAATAGAATTATTTCATCTCGTAGCGTGTAGAAATCATTGGGTCCGTATTTGCTTCTAACAAGTCGTTTCGCTTCCTTGCGTATGAATGGATCACACAAGCCGTTAGCGAATCGTTCACATAGGGTGCGCTCTTTTTCTGGAAAAACACTACTGTCTTTCTTAATCACTTTCTGAAAAAGATCCAATAGCACATATGAATATTCACGGATTTTTTCACTTTCTTTCTGGTGTCGCTCAAAGAAACGTTGTTGTAACGTAATAACACTTTCCGGATTTCCGAATGCTGCCCGTAAACAATCCAATAGTGCATAGGGGTCATGACGAATATCTTCTCTGTATTTCACTTCGTCCTTGGCCTGGCCTTCCAAATGCGTGAATATGAGATCTACTTTCTGTGCATCGGTCCTTTCACGAGCTGCAAACGCTACTTCTAGATCGTCAATCCAGTCATCAATTGACAAATCATTTTCAGTTTTAGGTCGACCAGAAAATGTTTTAATCTTGCGACTTTCAGGAATAAATGTATGTTTTTCAACAACTTTTGGCTTGGAAAGTTTTTCTTCTAAAAGTTCTTGTTCCAATTCATGGATACGGTTTTGAAGATCTCTTTTATTCATTTTCAGATTTCAGATTCTAAGTTCACGATTAACATTTACCGTTCCAATGAAAACAGTTCACAATACAAAACCCAGGTAAATCGAACACTCTGTCGATGAGTAGAAGTCACCATACACACGCATCAGTGGAATATAAGTTCCCTAATCAATGCCTTGGTGTTGTTTCTTGCAGCGCCATGATGTAACCGAGCAGTAAGGCAGATGTTATGTTTCCATAATTTATTCAGGAAATAAAGGCATTGATCTCAAATAAACAAAGTACATAAAAAGTCAAAATTACAAAAATTGAGAAAATAACATATGAGATAATTTACCTTACAGTATACGTTTAAGAAAAATGAACTCTATGAAAAAATGTGTTCTGTAAACAATTCAAATTGAAACCTTACAGACTTATTTCATTTACAACTTTGAATGCAAAAATACAATAAAGTAAAACGTTTGCAATCAAAATAATAACGTAAATCAAATCTTTATATGGCAACGAAACACATAATTAAATATACAAGTTACATACCATAAGATGCGTATGATGGACACTGGATTTAAAATATACTTATTTCATCAAAACGTAATACTGCTCTGATATACAAGGTAAAGCGCGGTAAATTTATACTTATAATGAAAATGTATTATTGGATGAAAAAATAGGAAATAACCAATCAAATGAAAGAGCCAATGAAATCATAGAATAAAACTTTACTCAGGCAACTCAATCCAGGTGCGCAATAGAACTTTTAGTTAATCAAATTTTAAGATTTTATTTCTCAAAACGATATGAAAAAATAAATAAAAACGAATAAATACATATAGAAATAGATTTCATTATATCACAGGTACACAGGGTACACTTGGGTACAGCAGGTTACAACTCTGTAAGGAATGGATACAAGGGTTTAGAAGGCTCAGGTGAGCTTTTTGATCAAAATTTGTTCATTGTCTGTCATCATTGTTGTCATCTTATTTTTCTTATTTTCATCTTCTTCCCAAGAACCACAGGGCTAGCATTGTCACAGGTAACTGAAATGACTGAGAACTGCGGAACAATTACCGGGTAATTTGAGTCGGATATGGTTATGTTTTTTCTGGAATTGGGTTCAGTTCCATTATTATGTGATTTGAATCATTTGGTTTTATATAATCATTTTACTACAGGAAACTACTTTAAGCTAGTCATTATGTTGCTGTTTGTTAAATTAAAAAGATTTTAAAAAATTTGTTGAATAGAATCAAATCATGAGTTTTTATTCCCTTGTCCATGTATACCCTTTTGTATAATTAGGCCAAGCTTAAAAAATTCTTTGTTTGCAGTTGTCGACCTATAATTTTTAGACTGAGTAGGTAGGTAGGCATTCTTTTTTTTTTTTTTTTTGGAAAAAAGTTTTCATAGGCCAACTAAACATGAATAAGCTCCACTCTTGTTATAAATCACTGATTGATAAAGAGAAAAATTGACAATGAAACACTTTCAATATCCTGAAAATTTTGAAAAAAAAATAATATTACAAAATGGCTAAAAAAAAACTTTGGTCGGGTGCATTTTCAGTGGGTCGGTAGGCAACTGCAAACAAATAATATTTTATTTTAGGCCTTATGCATGATACAGTCATATGCTACAAACAAGTTGGCATAATTTGTGACAATATAGGGAATGTAACAATTTTTCTGGGGCCATTATTTACATAAGACAACAGTGATTTTAAATTTTTTATATGGTCTAATTCAAAGGACTGGTCTCCTCTCCCACATTGGGATTCGAACCAGTGATGAAAGGATCAGCGCTTTACGCCACGACTCAAGAGTAGAGCAGTCACTCTACTAATTACTGCACAACTACAATAGGTGGTCAAATAAAGACAGAAAAAATAAACATTGTGCACAAATTGCTCCATGTCAGTTTCATAGGACCCATTCATGTGAAAAGAGCAAATTACAAATTTATATTTTTTACATGGATTGAATTTCAGAAATAACATTATTTATTTATTTATTAATTCATGTAAAGTATATTTCAGTGGTTAATTGTTATATCCTAGCCACATGTGCAATATGTGCATACATATTATGTTGATTGACAAATCAGGCTGCCATCTTACTATGTCAGAAAGGAAAACTACCTGGTAGTGTATTCACTTCAGAGGCCTGTTCAACAGAGCCTGTGCTCCCAAACATTTCTGTTGGAAGTATAAGGAATTTTTTGCGAGTGCTCCCGAAAGTTTTCTCTGTTGAACAGCCTCTGGTGTCATGCCTGCCAAAACAAACAACTTATAATTAGTTGTGACATAAGGGGGAAAGACAATCTTGAAGTTGGACTACTGATGGTATCTAAGCTGGATCGAGTTGACAAATATCAAAATTATTTGTTCTCTTCCATAGACATTAAATTTCTTTCGAGTCTTTTACCTATAGAATTTGTATTGTGAAATATTTATAAGATTAGATATAACAGAGGTACATAATACATCTGCTCCTTTTGTTTAGTCAAAGAATTGAATTTTCCAAGAACCAATATGAAGAAGATTTTTTTCATTGACAGCCTGTTGTAAAAGACTTTATGCTTTTGAGACTTAATAATATGCAGAGAAATTTGAAACCCAAGTGTTTCAATCCCTTTGTGTATATTTAGTTACCAGGTACACAATAAATTATGTTAAAACCCAAACTTATACCTGCCGTATTTGAATAGATGTTTCTTGCAATCATGTGAACTCGACACCCCTGGCTTCAGATTTATGATGCATGGAACAAAATGTCAACATATCAAATATTAATATTTGCACAATAGTCTCTCTGGTACTTTATATGCTCTGTGTATTTACTATCAAACATTGCAAGTTTATTCGGGACTACCTAATAAATTGTCATTTATTGCAGACACAGTGCATAGGGTGAACTTCGGTTTACAAACATGCAAGTAAAAAGTTGTCCATAAGACCCCCCAGAAATTCTAAGAATGTAAATTCTGATCAATATCTTATAAATAGAAAGTGGTTGTCACCCTGCTTGACTTTATGATCACGTATATAACACTGTCTATTTTGAGGGCGTACCACAGGTTTTAATGTAACTACTAACTTTAACTTGCTCTATTTTTAGACATAATGGCAGAGGAAGGGAACAATTCGGCTTCCACAGGCTACCAGTGTACACTGTCCCCAGACCTAATACAGAAGGCAGAAAAGGAGCTAAACGAGAAGGCAGAATGGAGGAACCGAGATATTCAGGCTCTCAGGGACATGGTGAATAAAAATAAAGGTGAAGAAAAATATAGAATTCATATACCACTGTATACATTTATGGATTTTTAAAAGCTGTGGTGTTGCAATTTTGGTTCATGCAAAAACTCTAAAAATAGGGGGAAAATTGAGAATAAAATATGGCTTCAAAATGGCAGATAAAAAATACTTAGAGAAAAAATAATTGGGACTTCAGATTTGCTTTGATATTTTCATTGTATTCTAGATATCAGTGTATGAGATACAGCCCTGGAGTTAAACTACATACATAATATTTTATATTTATGAAAGATTGTATTGTGTTCTGTTCTTTAGAGCTTCAAATTCGAACAGACGATGTTTTCTTGCTACGCTTTCTGAGAGCCAAGAAGTTTGACTATGACAGAGCATATAATCTTATCCTCACACATTTCCAAATGAAGAAGGAAAATCCAAAGTTGTTTGAAAATCTGCGACCCTCAGCAGTCAAACATGTTTTAGAGGCAGGAGTTACAGGGGTGCTGCCTCACCGAGACAAGGAGGGGAGACGTGTTATTATATTTAGACCTGGTACGAAAATTATTGATATCCACACCCACACAGAGGTCTGTCTGTTTAACATTTTGGCTTATTTTCCAAAATAAAGCTGCTTATTAGGTATTTAAAGACGTATGAATGGTCCTCACTTTGTCACAAAGATGATAATTAATATTTATCTTTTTAATATTTCAAGTTAATTGAATTGTTCAGTGTTTTCCAGGTAAATGGGATCCAAGTCGATGTCCTGTGGATGATGTATTTCGGACAAACTTTTTGACAATATCAAAGATTATACAGGTAACCTTACACCCCTTAAAGGCAGAGATATTTTACCGGGGGTGGGGGTGGGGGCTTTAAATTCTAGGTAAGGGAGGGACTTATTTTGTACAGGTGTGAATGCCTCAGGGACTAGCAATCTACCTGTGGTCATTTTTCTCAAAATCCCTATACACAGGAAGTGAATTAATATACAATGGAATACCCAAGAAGTCAAACTTTACCTCTACTGGGAATTTTGAGACAATTTTAAATTAAAAGTAAAAAGTTGTAAATAAATTTCATCTCAATAATCTTAATATTGATTTGTTTTTTAACATTTTAAAGTTCTAAAAACACTCCTATCCATTCCAAAAAAACATATTATCATACTGCTAGTTTACATATTAAAGCTGAGATTGTTATACCCTCGTAAATGAAGTTTTGGGGGTATATAGTTTTTGTTGTGTCTGTCCGTCTGTCTAGCTGTTTGTCAGCAAAAATTTTAACCTTGCCCATAACTTTTGATTTAGTGGAGCAATGACTTTCATATTTCACATGTGTATTCCTTGTGACAAGACCTTTCTTTGGGTACCACCAAATTTGACATTTTGACCTTGACCTTGGAGTTTGACCCACTTTAGACAAAATTTCCAAACTTTTACTTTGGCCATATCTTTTGAACAGTAGATACCAGGACATTTATACTTCACATATGTATTTTTTTGTATTATCTCTATTGAAATTATGATATTTTTATAATATCAACACTGTATTTATTATCACCATTATTATTAATTGATATTATTTCCTTATTCATAAAACAATTGTTTTTGTTCTTCTATGTACAAGTATATATTGTAAAACTTTGTAAATGTTGTATGGCTATCCAGATTTTATGTATGGGAGAGGAGTATCTAAGTTTTTGGAACTTGTATCCAATCCCTTTGACATATTGTCAATAAAATATGTTCAAAACAATAACCTTGACCTTTTGACCTTGACATTGGAGATTTCCGTACTTATGAAAGAAACTTTTGAACGCTAAGGGCTAGTGCTCTCATACTTCACTTATGTAATCCTTTGAGAAGACCCTTCATTGGATACCAAGAAATTTGACCCTTGACCTTGACCTTGTCCTTGGAGTTTGACATTTTTTAAAAAAACACACCTTGATCATAACATTTGAAAGGGTTAAGGCTAATGCTTTCACACTTTTTAGCTCACCTGAGCCGACGGCTCAAGTGAGCTTTTCTGATCACATTTTGTCCGGCGTCCGTCTGTCTGTCCATCTGTCTGTCTGTCTGTCTGTAAACTTTTCACATTTTCGACTTCTTTTCAAGAACCGCTGGGCCAATTTCAACCAAACTTGCCACAAAGCAGCCTTGGGTGAAGGGGATTCAAGTTTGATCAAATGAAGGGCCACGCCCTCATTCAAGGGGAGATAATTGGGAATTAATGAAAATTTGCTGGCATGTTTTAAAAATCTTCTGAAGAAGAACCACTGTGCCAGGAAAGATGAAACTTATGGGGTAACATCCTCAGGTAGTGTAGATTCAAATTTGTTCAAATGATGACCCCCGGGGGTAGGGCGGGGCCAAAATGGCCGACCAAAGTTTAACATAGAAATATATAGGAAAATTCTTTAAAAATCTTCTTCTCAAGAATGACAATGCCATAATTCATCATATTTATATTGAAGCATCCTCAGGTAGTGTAGATTCAAATTTGTTCAAATCATGACCCCCCGGGGGTAGGGCGGGGCCAAAATGGCCGACCAAAGTTTTACATAGAAATATATAGGAAAATTCTTTAAAAAATCTTCTTCTCAAGAATAGCAAAGTCATAATTCATCATATTTATATGGAAGCATCCTCAAGTAGTTTAGATTTAAGTTTCTTCAAATAATGACCCCCGGGGGTAGGGCGGGGCCAAAATGGCCGACCAAAGTTTTACATAGAAATATATAGGAAAATTCTTTAAAAATCTTCTTCTCAAGAATGACAATGCCATAATTCATCATATTTATATGGAAGCATCCTCAGGTAGTGTAGATTCAAATTTGTTCAAATCATGACCCCCGGGGGTAGGGCGGGGCCAAAATGGCCGACCAAAGTTTTACATAGAAATATATAGGAAAATTCTTTAAAAATCTTCTTCTCAAGAATGACAATGCCATAATTCATCATATTTATATGGAAGCATCCTCAGGTAGTGTAGATTTAAGTTTGTCCAAATCATGACCCCCGGGGGTAGGGCGGGGCCAAAATGGCCGACCAAAGTTTTACATAGAAATATATAGGAAAATTCTTTAAAAATCTTCTTCTCAAGAATGACAATGCCATAATTCATCATATTTATATGGAAGCATCCTCAGATAGTGTAGATTCAAGTTTGTCCAAATCATGACCCCCTGGGGTAGGGCGGGGCCAAAATGGCCGACCAAAGTTTTACATAGAAATATATAGGAAAATTCTTTAAAAAATCTTCTTCTCAAGAATAGCAAAGTCATAATTCATCATATTTATATGGAAGCATCCTCAAGTAGTTTAGATTTAAGTTTCTTCAAATAATGACCCCCGGGGGTAGGGCGGGGCCAAAATGGCCGACCAAAGTTTTACATAGAAATATATAGGAAAATTCTTTAAAAATCTTCTTCTCAAGAATGACAATGCCATAATTCATCATATTTATATGGAAGCATCCTCAGGTAGTGTAGATTCAAATTTGTTCAAATCATGACCCCCGGGGGTAGGGCGGGGCCAAAATGGCCGACCAAAGTTTTACATAGAAATATATAGGAAAATTCTTTAAAAATCTTCTTCTCAAGAATGACAATGCCATAATTCATCATATTTATATGGAAGCATCCTCAGGTAGTGTAGATTCAAGTTTGTTCAAATCATGACCACCGGGGGTAGGGCGGGGCCAAAATGGCCGACCAAAGTTTTACATAGAAATATATAGGAAAATTCTTTAAAAATCTTCTTCTCAAGAATGACAAAGCCATAATTCATCATATTTATATGGAAGCATCCTCAGGTAGTGTAGATTCAAGTTTGTCCAAATCATGACCCCCTGGGGTAGGGCGGGGCCAAAATGGCCGACCAAAGTTTTACATAGAAATATATAGGAAAATTCTTTAAAAAATCTTCTCAAGAATAGCAAAGTCATAATTCATCATATTTATATGGAAGCATCCTCAAGTAGTTTAGATTTAAGTTTCTTCAAATAAAGACCCCCGGGGGTAGGGCGGGGCCAAAATGGCCGACCAAAGTTTTACATAGAAATATATAGGAAAATTCTTTAAAAATCTTCTTCTCAAGAATGACAATGCCATAATTCATCATATTTATATGGAAGCATCCTCAGGTAGTGTAGATTCAAATTTGATCAAGTCATGACCCCTTGGGGGTAAGGTGGGGCCAAAGTGGCCGTCTCTAGTTTTACATAGAAATATATAGGAAAATTCTTTAAAAATCTTCTCAAGAATAGCAATGCCATAATTCATCATATTTATATGAAGCATCCTCAGGTAGTGTAGATTCAAATTTGTTCAAATCATGACCCCTTGGGGGTAAGGTGGGGCCAAAATGGCCGTCTCTAGTTTTACATAGAAATGAATGGGAAAATTCTTTAAAAATCTTCTTTTCAAGAATAGCAAAACCATAATTCATCATATTTATATGGAAGCATCCTCAGGTAGGGTAGATTCAAATTGTTCAAATCATGACCCCCGGAGGTAGGGTGGGACCACAATGGCCGACCAAGGTTTGCATAGAAATATATAGGAAAATTCTTTAAAGAATAGCAAATCCATGATTGGTCATGGGAATACTTTTGGATTTAAACTTTTTAATAATAAACCAATTTCTACTTTTTCTTAGCTGCAGTACTCAGGTGAGCGATGTGGCCCATGGGCCTCTTGTCATATTTAATCCTTGTGATAAGACCTTTCATGTGATATCAAGAATTATGACCCTTTGACCTCGACCTTGGAGTTAGACCTTCTTTTTAAAGTTGCTAACCTTGGCCATATCTTAAAGGGAATTCAAATCTATGAAAGCTTTTGTGATTCCTACAAAATTCTTAGTTATTAAAGTAAAGATATACAGTAAATGTTCTTAATACACAGAAAAATCTGTCCAGAGTTTTTAGCTGTATGACTGAGTTTGGTTGCATTTATTCACAGGATGAAGCAACCCAAGTGAATGGAATAATCATGGTTATGGATTTGAATGGTGTTGGATGGGGACATGCTAAAAATATTTCTCCATTTTATGCAAAACGTGTCATGTCTCTGCTGCAGGTATGACTAATGTCATCATCGCAAACCACGACCAAAATGTACAATCCTCTCCCATTCTGGGAGAGCTACATGTATATTTGCGGACTACAAACCATGGCTTGAGACGATGAATTAATGTTTGTTCCTTGTTGTTTCTTGTTTGTCTAGTATGGACATTTAATAGATAATGCTGGAGCAGTCCCATGCTGTAATATTAATGTAGAAGAGGAAATTTCTGTACTTGTTAAAGAATCTGAATGCTGAGAGCATTGAGATATTTAGCAGGAACACTAGTGCTTTAAGAAACAAGAACTTAATTTTCTTTCCTTTCATATTCTGATGATAATCAATACATGTATAACTTAATTGCTAAATTTCAATTACTTTCTATTTTCAGGATGCCTTTCCTGCAAGATTCAAAGGAATTCATTACCTAAATGAACCAGCAGTATTTGATTACATATTTGCAATAGTGAAGCAGTTTATGAAAGAAAAAACAGTCAATCGAGTAAGAAAAATGAATAAATTAGAAATTCAGAAACATTGCACACCATAAATAACTTCTCAGGACTGTCAACTCTAATGATTTTGGCATGAGGCTTATAATTTGAGCATCTTAAATGTGTCGTATGATTTTACTTTATATTCTTCAGGAAAGAACTCATAAATTGTTTTGAAAAATAGGACACAAGTTTATGGTATTATTACTGTTTATCACATGTCCTTAGATTTCAATTGATTCGGGTGAGCTGTTAATTGGTTTCTCCTTTCTTTTAAACTTCTCAGCTTTTCATTTTGTTTGTATTGCTTTTTACAGCTTCATTTCCACGGAAAAAATGTACAAGAATTGACAGATTTTATTGATGCTGAATACCTTCCTGAGGAGTATGGTGGAAAAGCACCTCCATATTCAAATAAGGTGAGTTATTTATCTGAAAAATAATTTAAAAACTCAATATTAAAAGTTTGTTACAAAACTGTAGCAAGTATGGGGAAAAGGTTGTACAATTTATAATAATAAATACATGTACATGTATTATTTTCTTGTTGATATAAATGTATAACCTGTCAAAGACTCTGCACACAAGCGTATTTTTTATAAAGCACTTGATTAACAGATTGGCTTTTTAAAAATCTTAATCAAAAGTGCAGTTTGTTTAGGCTGTATAAAGATGAAGATACACTGTGGTTAACCCATTAATACAGTAAGCAAAATAAAATATGAATAGGGCAAAAACAAAGTCCTTTTGAAATATGAGAAGTAGGTGCCCAGAAGGAATAAAAATCCCCTGTCTACTGGTCACACCCACTTTGAAGCTTATGTATTGATCAAGTAGTTGTAAAACTTAAATTCGTAGTCAATTTTAGTATAAAAACAACATTCTAAGGAAGGTCTCAATGCCTCCTATGCAAGTAATTACTTGCTTGCTCCCAAATAGGTTATTTTACTCATAAATTGCATAAAACTTGTATCCTCAGTAAGTTAAATCACCAGGGTGAGAGAAAATGGTACTTAACTCTGTCACATTGTTGTAGGACTGGATGGAAGAACTCTTAAAATGTGATGCAGAATTTGATGAAGAGGCCAAATACGGGTTCGTTTCGGGCTCTACGATAAACCAGAAACCCGGACAAGATGCCATGGAGTGTGTAATGGGAAGTTATAGGAAACTCAGTGTTGATTAAAGTTACCATTCCACATCCTAGGATGTAATCAGTGTGATATGCACATACAGTTATTTATTTATTTGAAGTTGTTGGGTGTGTAGATTCTGTTTTAATTACTGGGTTAATTTTATACAATTGTTAAAATGCATCTAAAATTTATGTGTAAATGTGTAATTTAATTTGCTGGACTATAGTGAATGGGGGTAGGTATATAAACAGTTGGGAGTGGGTGCATTATTTTCACTATAATTCACTTTGCAAGAATTCTTTTCATTTTTGCATCCTTGATTTGCTATCAATTTTGATTGTCAAATACTTTTTTGTTGATTGTAATTAAGATTAAATAGTTACCAGTTTTTATGTCTTTTTTTCTTATTTTTGAAATATTTTGTTTTTTTATTCTAATTGAATTCTATCATTCAGTTTATTTTTCCTATCATAATACTTAAGCTAAAATTACATGTAATCAGTCAATACATGTATATACATTAAGATTATTGGAGACTTTCTTTCTTTCTATTTTTGATTGTTTTTGTTTTGTTTTGTTTGTTTCTTTGTAGATCAGGCTGCTATTATACTGCATGTGTACTTAATTAAACAGGATTCATTTCATTGTAGTCATTGCAGCACAAATTCATGATTAATGCCAAATTCGAATCTATACAAGTGCACTGTAAATGTATTCTTTTTGAAGATTTTGACAATCTTAATTCTAATTGTGAAAGTATTTTAAATTGTATTGTAAACAGTCCATGACTTTTATTCTCTGATATTTAAATTGCTGCAGTACTGTATATGCTTGTACATTATTCTGTGGAAATCAGACAAGCATCTAAAAATCTGTTACCTGTATTCAGAATACTGTAGGAATAGAAACTAGAAAAGATTAACATTTATTATTTTTTCCTTTCTTATTTTGTTATAGTTTTATTGTATAAGATCTGTGATAGAAATTTTTGTATATTGGTGAATTGTTTTCCAGCCATAATCATGTACCGGTACATTGTGTATCTCATCTTCATTTTAAAAATAAGCTTTTGAAACATATCCATGTATAATGCATATTATTTTTCTATTCTTTTTTTATTTATTTTAAAAAAATCCTATATGCAATATAGGCTGACATACAGTTTATTGAGGTTTTCATTATTTATCAGTGTGAAACGTACCCCAAAAATCTTATAACAACCCCATAGTAATTTATGGATTCTTGAAAGAAGTCATTACTTTGTTTATGCGTAGATTCTTAAAATTAATTTTCTAAAGGTCTCTCCCTGTATTTATAAAACAGATTCAAATGTTTTTCCTCAGCTTCCCAGATATTTCGACTACATTTGCTTCCATACGCCATGTAGATGTATTGATGATTTGGGCGGTAGCTTGCAAAAAAAATGGAGGGAAAAGAGGAAAATACCTTCATAGCAGACATACAAAAAGTTGATCCATTCAGTGTTGAAACTCTTTTGGAAATAAAGGTTCCATAACAAGTGCAAGTTATAAACTGGTTTTTCACAATCTTACTTTTATTTTGAAGAGGTATGAAAACTTCTGATTGTCACTTGAAATCACTAAAATTAAGGAACAAGATTTTAAGAAAACATTACTTTCAATTACTGGCTTCTGATCTCTATGTTTGATAAGATTATTTGCATGTATGAAAATTTTAAACTTCATGTATGTATATTATATATTATATGCAGGGCCGGCATTTCCAGGGTTCATTTATTTTATTTCCTATGTAGCTTGTAAAACGAGTTTTGATTGGTTACAAAGTCGAGTGTAAATTTCCGTACACCCAACTTGAGCCATGGGTTTAAAAAAATGTGACGTCACAATGCATTACTTCTCTGTGATAAATAACATGATGTCACGATGCACTGCAGGATGTAGAAAATCTTAATGATTGCTTGAAACACAGTTGATTGGACTTGTGTACAAAATAAATTATTTGGGTACATAGGAAGTAAATTCTTTATCCAGGTTCAATCAAGGGTGTACAGGGATTTACTGGGAGCCAGACAAAATGCCCCCTAATAAAAACGTCCCGGTCAAAGCGTCCCCTGATTTTAGTCAAAGCGCCCCCTGATTTTGGTCAAAGCGCCCCCTAACATATTTTTATAGAAAATACCGCCCCCAAATATTGGTCAAAGCGTCCCCTGATTTTAGTCAAAGCACGCCCTGATTTTGGTCAAAGCGCCCCTTAAAGAATTTTACGGTATAATGATGTTACAAAACCGCCCCCAAATATTGGTCAAAGCGTCCCCTGATTTTAGTCAAAATGTCCCCTGATTTTGGTCAAAGCGCCCCTTATAGAATTTTACAATAAAATGATGTTACAAAACCGCCCCCAAATATTGGTCAAAGCGTCCCATGATTTTGGTCAAAGCGCCCCTAATATATTTTTACAAACATATTACGGAATAAAACTGTTTTGTATTTATAATATTATCATTGTGTGGCAGTTACTTGAAAAATTTCTATAAGGGGGTGCTTTGACCAAAATATATTTTTACAAACATGCTTACGGAATAAAACGGGTTTTTTTTTATAAAAATATATTGTGTGGCGTTGACCAAAAAATTTCTAATATCAGGGGGACGCTTTGACCAATATTTGGGGGCGGAATTTTTTCTATAAAAATATGTTGGGGGCGCTTTGACCAAAATTAGGGGCGCTTTGACTAAAATCAAGGGACGCTTTGACCAATATTTGGGGGCGGTATTTTTTCTCTAAAAATATGTTAGGGGGGCGCTTTGACCAAAATCAGGGGCGCTTTGACTAAAATCAGGGGACGCTTTGACCAATATTTGGGGGCGGTATTTTTTCTATAAAAATGTTAGGGGGCGCTTTGACCAAAATCAGGGGGCGCTTTGATTAAAATCAGGGGACGCTTTGACTAAAATTAGGGAACGCTTTGACCGGGACGTTTTTATTAGGGGGCGCTTTGACTGGCTCCCCGCTTTGACCGGGACGGTTTTATTAGGGGGCGCTTTGACTGGATTTCGGATTTACCCAGGGTTGTATTCCATAACCTTTTGGCCTTCGATGTCAGGGTACATGGAATAAAACCCAGGGTAAATTCCAGTACGCCCTTGATTGCACCTGGATAACAATAATACTGTCAACTCCTAGGGAGGTAGCTGTTGAAGCTTCATGAAATCTTTAAATAGTATGTGTAATAATTACATCATGTAGATTTAATATTATTGCTCCTATCTTCATTTGGACTACCTGTTTTCCTTTCTTTTTTAATTGAATTATTATAAAAGTTGTTTTTGTTTTACTTGTAATATCTATAAAAATATATAAAAGTTCTAAATTTTCTTAGAAATAATGTTACATATACACTGACCATTGTAAAGATTTTTTTTTCAATATGAACTTAATTTGAATGAATCAGGTGCTTGTGTATATCTGGTTATGTCCCCTGACATGTAGCTAAATTATGCAAATGTTTCTGTTAATAAGCAGGCATAATATATATGTAATGAGTTATCACAGATCTAATGTATGTAGAGTAACTCTTTTATAGAGGGAATGTGTACTTTTTTGTAAAAAGGATGTCCCAATTTAATTCTCAGGCTTAGAAAATAAATGTTGGTTGACAAATAAAATGAAATGAAGTTTGTTGATACTCTCTGTTTTAAATATGAATGATACTTGAGGATGTTTAGTTATTAGCTGCATAACTGTAGCTCTCAAAAAAAAATTAATAAACCTGCGGGTCAGGTTTATTCTGCATCTGGTGCCCTTTTGATGTCTTTTATTTTCTGTCATTTGTTAACATTTAAACATTTTCAGCTTCTTTTCTGAATCATTTTCAGCCAATTTCAGCATAAAGCATCCATAGGGGAACCAAAAATATGAATTTTATGGTCCCTGCAACTTGGGCCTGAGGGTGAGGCTAAAACTGCATTTTCATCTTTTTCTCAAGAACCACTGGGCAAATTTCAACCAAACTCGGCACAGAGTATCCTTGGGTAAAGGGAATTCAAACCTCTCATAGATTCAAATTTGCTCAAATCAAGATCCTTAGGGGAAGGGTGGGGTCACAATTTGGGATCAAATTTTTACGATCCCTGCCCCTTGGGTCTGAGGGTCAGGCTAAAACTTTTCACATTTTCATCTTTTTCTCAAGAATCATGGGGCAAATTTCAACCAAACTTGGCACAGAGTATCCTTGGGTAAAGGGGATGCAATCCTCTTGTAGATTCAAATTTGTTCAAATCAATGTCTGTAGGGGTAGGGTGGGATCACAATTTGGGATCAAATTTTTACAACGTAATATGTAAGAAAAAATCTCAAGAACAACCAAGTTATTTGCTATATCAGTATGGAGGCATCCTCTAGAAATATAAAATTCACCCCCCCCCCTAAACTTTTCAATATTAGACTGATTTGTGCTTTTTCCCAGCCAATGTGCCTAGGTGAGCAATATGCCTCATGGGCTCCTTGTCATAGTCCATGCATATGAACAAGAACTTGGTTTCAAAATTTTGAATTGCGGCCACAGTGTCGTGAAAACAGGTTGAAACATGATTGTCTCCCTTCTTCCAAGGAAAACCGTTTAAAAAATCTCATAGAAATAATTTGCTTCAAATCGAAATATTTTCTACTATTTCAAAATGTGTAAATACTTCAGATGGTGGTATAATGAGCAGAGATCGTATTATAACATGTGAAAATTAATTGGCAGATCAAGCACGAATAAATGGATAATTAGTCAACAATGTCATTCTAGTCATGTTAACATTGCCCTTGAAAGTTTTTAAGATTTATGAGATCTTGTGACGCGGAATTACATAATTAAAATGATAAACATGTATGTCACTTTAACTCATAAACGGGATTATAATGCTGCCATTTGATGTTTTTGTGCAGTTTGTTTTAGCTCATTATACCCCCCGCTTGAAAAGCGAGAGGGTATATAGTAATCGTTAATTCTGTACGTCTGTCCGTCCGTCCGTCCGTCTGTTACGCTTTGGGGTTTGATGCAACTCCTCTCATACCACTGAATGAAATTTAATGAAACTTTCACAGAATCTTTATCACATATTGCCATTGTGCACCTCCTATTTTACTTTTTGATCTGACATATATTTTGGATTTTCCAGAGCAAAACATGGACACTGCCATTTTATTCATATGGGAGGCGGGGGGTATCATTTAGTGAGCTCATTGCTCAAGGTACCTCTAGAAAACTACAAAACTACAAAACAGAAATGTTTATGTTTTATAATAAAAGATAAACAACATTTCCAAACCCGAAACAAACTTTTTGGTCTGGATGGGAAGAAGAAGGAGTAGAACAAGTAGCTGTGTGAGACTGATCGACATGGGATGCTTACTCCTCCGTGGCACACGATCCCACCTGTGATAATTATGTAGAAGTCCATGTTTGCGAAGTTGTTTCAACTTTTGTTTCGACTTTTGAGCTTAATTTTTCTGTTTGTTTTCTTCATATTTCATTGCAATTAAATACATTCTCGTACATGTTACAAATGTCATTTCGTCATTTTCCGAGTTTGCTAGGAAGGGAGTTTCAGAAGTTAGGGGGTGGTGTGGGGTGAGGAACTTTACTCTGTAAATTAAATAACTTTTATTAGAGGGGGTCAAGAATCTTCCCCGGTCCCTTTCCTAGATCCTTGCATGAATAGAGCACATACAAAGGAAATGAAAAGGTAGAAAAAGAAAAATCAAATTTTGCTTGTTGCATTCATGAAGCATATTTTAAAATTTCTTCTGAGCGGAAAAGGCTTGTCACGTTTTTGGAATTTTTTTTTTTAATTTTTATTATTTATTTTATTGGGGGGGGGGGGGGGGGGGGGGGGGGGGGGGGGGGGGGGGGGGGGGGGGGGGGGGGCAATAGAAAACTCATCGTTTGCTGATCATTAATGTATGATGATATGTTTCTAAATTTAACGATGTGACAATAAACGGGTGTTTTTCACAATTATTTCCAGGTCTGCACACATTAACTTGTTGTCAATTAATAATAGGACTGTCAAACCAACCATGATTTATAAAGATAAGTCTGGTGTCCTCATGAAAATAAATAATGAGCATTTAATGGGATAATCAAAAACGATCTAATGTGCAGAGAATATACTGACTATGCTTTTAACCTTCGAAAAAGACGACAAACGTTTGATTTAGAACAATTTGAAACGTGACTTAAGTTAAAATGTTGAGATACATGTATATGATTTTTTATCTAAATTTAGAAAAACTAGGAACTATTATGATTTTTTTTTAAACGGTCAAAAAATCTTGAAGTTAACTTAACCCAAAGAAGATATGGTCTGGGATCAAGAAAACCAAGATTTCGAATAAAAATAAGATGTGTTTGTGAAACACTGATGCCCCCGTATGGCAACATAGCGAAGGTTAAGCTTTCTCAAATGCAGATCAAATATGTTGGTACCTAAAGTAAGGCTTTTTCACAAGAAATACAAATGAGAAATATCAAAAGGCTATGACCAAGGTTAGCGTTTCAAAGGTAGGACAAACTCCGGTTCAAGGTCAAAGGGTCAAGGTTGTTGATAAGGAAATCTCCGAGGTCAAGGTCAAAAGATCAAAGTTGTTGGTACTCAGTGGAAGGTCTTGCAACAAAAAATATATATTTGAAGTATAAAATCCTGGTGTCTAATGTTCAAAAGATATGGCCGAAGTAAAAGTTGGAACTTTTCTGTAAAAGTGGGTCAAACTCCAAGGTCAGGGACAAAAGGTCAAATTTGGTGGTACCCAAAGAAAAGTCTTGTCACAAGGAACACACATGTGAAATATGAAAGTCATAGCTCCACTAAATCAAAAGTTATGGACAAGGTTAAAGGGTAAATTTTTTTGTAACTTTCACTAGGACACAAACAGACATACTGAAAGACAGACAGCTAGAAACACAGTCAAGGTTAAAGGGTTTTTTTGCTGACAAACAGACATACAAACAGCTAGACAGACAGACGGACACGACAAAAACTATATACCCCTGAAACTTCGTTTACGGGGGCATAAAAAAGATGTGTTTTTGAAACACTGATGCCCCCGTATGACAACATAGCGAAGATAAAATTTTCTTAAATGTAAATTAAATATGTTGGTACCCAAAGTAAGGTCTTCTTTATAAAAATACAATTGTGAAATATGAAAGCCCTAGCATAACCTGTTCAAAAGTTATGGCCAAGGATAAGTTTTAGAAAGAAAGGTCAAACTTAAGGGTCAAAGGGTCAAGGTTGTTGGTTTTTAACGAGAAGTCTTGTCACAAGGATTACATATGTGAAGTATGAAAGACCTAGCCTTAACCTTTCAAAAGTTATGGCCATGGTTAAAGTTTTTAAAAATTAGGTTAAATTCCAAGGTCAAAGGGTTAAAGTTCTTGGTATCCAAATCCAATGAAAGGTCTTTTCACAAGGATTAAATATGTGAAGTGTGAAAACCATAGTTTTAACCCTTCAAAAGTTATGGTCAATAGTAAGTTAATCTCCACGATCAAGGACAAAGGTACATTTCTTGGTATCCAATGAAAGTTCTTCTCTCAAGGAAAACATATGTAAAGTATGGCCGAGGTTAAAGTTCTGTTTAAAGTACCTAGGTCAAACTCAAAGGTCAAGGTCAAAGTATCATAATTATTATTATTCATTGAAAGGGTCATGTCACAAAAAATACATATGCAAAGTATGAAAGTTCCAGTATCTACCGTTCAAAAGCTATGGCCAAAGAAAGAGTTAAAAAATTTTTTGTAAAAGTGTGTCAAACTCCAAGGTAAACGGTCAAATTTGGTGGTACCTAAAGAAAGGTATTGTCACAAGGAATACATGTGTGAATTATAGAAAGTCATATATAGTTCCACTAAATCAAAATACATGTAATGCGTAATGTTATAAATTGTTTTTGCGGACAAACAGACAAACAGGAGGACGGACACGACAAAAACTATATACCCTCGAATCTATGCTTAAGGGCATAAAAATTCTCTAGAGTATATTTTCTTACACCAGTAACTTGATTCTTAGGTCAAAGGTCAAGCTCCTACATTGAGAGTAATTTGATTCCTAACTCAAAGTTCAAGGTCATCAAATGAGTAGGTACACCCTCATACTCAATATCATATAAAGGTTTACAATTACTGTGTGCTTCAAAAAGTGAATCAAAATTACGCAGTTCGTCAAAACGGAAATAGCAAGAGAATTTGTCAGACTGTTAAACAAATGCCTACACTATCTATTAAATTAAATAAGGTAAGCTAATTAGTGCATATATCATATTATGCTGCAAGTTAAATACTATATAGGGCACGTTAAGGGAATAATTTAAAGAATAATTAACCAACAATGTCATAAACTGGTCATGTTAACATTGGCCTTGAGGGTTTTATTCATAAATATCAGTTCTTATTACACGATATTGAAATGAAAAAAAGTGTTTTATATAAATTGTCAGTAAAAGAAAATACACCAAGCAGAATTAAATTAGTGGTTGTTTATGGAAAGAACGTATTTAATTAAATGGAGAAATTTATTTAGTTTTTGTTTAAATTTTCGGCGATCCTGAATAATAAACAGCAAAACAGACATTTTGAATTCCACATCCTGACAGGTTTTCCGCTCTTTAAAGTACTGCCCTAGGGATATTACGAAAATAGTTATTTTTGACTTTTGGGGGGGAAAAGCCTTTTTAGTTTTTTAAGACTTGAATGTACGACTGGGCCACATGCAATAAAACTTATTCTCCTTTTATGTCTTATAGACATTAGGACTTCCACATAAACGATGTATTTCTGTAACTTATTATAATGAGCAATTAATAAGCAATAAAGTTGATGATCAAAAGCAATTAAATATGCAAAAAAAATCAATTAAATGGTTGAATAAAAAGTCTATCAATTTACACGTGATTTGTTTATAATTACTGTCATAAGATATTGTAAGAATGTCCTTGAATTCAGACAAGTCGAAAAACAATACAAGCAAGAATAAATATGACTAAAATCAAAACAGAATACATACAAAAATATGAACCATATAGACAACAACTTTGAACCAAGTGCAGAAAAAAAAAACAATACAGGCAAAAAGTCAAGACCCAACACAGTCAAGGACAACCTTGAACTGAGCCAACGACCAACAAAGGCAAGAACAACTGTGAACCTAGTCCGGACCCAATACAGCGAATGAGAACTACCCAGTACCAACCAAAGCAAGAACCAACATAAGGAAGAATAACTATGAACTTAGTCATGAAAATAAAAATATAGGTAAAACGATTATAAACAATGTAAAAATACAACAGAGGCAAGAACAGCTATCTGAACCTAGACTAAATACAACTTATACAGGAAAATCTGCACATAGTCCAAAATTACACAAGCAAAATCATCTATGAACAAAGTCAGTAACAACACGTACTACAAAAAAGTATGGACCAAGTCAGGAAACGATTCAGACAACTAAAGAACTAGAACTGAATCTAGTCAAAAAATCCACAAGCATGAACAACTGTAGACACGATATCACAAAATAGGCAACCAAAAAAAGATTTGTGAGCTGGGCATACCCTCTGACTGGAAACTCCAAGGGTGGCATTAGGTGTCCAGGAGAAGTAAGCGACCCCTGTCGACCTGTTACGTCCTCCATGAGTCCTATATATTGATAAGGAAGAAGGTATATACCGTACATAAAAGTATAAAAACAAAGGCCTAACAAATTATGTAAAATGCTAGTTGTCATAACAATATGACCCAGTGGTGGGGGGCATGTCAAGTGGGCTGGTAGTTTTTGTGTGTGGAACGATTACTTTTTTTCTCTAAATTAAATGCATGTATATTGGATACAAATCTTTCACTCTTATGCATAATAATTAATCGTTTACATGAATATTACAGAATTTGATTGCACATTTCCTCAACTAATTATTATATAATCGAATTACGCAGCCTATCAAAATGAAATATAACTTTGACAAGCAAAGGATGTTTAACTTATAAAAATGTAAATAAAACAAGATTTAAAATTCTAATAAGTAATTCTAACGTTCTGACAATCTATGAGAGGGTGCTATTCTTGTGCTTGCACGTGACCGTATGATTTGATGTTTCTATATTAGTAATGTAGTACATTATCGTTCAGTATAATGCAAGTACACACTGCAATACAGTTGGAGCTAATAATTCATATACTAGTAATTAATGTAATCAATCTAGATACTGATTTTCTGCACACAGGACCAATGATAACCGAATTTGACAATGACTTGTGATTTTGTATCGGAATACAACTTATTAAAAAGATCAACAGGTATATTTTATTTTTTCTTTTAATTTATGAAGTAAATTATTGGTAATATGATTATTATTAAGTTTTAGATTCTCCATAGATATGTTCGTATTTTCTTAAAGAAAGAAACGTGTAATTAATATACAGGTAGAAATAAAAATGAAAGAAAGTAAACGTTTAACATAGGGATGAACTAATTCTCCATTATAGTTATGTTTTTTAACAACAAAAACTATGTTTATGAGGATACGGTTGTAGCTTTGCAGAAAATACATATACATGCAGTAACCAGCGTAAAGAGTTAATTTGAATTTATTTCTCCAATGATTGTAATATCATTCACTGAATAACAAAAAACAATATTCAGAAATTCTTTTTCGTTTTGATTTGGCTTGCTTCTTACCATGCAGTTGCATACACATGTATATGTTTAAAACAAAAACAATGTCTTGCCATTCATTTTTTTTTTTTGCCTGAAAAGTCCTTATTAACTTCAGGTGTGCTCTTGAATGTTTTTGCATATATGACTGTTCGCTGTTACTTGTCGCAACTGTCATTAAGTGCCAAGAAAGAATATGAAATATGACCGATAATGCACTATGCATTTTTTTTCATGACAGCAATACTCCCGACTAATGACAGCGCATTTATTGAGAAAATATCTAGCTAACTGATTTTATGATTTAATTTATAACCAATCCGTCTGTCTGCACCTTAGAGTTCATCAGGTCAAATTTCAAGATTAAAAGGCAAAATAATTAGTCTGATATACGAGATGCAACTTGATTGAATTTTAGCCTTCAGGCTCATTATTTCAAACGAAGTGTAAACATGGAAAATGTAATAAATCTATAATAGTACACAGTTTGTAATTTTTTTCGGTTACATGAAAAGTATGTTTTCTTTCATGCAATAAGGCCATTCTTTAGTATTATAAACTTGTGGTTTTAAAGTCTAGAATACGTGTTTAAAATTACCAATGAACTAAATGTGGTTCATTACTGATGAACTAAAAGTCATGAAGCCTTGTTCATATGATCCGTACATCTCCTTTGATGTCACACTTATACTGAACCTTGAATAATTTAGCTCACCAGAGGAAGTGATTCTCATTTTCTCAACAATCACTTTGGTAATAAACAATGTACATGTATATATCTATTTTTTGGTTTAGGTTCTGAAAATTTATATTGATGCTAACAAAAATGTCACTAAACTCTCAATGTTCTTTAAATATGTCATTTTTAAATACTTTATATGGGGTAAACATCCAGGAAATGCAAATGAAAACATCTACTATGCATTTTCCAATTCAAATTTGATCAACAAACACATTTTAGAAATAAAAAGCATTGTTATCCAGGCTTTTGAAGAAATTGCACAATTTTTATACGTATGATTAGTTTCTTCTACTAAGGTATTTACTTTGATCATTTTACAATGCATAGTGTATGAAAAATTTCCTATCATTGCAAAACACCTTTAATCACTTCTAATTTCATATTTTGGCAATAAAAATTATTGCATAGATTTATATTTAAAGATTAAATAATTTTAAAATACTTTTATTCCTTTAGATACTTTTTAAATCAAATTATAAATTAAAGAGTTATCCTTTCTGGCTGAGGATTGTAGTACCTTAACTCTACTTTAACGCTTACTGTACATAAATTTTATACGCATATGGTAATGATTCAAAATACCGTAGGGGTTTTAAGTTTTGATTTGAAAATTCTTAAACTTTGCAGTTTTTTTCATATAATGCATAATTTTATCTATTTTATCAATTTTTTTGTTGAAGTCTATATCATGAAGTCTTATGGGGGACACTCCGGTCATTTAAACGTAATGGGATTTTCAATCATTGTTTTATTTCCTCTCACTTTTGGTGTCATTAACCAAAGCATGTTAACACACTCTGTGGTGACGAGCCACAGATTGCCTTTTTGGTTTAAGTTGTGTAGATGGAAATGTATACAGGTATGTAACATACTAGTAGTCATTTATTAGTGGTATTTGACGATTCGGCCATCAATTTAGCTGATATTAACAGAATAACTGTTTTATATCGTGCCATGGAGTTGATCTTACATGTTTACGGTGGTATTTCTGTATCCCTTTAGTGTAACTCTCAGTGTGTACCGTCCTGCGTTTCTCCCCCTCCCCCCCCCCCCTCCAACCCCCATAAAGACCTCTCCCCCATTGTTTTCTATCACAGCTTACATTTCTGATCAGGTTGTTAAATGTGAACGAAGAATATTAATCAGGAATTATATATTTGAGCACACATTTTTGAATGCTTTGTCAAAGCCCCATGAACACAATAAAAAATACATGTATATAAAAATAGACAACATTTATATGTTAATTTAGCAGAACATCTGTCAGATTTTAACATTCATGATGAAAAATAATATCCTAACACAAAAGAATTAATTTAAATGAACGTACTTTTCCAAAATTATTAAATAGATTAACTGTCTTTGAAGTTTTGACATGATATCTAATTTAGAAATATGAATTGATATATAATACATTTTATACTTGTATTTATTTATTAACTCTCTCTCTCTCTCTCTCTCTCTCTCTCTCTCTCTCTCTCTCTCTCTCTCTCTCTCTCTCTCTCTCTCTCTCTCTCTCTCTCTCTCTCTCTCTCTCTCTCTCTGCATGTAATGGAGTATAAATTCTAAAATCATGATTATTGATAAACTTGTCAATATTAATACATGTAATTATTGAAAAGAGTATACATATGTGCCCTTTGCCCAATTACTGCTGACATACACGGATCTAGAACGGGAAAGGGGTTGTCTGGATCTCCCTGGAATGCGTGGAGTTAAATGTATATTTTTCACTTTGGGTATTATATATGTATTACATGGACTAACCAACATAAACAGCAATTAAATCTATAACAAAGAAACGGACTATTCGTCATGTCTTCTGTTTATATACATGTGTAGCGACAACATCAATATAAAAAGTACTTCCCAAGCTTTACTGACGGCCTGCATTATTCGTTGCATATATACATGCAAGAACGTACATGTATGTAGGTGGAGGACGCCTACCTTTTTTGGTCATTTGAACAAAGGTCAAGGTCGAATATTAAGAAATTTTATAAAACATAACAAATTTCTTTGATGCAGTATATAACTTAGATTTTCATAAGCTAAGAAAATGTTTATTTCTATATGAATGGATGCATGGCAGGAGGGATGTAGAAGAAGACATTTGAAGCTTTTGAAAGCATTTGATCAAAGGTGAAGGTCGTGCAGAGAATTGACACTAGTGCTGTAATATTTTTATAATCATTAAATCATCATGTCATATATTTACTTAGCTGCAGAACTGTAGCTCTCCGAAAAATATTTTGACAGACCTGAGAGCTACTGTGCCACCCACTGAAAAAACTGCATATTTATTGCGCACAAAAATTTGCGCTTGGATCTGTATTAATTATTCCAAATTCTTTACTCAATTGCAAAATAGTTGGATTTCAAACAATTCCTTACTTCTCTATCAAGTACTCTCATAGTTTACAACTGCACGAAGCACTTTAGACTGAAATATCTTGCAAACCAAAAAATGGCAGTATAAATAGATGAAATTTTCGATGATCTCAATTTCAGGGCCAGGAGGGCTACTTAGCTGCAGATCTGTAGCTCTCCGAAAAAAAAATATATTGATAGACCGGTCTATCAATATATTTTTTCGGAGAGCTACAGACCTGCAGCTAGAGGGCTACTAACATCAATTATAAGAAATGTTTTGTTGTGGAAACAGTGAAAGAATATGTTAGGAACACATGGTTAGTAATATTTTGAGATGACGGTTTAAAAAACATGGAGAAATAAATGGAGAAACAGCGCAAATTTTTGTGCGCAATAAATATACATGTACAGTTTTTTCAATGGGTGGCACTGTAGCTCTCCAGTCTGTCAATATTTTTTTTTCGGAGAGCTACAGTTCTGCAGCTAATATTTACTAGATATAGATGGAGAATTTGCAAAGAAAGTCACTGTCTTGATCAAAGGTCAGAAATCATGCCTTTTTATGCAGGAAATTAATATGTGAAACACGTTGGTTTTGTCTCTTGAATAGAAAAATCAAGTATAATGCTCTAAAATTTTAAGGGTAAATGCAGAGACTGTGGCATTTATAACAAATTTCAACTTACCTGAAAAAAAAATACAAGCAAGCAAAATAAAGAGAGAGAGACTTGTCTAAATTCGAAAATCCTATTTCGTGGGGTGGGGAGGGGGGTTGTGGGTAAACTTTATTACTATACATTACCCTTATTTGACTACTCTGCAAGAAAAAAATGGGGGGGGGGCAGCCTTTCAATGTACATTTTCAATAGTAAAATTTTATGTGTGCAAATAAAATCGGGCAGACACCCTGCACCCCTCCCCCCGATGCCAAGTCCCTGAATTCTAAATATTTCCAAATGAAAACTTTGTAAGCACTACGAATTTTACAATTTTCACAGGAAAGAATCTTTTAAGTGGTTAGAACTTGTTTTCAGTCCTTTTTATAGCTACTAAATATTTTCAGTTCTAATTGAAAATGTTCATGTTGTGCAAAGCCTAGATTTAGGCTAAGGTCGGAAAAATAAAAAAAAAGTTTAGTTAAGTCTTTCATATTAGACATGTTCTGTATGATTTTGGTAGTTTCCCCATGTAATTTCTCGTCACGTTCGCAGTTGAATAAAATGTAAATATGTGCATGCACAAGTAACGAACTATATACGGGATTAATTTTTAAGAAAAAATATTTGTGTCATGTGGCATAAATATATACAAAGTATACATTCCAGCTGTCTAGTTATTCAAATATATTAAAGAAATAAACAATTGTCCTAGTTTTCTTCGCCCTTAATTTTTTCTGTATAAAAAACAACAAGTTCTAGCAATATCGTTACTGACCGAATGTTAACATGTACAGTATGTGATTTATAGAATATAAAGTGACACAATTGTTTGATATTTATTGAGAAAATATCACTAAAACCGATTCTTTTTTTTTGGAAAAGCATATCGACTGAGAAGCCGAGTGGGTATTCCACGAAACAAAATTATTAAATTGCATTCTCCCAGCACCCAATCCCATCCCCATCCCCGATATTCTTACATACCACATATATTAATTTTAAAAAGGTAATTTAATGTCAGCGTTATGTGATCCTGTGATTATGTTATGTTTTATCTATTCTTTTTTTTTGGTTGTAATTTTAGTGGGCTATAGGAGCGAGTACGTGTACGACCATGTAGCCTTGATAAAACTACTTATGCCAGCTCTACAGTCGCAGAAAGGATACTTTCATGAAAAATATGAGATTCAAAAACACAGTAAGTAATGCCAGCTAGGGACCCCTATACTATTATATATGAGTATATAGGTCCTTGGTAGTGCTTTTTAGCATAAAATGTTGCTTGTTCATGGAATTTGAGATTTTAAAATATATTTAAAAAAATATTTTGAAATTATAAATGCTTTTCAGTATTACGTGTTGCTTGTTCATGGTATCTGTGATATAAAAAAAATACACGGAGAAAAAAAAGATTTAGCAGAGCGTGGTTTCGATCCACGGACCTCTGGGTTATGGGCCCAGCACGCTTCCACTGCGCCACTCTGCTACATGAAAAACGATGTATTCTAATATGTACATATTCATAACCCGGAAGCCATTCTTGCGAGAAGTCACGAGACTTCATTCATTTCATTTTACGCTGAGGCCCACTTAGAGGATGTAAAAGTATCATAATAATGTCGTATTCTGCCTTAAAAAGCATATTTTATCAACATCTAATCAATTTGAAACATTTCCTGTGAAGGAATTACTGTATTTAATTGATTTGTGAAAGGTAACTTGATTAAAATGAACGTATTTGTAGTAGGAATGTTTACACTTTGCCATTACTGTCATTTCGAATTATCTCGCATTCGTGTACATGTTTTCTACATCAGTTGTGAACCTGTTCTTGGGTATTTATAATCGCATAAAATATCAAATAATTGTAAATAATTCTGAAAGTTTTAAAGCATAAAGATATTACAGTTGAATAAAGGTGATTTATTTAGTCTGTGAACAGGAGTGAGAAATATGAAAGGGGTGTTGACATGTATTGAAATATATGAAAGCTATCATCTCATAATTTATATCTGTTACAGGAGCTATGAGTGTGATTGATTATGGACAGACAGCAGAAGACCACCAGAGTTTGCTGGTTTTGGTGAAACACACAGGACTGACATTATCTCAACAAAAGTTCAGGAAAATATGGGAGAGGATCCAAAAATTAAGTTCTGTGGGCATTCCAGGACAGAAACGAAATGCCTGGGTTCGATACAAACAGAACTACCCTAAGGAGAACAATGATTGGGGTGATTATCAAGCTCACAGGAAGGCATTAGGACTGATCTCAGTCGGAGAGTGTAGTACAAATGAGGAGTTTGAAGAATTATTTGAGAGTTATAGAAATGTCAAAGAAGACTACGCAAATACATTGTTTAATTCTCGCCTCATTGTATTTGGCATGAATAGAAATGGGACTCCTCTGAGTGAAGAAACAGAGGACGATGAAACGAAGTCAGACCGGGTATCTCCAGGGAGGGCGGATAGTGAAGACAGCGGGGTCACGTCAGATATCAGTCCCTCAGAGAATGTCACAGAGCCCTACAAGCCTGCCCTCACAGAGACTAAGAGTGATCCCTCAAGCTCAAGTACAAAAAACAGTGAAGGCAAAATCACTTTTATGAGTAAGAAACCAGTGAAAAAACAAGAAAGCAGTCCACTTTTCCAAAGTTCTCCAATTTCAACTCCACCTGGAACCCCTGTCTTCCGTAGACCACACAGTAATAGTTTCACTAAAGACAGCACTGGTGCAGAAGTCATATTCTTTCCTAGTATTCTTGATAGTCAGGACTTAGAAGAAAAGTTAAAAGAATTTGTTGTGTCTTTATTCTTTGTGTTAGAGGGTAAACGTCTGGATCGGTCATTTGAACGCCATGACAGAATTCAGCTCTTATGTGCACCATTTGAAAGGAAGGACTACATTGGATTAGATACAGACACTAAGTATGCTTAGTTTTCAAATTTTTCTACTTATCAAAAATATTAACATTTTGTCTAACACATTTTATATTTGATAATATTCAACACACATTTTATATAACACATTCTAAGCTAAATTTTTTTTTTTACATTTTCATTTTTTTGAGAAATATTAAAGTACAATATTTATAGTCACAGTGTAAGGATACCTTTACTTTATAAATGAACAAACTTGCTTTGTAAACTGTTAACAAGAGAAAAACTGTTTAGAAATTAATAGACTTTTATGGACCAAATGCTTTAAATGTAATTTTATCTTCTTTGTTTTGGTTATTGTCAGGTCTTTTAGAAAGAAGTGTCAAGGAAGATTACGGAAGCACCTTGCTGATTTGTGTTTACAAGCTGGAATTCCAGGGGAAGCAATCCTCCATTATGAAACTGCCATAGATATTTTACGTCCAGTCAATGATACACTGTGGATAGGAGGTTTGTTCATGGTTGATGTGTTTACATCATTCTTTGTAGCTGTTTTTACGTAGTTCAAAAAAGTAAAAGTTTGTGGAACAATTTAATATTTTAAAGGAGAATCATCAGATGTTCTGAATAAAACTGAAATTTTCAAATTGGTCTCATTGAAAGAAACCTTTTGGAGAAAAATTTTGTGATGAAAAATGTGATGTTTTTTGTATTTATTTAAATTTTAGCTTGTTACGAGGGTCTTGCATCGGCTGCAGTAGTCATTAACTACCCGAAATCAGTGGCACTTTCTGGACTACGTAGAAATGTCTATTCACTCTCGGCAAAGAGGGGCTCTTCCATGCTGAATGAAGCCAAACTGAGGACTGGTAGTTTAAACAACAAAACCAACGGAAGTTATGGAACAGAGAGTGTGCCTGAGAATTTGTCTAAAGTAGCACCTGACCCGACTGACATCATAGAAAAATACAGGGAAGCTCTGATTAATTATAGCAAAGTGAGTTTTATGGAATTTTTTCAGAGACAGTCATTTAAATAACTGACTTTATCTTTATTGCTGACATAATAGAGTGATAATAATAGATATATTTGTTTTGATTTTAATGCAGAACTTGTTGAACAGTGATATCAATTACTTTTTTCCCTCATCTTTTGAAAGTTCAAAGGTGCAGCGGTGATTGAAATAGAACTCAGCTTGAAAGCCTGTAGAGTCCTGACCATGCAAGGGGTAAGAGAAAATTTTGTGTAAAGTCACAGGAAAGCAAGAAAAAAATATCAAAATTTAAATATAATTACCTATACTTGTACATGTATATGTAGATATTATTTGAGCAAAAGTTTGATTACTCTTCTTATCAAAATTTGTCTTTTGTGTGTATTTTAGTGTAATGTTAGTTTTTTCAGAACCATAATTAATTCCATCATACTTGCTAAACATAACAAAATCATGTCAGTTAAATGATTTTCATTTCTCAGACAGAGCAATATGACAGAGGTTTGTTGTGGCCCAGTGATGTATTGTTTATGCATTATGTTTGGAAAGAACTCGCTATTTGTTAATAGTCAGAATGGTATTTCTTTTCAGAAACATCTGCAAGCTTCCTCTTTCCTGCAGAATGTCATCTACATCAACTACAATGTCAGCGAAGAGGATAAGGTAAATGTTGTACTCATGCATTAGACATATTTAGAGATACATTTTCTACAAAAAATTCTGTGAATGGTAAATCTATTACCATACAAGTAGAAATTTTAAGTAGAAATTTTAGCGAGGATCGCTAAAATTACATATCGCTAAAAATTTATTGCGTTTTATTTGTAATAGGTTCTTTAGTGAACATTTTAAAATCGCTAAAATTAAATCTCGCTAAAAATAAAATACCAGTTTTTAAGGACAAATCACTAAATTTGCCTCTCGCTAAAATTTCCACTTATACGGTATTAATTAGATAAGCATAACAATTTACTTCTCAAGGTAATTGAATGTTTACTTACAGAAACTTGTAGCTATGTTACTGAGTAAAAAAAAAATTACATCTAAAAATTTATTAAGTTGAACGAAAATTTTTAAAATGGTGTAAATTAAATTCATTGTACATGTACTTCCAAAGTATCAAATTCATTCTCATAAACTTTTATTTACAGATACTTAGGTATTGCACTCTTTCCGAGCTGTATTCCGATATTGGATTTCATCGAAAAGCGGCATTCTTCAAGCGGATAGCTGCCATGCAGTGTGTGTCTTCCCCTCAGGCCACACAGCAGAACTGGGGTCAGTGTTATAACCTCCTAGTCCAAGTCCTGGAGGGGTACAATATACACCACAGTCCAAAAGACAAACATATTGGTAAGTAAGCTGTCGTGGAAAATTTGTTCTCAGACTCTTTTTGACATGTCAGATTTATTAAGATGACTTGACATTTGTTTCTTTGAATTTTTTATATGTTTAATGCTTTAATTACAAAGAAATAGTTCTTGGAAAATAAGGAAAAAAAGATTTACTAAATGTGTAAACTTCTGTAAAAATGGATTGAATATGATGACAGTTTTGTTCTGTTTATATTGCAGGTTCTGACACCGGGTGGCCTGTACTGCAGTCAAGAGTGCTCAATGAACTCATTTTTTCTGCTCGTAAGATGGGTAAAATACCACTTGCAATCAGGTTGGTTGATTTCAGTATTAAAATATATTAATTTTCTTATATAAAATTTTGATTTGATTTACATTAACAGTTAGAAATTTCTTTTCTTGAACTCATCTGGAACTGAGATATATATACATGAAGCTAATTTGAAATGTTTGACATACATCATGAAATGTTTTACTCAGAAATAGCTATTAAACAGTTATGCTTTACAGCACTAAATCATACATTACATGAGTGTAATATACAGTGTAGTTATCAATTTTGTATTTCAGACACACCACCTTTATGATACAGTCATTACACCAGTTCCTGTCACTCTCTGAGAGGAAGGACATCTGCCGGACTCTGGAGCAGCTGACCGCTCAGTCGGACGGGAATTGTCAGTCACTGGCTCTGGACAATGGCATGATCCTCCCCCCTGTACCATTCACCAGTATACCCTACGTAAAGTAAGTGGTTTTATCAAACTCACAAGTACACTGTGATACACATTTTCCTTTCTCAGTTTTCAGTGTTTTTCTTGTCTTTTGAGGAAAAGGAGTGAATTACTTATGAATTTTGCCAAACTTTTGCAATTTCTCCTCTCTTGAAAATCACAGATATTGGTTGCCTGCAAAATGAAAATTGTTGTGCTGACTGGTTCATGTGTAACATGTGAATTTTGAATTTGCTATTGATGTACACAAAAACATAACACCTCAAAAATTATTCAAGATATAACACCTGTGTTGATAGAAGTTTCATTGCCATCCTTTTTTCAGGTCTTTCAAACTTATAAGATTGCGGCCTCACCTGGAACCAGTCAAATTAAAGAAACTGGGAGAATCAGCTTCAAATACAGGGCCATTTATATTTACACCTTTAAATCTAGGAAAACAGAGAGATACAGAAGATGAGGGAATGATGGGTAATTACTAGTGAACCATATAAAGTATATGCATGTCTCTGCCAGCATATGCTTATCAAGTTTTATAAGATACATGATGACTATCAAGTTTTCCCCACACATTTCCAACCCCAACCCCTCCCTCCAAAATAATAAAGTGGGGGCTAAAAGTGGAAGCATTATGTTATAAACACTTAATTTTCTTCTTTTGTAAGTCTGTACAGCAATTTTTTTAATTGTTTGGTGTTTGTTAACTCTGTGGGTACAATGAATTCCTTTTAGATTTTTGTCTGGTGGCCCGTGATTTGTGTGAAGTGCAATTACAAGTTTACAACCCTTTACCAGATGAATTGAAAGTGAATCAAATGGCAAGTATTGAGTTCAAATCAACATTCATAAGAGATGAAATTTGCAAAATGAGTTTATTATAAAAAATTGTGATATCAGTTAAAATTACAAAGTAAACTTATCTTTAAAAACTTTTTTTGAAGGGTATGTAGAATGTGTATTGAAAAAAAAACACACTGTGAAGCTAAAGAGGCTGAATTTTATAAATTGTTGTGTTATCTTTGTCAGGGTTTAATGGTAGAAGGAGTAGAAATCGAGCCTTACCCCTGTAATCCCTCCATACCCGCGGAGACGGGGCCTTATCTAGTCAAGTTATTATGGAGGCCCAAGACTGCAGGAGATCTGGACATTACAGGTAAGTATCTAGGAATCTCTATGCACTTGTATAGCCACAAAAGGTATAATGGTTTTGAAGTTTGTGTATGGAATTAAAGATGCAAATGGCTTTCTTGATAAAAATGAGTCATCACAAAAAATTTTGAGTGGATTTACTGTTATTAAAATGGAGTTTTCCAAATAATTGGGTGATTTATAGTATGTCAAAATATTTTAAAATTTGTTGTACCATTATTATAATACTGAAAAAGTTCAAACAAACAATTAAGTATTTTATATTTGTGCTTACATTTTACTTGTTTGACAGGTTACTTTACTAGTGTCATGGGAGTAAAAAGTCATTGTAAACTGAAAGACTTGCCACAAATCAATTTGGAGAAAATCACGGTCAAAGTGATTCCTCAACTGCCTCAGGTCCAACTGACAACATCGCTACCCAAGGCAGACAACTTCCTGTCTGGGAATGACAGCGAATACGTTGTTACCAGTGGAACAACAACCCTGTTTGCTGGACAGAGGTATGAAAAATCAGTAATCTTTTGTTTGATGAAAAGTTGAGCTAATGAATATTCATGAACATAGTAGGAAAATTTAACACTTGGTGTTTTATGAAAGTTTTGAGAAACTTGCATGCAATTTGAAAGTTTAAGATATACCTGTATACATGTAATTTGATTAGTTTTGACTAAGACTAAAATCCCCCCCCCCCCCACTCTGCAACAAATATCTATGGTACAAAAAACGTATTTTATTATGACATTGAATTAATATTATATGATTAAGCTGCAAGTAATTATTTAGAAAAAAATTGTAAAATAAAAATATAGAGAGGTGAAATAATCTTGTGTTCAAGAATTGTAATATCATAAGGATTCAATTGACAAAGAAACTGTTGATTTTTTAATGACACCCTATGCCAGGTCTATAGACTTAAAAGATTTGTTACCAAGAAAGCCATCAAATACAGGTGAATTGAATACATGAATTGTATCTTGCCGTGATACATACATGTATTTGTTTTGGAAATTCAAAAAACATGACTTTAATATTTTTTGCAGAATTTTTAACCCAAATGTTTGAGTGGAGTATGGAAAACATCCAATCTCAGCTTCCATTACAACCCAACAGTGTCATGTGTTTCACATTGTGCATAAATGGAGTGTCTGATTTCATGTCTCACACTGCAAACCATGAAACTGCTGAGCCACAGGTAACCATGTCACTGTCTAGCTGTCCACCTATCTATCTGTAAATTCCTTATTTTTAGTAATTCACATGAAAAATGTCAAATCGCTCAAAAAATATGATAATTAATCACATATAATTTGATACACAATTATGTACACAGAAAATATAGAAAAAAATATGAATAATTATCATGTGAAAGTACTTCTATATACAGTATTACAAGAAATTTCTTATTACATTAGGCCAAAGACTGGCAAATTGAATAGTGGTCCTTTTTTTAAGAATTGAGAATTATTATGCAGTGTAAAACATGTAATTTCTTATTTTTATTGTCCTGTGTATATTTATAAAATATTATGATTTTGCAGTGTGTGGAGTGCTTGTTACGGATTGAGTATAGTGGAGGCCCAGGATTACAGGACAGTTACTGTCGACAGTGTGCCGTCAATTTGTCTGTAGATATTTGTCCATCTGTGATAATACAAGCTTGGGATGCAATTCCAGCAGAAAGGTAACATTCAGTTACATTTTATTATGCATTTAATTAGGGATAAGGCAGTTCTTGTAATTACATGTACAGTGTACAGAAGTTTTATGCTTTCTTCATCTTATACTCGGAAAAGATGTTCCTGTTTTTAAAATGTTTTTTTTAACTGTTGTAAGACAGAATATGTTGTTTTTCACGTCGTAGTTAATATTGTTGGTGCCCATCATTGTTTGTAGGCCTGACCACTGTTATCTAGTCTTTGACCTGCTGAATGCCTCAGACACTGATCTCTCTGTTCAACATTCCACACAGTCATCTACTCATATCTTGCCAGGACACACAGAAAGGTACAGGTCTTTATCATTTGTTAATTGTGCTCGGGTTTCTTGTAGGCACAGAGACATTATATTTCATTTGTCTGTCTAAACATGTTTGTATAAAGTGAATTTTAATGTATTTGTTTTAAATTTATATTGTTGTAGAATTGCTGTTGAAATAGAGAGATGTGAATTTCCATCATTACCGGACAACGTTCATCTTAGAAACCATGTTAGACAAGGCCCAATAGCCAATCATTATAGTACTTATTTAAACCAGTTTGTTGACATCCGATGGCAAATGGTATCCTTTTCAACAACACACTTTAGAAGAAAGGGAGAAATTCATTCTCAAACAAACTCTTAATTAATTTTCTTCTTGATGAATTCAATTTGGTATTAAGTTGTGAATGTTTATAATCAGTATCCTCATTTTTACAAGAAATTTGTCCTTTTTTGTGCGATGAACTAGCAACATTTTTCTTTAACTGCTACATAGCCTTCTTTAAAAACCGGTGGCAAGGTTTCTATAGATCATATAGAATGGTCTGAGGAGCAACTGAATCAAATTCAGATTTCACCAATTGTATGGGGTAAGTTTTCCAAGTACAATGAATATAATCAATAAAATTATTTGTTCTGGTTAATTAAATGTGTAATTACTGTGTGACTCATTTATTGCAGAAGTAAAGCTAAATGGTGCATTTTTCCCGCTGAAGGAGTCATTAGATTTGTCTGTGATGGATTGCCTTGATGTGGTGGCAAGAGTAACCATTAACGAAGGTATGTTATACTTCATAATTAATACATTGACTTATACCTGTATCTCTCTCAAATTTATTCATAGAAGTGATGCAATAGTGATGCAAAGTTTATAACAATGAAAGAGTTATGAAAATTTTCATTGGAAACTCATTTTGTATTCATCAAAGCATCTTAAGTGTGGGAAAATTCAGGTTTGTTCAAATCTTGGCCTCTGAAAATGGGATGGGACGTATTTCACAGCCCCAAAAAAATTTAAGATTATATGGAGAAAACATCGGTGCAATTTTTCTGAACATTAACCTAGTTGTTTGTATGCTGGTCGGAGGAAGCATTGTGTACGTCTTCTTATTTTCCAGTTTACGTGTGCCGAAATTCACACCTTTTTCAATTTTTATGCATACCTCATATAACATAATATTATGGCAGAGCAAATCATTGTTAGACTCGGGTGAATGTTAATTGTTTAATGTTCAGCTTGGGTAATTTGAATGGTAAATGAATTATTTTTTTGTGAAATTTTAAACCGTTTATTTTTCAGAGGAATCTATAACAAAACTTAAACATTTTATTTAAAATAAGGTAACTGAATGACAATAAATAATATACACATTGGATTCAATTTAACTTAAAAATTGTGGTAAAAATGCATTCAACATGAATCAATCAAACTTACGACATGCACGACTATTGCATCAGCCGTAATATGGATGCATAGGTTACGTTTGTTTTAAAAATGCCCAATTTCATCTAAATTTTGGTTTGAAAATGAATTAAAAATTAATGATGAATGATTATGAAATAAAAAAGATGTAAATTGAAATAATTTAAAAAATATATGCATTAATTTTTTTCCGTATCTCGGAAGTCGACTTTGCACCGTTCCGGTTCGGAGTTTACAACGCGCATTTCTGTTAACCAATTAGTTGAAATATATGGCTAAATTTATGGCACCTTGACATGAGGCAGGATATAACTTTATATTTAGTGAAATGAGAAGCTTTTGACAGGGTATGGATAAAAATGAAAGCATTTCATAACATTTGTGAATAACTTCTTAGATTTTCTAATAAATGTAGAGGGATAGCTGAAACAAACGAGCTACAGTCTAATTGAAGACATAGTTATAGGCACCTGTAGGTACACGTCCGTTCAATTTAGGTCTTTGGTTTTGTTATATATAAATGATACGTAGTCTCAAGATATATCTCGTAATATCTCGACATTTTCCGACTGTCCCGTCGATGTCGAGATACCGAAGTTTACCTGTACATTGATTTATACCTGTATCTCTCTCAAATTTATGCATAGAAGTGATGCAAAGTTTATAACAATGAAAGAGTTATGAAAATTTTCATTGGAAACCCTTTTTGTATTCATCAAAGCATCTTAATTAAGTTTTGGCAAATTCAGGTTTGTTCAAATCTTGGCCTCTGGAAATGGGATGGGACTAGAATAAGTTCAAAAAATTTTAGGAATAAAAAGGTGAAAGTATATCTTTTAAAAATCTTCAGAATAGTAACAGGGCTATAGTGACTGAAGTAAACATTGTGTATCTTGGGCTTCTTAATAAAAATTTATTTTGCCTTTATAAATCAATTTGAGAATATCCTGATGTTGTATGCCCCGCCATGAATATGGCCGAGGCATATAGTGTTTGTCATGTCCGTCTTCCAGAATTTTACTGGGCTTCCGTTGTCCTTCCTTCACACTTTGTGTTTGTCTGGTGAAGCTCAGTGGGAAAGAAACTATCCAAGAGAAAAACACAAACTTCAATTGATGTATAAAATGATTAATGGTTCTGCACCTGATTATTTGTATGATTTTTTCAACCTTGTTTTCCTGTTCACCTTTGACCTTGACCTCACTTTTAATAAATTAGTGTATACCAGTTTGTAAAACAATTCAAGATAGTTTTATCAAACTTAACATGTTGATACATACTGATGAGAGCTAAAAAACTCTCCATTTTTGACCTTGATCTTTAAAGCCTTTGCCTTGACCTAATAAACCTTTTCTTTAACTTTGTTTAGCTCAGTTTTAAAGATACCTTGCATTGTCAGTTGAAACAATGCTGATACATCTTAAGAGACATTTAAAAAATCATTTTTTATCAGATATTCAATCACTTGTCAAAAGTGTGGATTTCAGTTTTAAAGATACCCTTCAACATTATTTTATCAACTGCCCATATGTGATAATGTTGAAAGAGAACATATTGGTAAAAAAATCAACAATTTTGACCTTGATCTTTCCTTTGACCTTATCAAACAAATTGTAAAATATTTTCATATGTACAAGAATTTATTAAATCTTCTAAAAGACTAAATTAGGGACACTGTTAGGCCAGGTAAAATTAATCGAGAGCTAATTTGCTAAAAAATGCATCAACATGTCTGACCTTTTTTATAATTGTTAATTTATATATAGGCCTAAGTATTTCATATGCAAAACAATGATGAAGCAGTTCAACTGCATCAACATTTTTCATTACCTTAATGCAAATATGACCTAGATTTACTTCTTATCAAATTCTTTTAAATATTTAAAGAAAATTTTTGCTTTAAAAGTTAGATATTTATTGTTAATTAACAAATTATCAAGTACACATTTACGGCACACTTTGAACTTTGAGGTGGGGATCACAATAAATTGTGTATGCGTGACTTCTTATTTTGCAGAATCTATAAAAATGTTCTAATAATTATTCTACTGAAAATTTTTTACCTTCTCTTGACCTGTCTACGATTTGAGATTGACCTCAATTTATCAAATCACACAGTGTAATTCGTTATATATCACTTGAAACCATTTGTCATAATTTTTCGTCTTATGTTTTACATACTTATAGTAAGGAATCTCTCTGCATCACTTTTGGCAGTGATGGTATTCTATATGTGTTTCATACAAATTATTTTTTGTTGCATTATTAATATACTGACAAATTATCTTTTTTACACATTTAAACTGCTGTTATTTATTTTTCGCAATGTCTTCACATGGCGTTTTTGCTATAAATAGCGACACGCATACTTAATATAAATGTATGGCATATAGTGACAGTTTGACCCAAATTCTTACTGAATAAATTGTTCCCCTGGATTTACGAGACAGTACTGTACAAATGGTAACATTACAGTCTAAAATACATGAAAATACCCAAAAATCAAAATAAAAAACATCGGGGCGGGACAGTCATTTTGAGTGGACACATTTCTAAAGATTAATTTTATATGGCCTTATATTAAATATTCTATTAAATGCATAATTTTTTTTTCAAATATTTGTATTAGACTCAGGTAAATGTTATGCATGTTAGGGGGTTGTCATTTTTTTGAATAATAATATTGATTTTTGATTGTAAAATTTTATTTTTCATTATAATTTTATTGATTATAACAGAATGTTATGTATTATGTCCCACTAATTTGATCTGTGACCAATGTTACTGTGGAGGGAGTACATAGGCATTGCCTTCTATGAAACGGTAAATATTATGTTTAAGGGGCCTTAAACCTTCATGTAATATCTCAAAACACACAGTTATTGACTGGGTATGAGGGCAACATACAATATGTTTGACCTGAAATTGAAAATGTTGCCTCAGGCCAAGGGCAAAGAAGATGAGTGTCAAAAAGTTTGGTTCATTGCACTCAAGTGACTAATAAGACCCATGGGCCTCATTTCAACATGCTTCTAGAAAATCTGCAGACACAGCAATACCTTTTAAAATTATTTTTTTTAAATTTACTGTATAATCGATAATCTATTTGCTTTTTTACATTTACTTAGGTGAAGGACGGCCAAGACTTGTTGATTAATCCCTCTTTCCTTATTCACTGTGAAGGAAAATACACAGTAGACATTAAATGTATAGTGATATCATCTGCTGAGGAAAACCCAGAACAAACATTTCATTATCATCCAGTACAACTTGATGTGACACCTTGAATATTCCAAAATATGATTTCATTCATTATTTAATTCAGAGGGTTTATTTAAAATTTCTCTCAGGAAAATTATTAAACCAAGAATGTTGTGAGAGGTTAGTATTTTCAACAGATGTAAAATTAATTTTAATTGAATTTGTTGTTTTAGCTCTACAAGTCCAATACTAGAAGAGCAATATTCATTGGTAAAATGTTTGCTGTCCTTTCAATATTGCCAGTCTGTCTCTCTGTAATAATTTTTTATGAATGTTACTCTTTCTTAAATGGTAATGTGATTTCACGACTTGTCTAAAAAAAAATCTTCATTTCTATTTAAGAAAACTATGATATCATTGCTGATTTTTTGTAAATTAAGCCTAAAACTTAAAATGTTTTCAGAGAAGAAAAACATATGCATCACAAATCTGACTGCATCCTCTAGTCAATAGAGCAACAGTTTCTCCAGAGACTTGGTTTTTTAAGCATTATGCCATGAATTGATCACTGACATTGGCAAGTTAATTCATTTGAGACAGTACTGGATATTTCATTTTTTTTTCATAATTTGGTGCTCAAACATTTTTAAATCATTATTGTAAGCTCATTTTTTCACTTTAATTGTGGGCAATGTTTTACAGTTGGCTGTGATTATAAAAGGCATTTTATCCTCAGTCATGCAAATGTGTTGTTATATTTAGCAATTATTGCTTGTTATTTATCTAATAAATAATACACCAAAACATATATTTTGGCTTGTTTTGTAAATGTTTTATGTTCCAAGGATTCTAGAAAAATTTATAAGGGAAAGTATATCCATTAACAATGATGCTTTTAGAGAGAGTTGGTTCCATTTTAGTTAAGGCTGAGCAAGCAGCATGTATACATGTGTAGAAAGTCATGTACTGTAAAACAAACACCTGGGATGGCAAACTTTCCTTATGAAGTAATATCCACTAATCACCTGTTAATGGTGTTTATCTCTCCCAACTTATTTGCTACTCTAGAGCTTTCTCGGAGTACAATCAATATTCAATGAGAGGCATGCTACTCACATACAAGTTGATTTTACAGGGATATCAACAACCTTGTTTAATGTTGGCATTTTGTAAATTTTATGTAAACATCTTTATAATGACCTTGTTAGCAAATACACCCTGTCATTGGGTTGTATTTTGACTGATTTGTTTCATACCAATTGTTAGGCCTTTTGTTTTTACACTAAACTGACTAAGGGAAGTTCCATCTACCTGAACAACACAAAGGGCTCATGTCGGGTATGACCATTCAACAGGGGTTACTTACTCCTCCTTGGCACCTGATTCCATCTCTGACCTTTGCCCTCTTGAGACCAGTGTGATAAGGGCAAAATTACAACAGAATAAAATTTACCTCTATACAGCATTTGAAGTCCAGAGTCATATCAGGAACAAGATTTAAAGGTATAAACTAAATGAAGAAGAGGGCTGGGTTAAATTGTACTTGCTTTTATTTGCTTAGTTTCAAATCCCTAGGAAAACTGTTAGACTATTTTTTTTTAAACAATAGAGTAGCTTTTGCTGAGAAATTTTCCACAAAAAAGTTTTGTTGGATATCAATCCTCTCAACAATAATAACTTTGCTCCAAAAATCCAAATTGAAAAAAAAAAACCTTCCACATGACTTTGGCCAATCATGTGTATATAAAACATGAACAGAGACTAATTATTATATTATTTTATTGTTTTAAAGCTGGAAAAAAATATATCAAGAAAGGAATTTTTTATTATGCATTTTTTGATTATAACAGAATTAGAGCAGAAAAAGCACTCGAGCCTTTGGTCAGTCAAACTTTGTTATCTTGAACTTGAAGGGACTTAAAAAAATTCATGAATTGATACCCAATGCCTCAGGATATTGAGGGTAAAATACATGTACTTTAATAAATATTGGTAGGAACTTCCAATTCACTTCAAAATACTCCCAGTATTTGAGACATCCATGTTCGAGATACCAAAGTTCAACAGTATCAAATAACAATTTCAACAGTGATGGAATATCTACGCTCTTGGATATAAATTTACACTGTATTGTGCAATTGTTTGAAAGATGAAAAGCATTTATAGATGTAAGTGATTCATACAACAAATAACATAAGAATATACTCTGTAAAATATTAAAACAAAGGAAACAGATAACAACTGTTTTACATCAGTATAACAACAATGAGGCACAAATTACTAAAAGTGTTGAAAAAGAAGACTTGTCAAAGACATTAATAAATACAGGTAAACGAATACACTCACAATAAACTGCAACAATTTTTTTTAAAATGCAACATTTCCTATTTATACATGGACCTTAAAATTACCTGTAAATCAGCTTGTGTCTGGTTACCACTAAATGTCTAGAATTTGTAATTAAGTTGCAATATATACTGGTATGTGTAGTTTTAATATCAGAAATACAGTGTAGCCTAGTTAATCTGGATGTTAATAATCTGAACTCTTCAGCTTCAGGGTGAAATTTGCAAGGAACAATTTATAATTAACAAGTGAGTTTCAGTATTCTGGATTCTTCTTAATCATTAACTAGGCAATTGCACAGAAACACAAATGTATGGATTAACAATGCTCAACTGTATTTACAATTTTTTTTTAAAAAATATCATTACAAGTACAGTACAACCTCCAGTAATTACATCTACATATCAGTAATTGTTTTCTCCCTTTTCTTAAATTTACTAAAACATTTTTGTTGTTTGTTTTTTTTTTTCATTAAAGGCACATAAAAAAAGAAATTTAATATGATGAAATAATTCTTTTTTTTTTTTACAGTAAACCAAAACTCCTCCATCAATGATTTCAGTTTACTCCTAATGCTTGCCAAAGTATAAAATTAGAGCCTGTCAGCCATGGTTAACAAAATCTGACAAAATCCATGATGATCTTTAGAAAATTAAGCAAAACTCAACAAATTAAATTCTTCTCTCCAAAATTACTGTTTATACTCTTAACAATGTATCAAAAACACTTCACCATAATTGAAATTCTGAAAAAAAAATTGAACAAGGACTGTACCCATTCCACCATAGTATTCAGATCCTCCGGTAAACACCAACAACTTTGCTGCAGTTAGGACAAGTGTGTTTGGCATCCTGTAGATCCGGCATACAGAACGGGATCAAACAGCATCCAAGCCAGCATCTAAAATGTACAACAGTATTACTACAAGTAAAATTGATGCAAAGCATCAAATCGGCCGCAAACAAAATTTAGCATTTAAAATAAATCCTTTCACATGCAAGGAAAGCACGTCAAGATATTCAAAGGTTATTTTAGACTGTCTTCAAAGCAAAAAAAAAAAAAAAAAAAAATGAAAAAAAAATTTAAAGAATTAAATACATGTAAATAGATAATTATTTTTACCGCAATAAATTTGATCGATGTAAAAAAATACACACAGATGAATGACAAGAAATTATTGATATAACGAAGATGTTGGCCTGTCAAAATGAACCACGTGGTGATACCATTTTCACATGACATACAATGTATTTCTGCATGCAGAGTAGGCTACATATGCTGCAATCCGTGGTGCAAAATGTAAAAAAAAATATCTTTGTGTCGTTTGAAGATGTACATGTAGAGCAAATGTAGAATAACTTTTACTGGTAGTTGAAAATCTTCTAAAAATTTTATCGCTATGCGTATTACCTCATCATTGTTATCCGGAAAATCATGACGGGGTCATATATACAAACACTCCAGGCTGGGCCACAATGTAAACTCTTTTTACATAACCATAAATTATCAAATTTGATAATTAAATTGAATTATAATAACAACATTCCTCATAAAGCAAGTTTTTAACAAAAATATTGATATATAAGAATTATTTTCTGAAGTAATAAAAAAAAAAGTATGTGCACCTAACACAACCTATGGCTTTGCTATTAACCAGGTACCTCAACAAAGACTGTAGCTCTACTGGCTTAGACTACAAATAGCCTAAAAAATGATTCAAAATCAACCGACACTTTTCATTTAAAACACACACAAGAAGCAGAATGTTATATCAATTGCTGGAGCAGCATTTTAAATAAGACACATGAGCAGCAAAGCTCACCTGAGCAACCTCCTAACAGTGCTGTTTTGAGAAGATTTTTAACATTTTTTTTTTTTTCAGACTCAATTTAGAAGAAGTAAACATGAAGCTTAAAGCAATATGAGCTGCAACCTTGATGTTGGAAATTTTTGTTGAAAAATTGTTATAAACTATTTTAGTAATAGAAAATAAGAACATTTATAAACTTCTGTCTTGCATATTTGCGATAGAAGAACTATTTATGTGCTTAGATTGAAGCAAAACTACATTATTGTCGTCCTGTACAATATTTATTTCTTATATAAAACTATACACTCCACTGCACAGATATTATTTTTTTACCTCAATTTAACACTTTCTTTTAGTCTAACTCATCATAAAAGTTTAAATTACATACAAATTTATTGTAATAGCACATTTTAACAGCAAAATAAAATTCTCAAAAGTGCAGTTCATATTGCTTTAATACTTTGATCCCTTACAAATTTTGGCATACAAAGTATTGTATACCGATAGAAAACTTACCTAAAAATACAAAGTATGCATACAGAAAACTATCCAAAGATACAAAGTAAACCGAGAGAACTTACCCAAAGATACAGAGTAAACCTTCAGTGAACTTACCCAAAGATACAGAGTATGCCTGCTGAAAGCCAGGTAAGAGCACCTGCCTCATATTCCACTGAAGTGGAAATCTGGCTGTTACAATATGGACACACCATTGGCTTACTGAAGGTGTTAAAAGATTGGTCCTGAAGATACACAACTGGCTGTGAAGTTATCACTGTAGTCCCCTGTTGGTATGAACCAGCTGGGTCTATATTTAGAAAAGCAAAAATGGAGAATATACATGACATAGACCAGCCTAGACTAACATTAAATTTCTTCTGCTCTGCACTACAATTTATTTACTGGTCTTACTCTGTTGATATGCTGTAGGCCCAGGTTCATACTTAGGTGGGGCTTCTGCGGGGTAGGATCCAGCTGGAGCCTGTTGTCCGGGCTGGGGAAAAGTTTGATAAGCTGGTGGGTCATTAGAGGGATTTAGTTTAGTCTCCATTCTCTTCTGTCTAGAAAATAAAAAAAATAGATAATTGTATTCCAGTTAGACTTTTAGATTATACCAAAGAAAAAGTCGTAACAGAATTGCCACAAATTAAAGGAATATCATTTTCAAACAATTTCACAAAATATTCTTGATGAATAAATCATGGCATGACAATTAGTAAGATAACATCCTGTCAAAAATTTCTGTACATCTTCTTGCCAAGATAATCAAGTTTCTTATTTTTTGTACTTTATTCTACAAGTTACCAGCTATGACATCACTTTGATTAAATACTGACTTACTTTTACGGAAATACACCTTTTAAAAATAGGCCAAACAACGCTAATCCCTACGTTTTACGGGTTTTTCCTGAACAATTCAACACCTGTAAATTAGCAAGGATGTCACACGACTCTGACGTCAACTTTCGATTTGACAAGTTTACATCCGGCGAAGAGTAGCAGAGTATAATCCGAAGCAAAATTGATCGTAGAGGTTTTTATTGTTATCTGAATCTTTTAAGATTAATATTTAGAAATATTTATAAGAAAATAAATTCAAATATATAAATAAAATCTTTTTTACAGGGAGAATAATTAAACATTGAAAATCCAAATTATTCCGCGTTGTTCAGGGAGGATAACTCTATGACTGTCACATGACTGGAGGAAAACATCAACAATACAAGATCCATTCCGGTGATGTCTTACTAAATCAATGATCCTTTTCAAGGTAAAAGAAACATTAGAATGAAACTGCTATAAGACATAACGAATGAGACACAACGACTGTAGATTTTCATGTGTGGATGATCATCCTTCCATAACTCATTCATTAACTGCCAAATCTTATATTTAGAAATTTTGTAACACTGCAAAAAAGGCAGTGCGAATGATTTACTCAAACGATTTTCCTTATCATTGAAGATTTGAAAAAAATTCTCTTGTTTCCTTTGTTCCATGGAGTATTTTTGCAATTATAGTTGAATTTATGATAAAGAATGTTATCAAAACATGATTGAACACAGTTTCATATAGGTTCAAATGTTCAGGTTGTCTTTACTTTTTCTTATAGATCTGGCATTAAAAATAAGAATGGCAAGACGATCAGAATTTCCTGAATATGGGGCAGTGCGAGAGTACCATGATGATCCATATCATGGTGAGTTTGAATTGAATGATACCGATTTCTGTAAACTAGTGTGAAGAAGAATTGAGTTATATAGTAAAGAGAGACCCCCCCCTTATTTTTGCATCTTTCAACTTTCTTGTAAATGGGTTAATTAAAATTGGGACAATTTCAAGAAAAGCAGCATAATTTCTGGACAAAGTCAACATGTCTTGATGAATGGGGCAAATTTGTTTGCAAGTCTGAAGAGTCAGAAACTAACTCAGGAAAACTAAAATTTAGAAGGAGAAAAAAAGCAGATGGTGGTAGTATATTGATTCAGTCAAAGATTTTGGATTAGCAAGATGATATTTGATCTACATATCCTTTGATGATATTGAACATTATACATATACATGTATTTTAAACTTTGTTTTCAGGATCAGCTAACATGAAATTCTCCAAGATATGCAATGAGATCAAGGCTAATATCTCCAACATAAATGTCGGTGGTAAGTTATTTTTTAATAGAAATGATTTACATCTACAATCAAACTTTGTTATCTCAAGCTCAGTGGAACCAAGAAAGAATGATAAGATATATCTCAAGATTCAAGATATAATAATATGTTTATTCACCAATCAAGGGCCCTCAGGGGGCATGAACAATTTATTTCAATATGATTACACTGAATACAATTGAATATTATAGATGTATAACGTAATATGACTTAGTAATTAGGTCTGACATGGAGAAGTGCAATACCACAAGTTGTATCATCATGAAAATGTAGGATTTGTTACATATTCTAATTCACAGTATAGTCTCGCACTGGATATGTATCAAGGGTAAAATATACTCACCGTCAATAGAAACGCAACACCCTAATTTAAGGGGTAAAAATTATGTACGGGATATAATTATGTACCAAAAAAGTTAGGACATCTTTTACTTTGCCAAATCAGTTATTTAACGGTTGAATGATTTTCATTCCATTACCGGAAGTTGTTATTTTTAGCCCTCTGACCAAAAATAAAAAATTAGCATTTTTAATAAAATTATTGACAATATTTTGGGTTTTCAAGGTTTTGTACCTGTTAATCATAAGTCTTGTACTAAAACTCCGGAAAAAAAATATCCTTCTTTCTTTTCCGGATGTGATGCCTGTATTTCCTCAAAGTAACTGAAAGCACGCATTTTCATTTTTAATATTGGAAATTCTCAAAACAGAGAAAAGAGAGAGCTATAGATGCAAATATACATTACATAACGAATTTTCGGGCTCATGTTTCAAAAGCATGAATGACAGTTCCTTGATCGGAAGTCCAAGGGTTACTACACTACGCCAAGTTAGAGAAAATTCACAGTATCTGAAAAACAGGCATTTAAAAACGGACAAGAATATTTATTTCGCTCAGATTAAGACATTGATAAACTTAATGCATGGTAGAATTCGGGCTGCTTATGTTGTACATGGCGGACTAGCGCGTTTTGATTGAATGGTCAGAAGGGGGGGGATGTTTTAGAGTTATGTGTTTCTTTATAAGGTTTAAAGATAAGATTAAGAATGAATACATAAATGTAAAAAGTAAATTTACAAAACAATGATACTTCATTTAAGTGTTATCTTTAGACCTTAGAAAGTAACACATAGCTTTTAAAACATCCCCCCATCCTACCATTCAATTAAAACGTCCTAGTCCGCCATGTACAACAAACACAGCCCGAATTCTACCATGCAGTAGGTTTATATAACCTGAGCAAAATAAATATTCTTGTGCATCTTTAAATACCTGTTTTTCAGATACTAGGTCGTAACTTGGCGTAGTGTAGTAACCCTTGGACTTCCGGTCAAGGAACTGTCATTCATACTTTTGAAACACATGAGCCCGAAAAGTCGTTATGTAATGTATATTTGCATCTATATCTATGAGAATTTCCAACATTAGCAATGAAAATGCGTGCTTTCAGTTACTTTGAGGAAATACAGGCATCACATCCGGAAAAGAAAGAAGGATATTTTTTACGGAATTTTAGTACAAGACTTATGATTAACAGGTACAAAACCTTGAAAACCCAAAATATTGTCAATAATTTTATTAAAAATGCTAATTTTTTATTTTTGGTCAGGGGGCTAAAAAACAACTTCCAGTAATGGAATGAAAATCATTCAACCGTTAAATAACTGATTTGGCAAAGTAAAAGATGTCCTAACTTTTTTGGTACATAGTTATATCCCGTACAGAATGTTCACCCCTTAAATTGGGTGTTGCGTTTCTATTGACGGTGAGTATATTTAAAGAACATTGTGATTGGAATTCCCAAATCAATCAACAAAAATTAATACATGAAGAAGTATGAATAAAGAAAATGTGTATCTAGTTGACATAATGTCGAGAAATGAGAGAAAACATCAGATAAAAATACACGTATATCCGAGAGGCTATGTTATTGCAGTAAACACAGACAGAATAGGAGTTAATTGTGGGTTATGACATGAGCTTCTAAGTTTTGATTTTCCAATGGTGTATCAATACCAAAGAATTTGTTCAACAACATTCCCATTAGAATGTGATTTTAATTGTATTCTGCTGTAATTTTAACTTGCAAAATAACAATCATTTCCTAGAAACTAAAGCTTACTTTGTTTTAAATTTTTTCAGCAAACTCAGTGGACAAATTAATGAAAATTATTGGAACAGACAGAGACAGTCTGGAAACAAGAGACAGAATGTAAGAACCAAAGAAAACTAGGAGACTTATTGTTCACAGAACAATAAGAGGTCTTTCCACCTTCTTTGAATTTCAAATTTGTTTTATATCTGACTCCTTAAAATTAAATTCCATGAAAAAGAAACCAAAACTCTCTTAAAGCATGGGAAAAAATGAAATTAAAAAACAAAAAAGAATGACCTTGACCTTTGACCTTAAAAAAATATTCAAGGTCAAAGGTCAAGGGTCACAATGCAATTGACCCCATGCTTCTACGACTTATAGAATACAAGTTATAAGGTTTAATATTAAGTACAAAGAAGTTAAAGGGCAATAACTCATATAAGGGGTCATCAGATCCTTTTACAACTATGCAGTGGAATTAGGCCTAAAGACCCTGAAGACATTAGTGAAAGTTTGGTGTCTCTACGGTCTACGGTTTCGGAAGAGTAGCAATAACAAGGTTTTTAGCACAAGGGGCAATAACTTTTAAAAGGGTTAATGTTAGGGGACAAGAATGAAATCTTTGAAACAGTTTTAAGAGTACATATTAATGATGCATAGACATTAAGTATATGTTCCAAGACAAAAGAGAGATAAAAAATGGTAAATTTCTCAGTTTTGGAATGACCTTGACCTTTGACCTTTATATGAATTTTAAGGTCAAAGGTCAATAAATATTAAATTACGACTTGTTGTTTTGAAAATTTTTAATTATTTGTAAAATTCAAGAACTTTCAGGGGCAGTAACTTATTGAAGGGGTCATGAATATTTTTGCAAAGAAGGATTTAAGGTTCTCTCAATTAGTTAAAGATATTGGTGAAGGTTTCATTCCTCTACGTTTTACGGTTTCGGAGGAGTAGCGATAACAAGCAGCGATAACCAAAGGGGGAGTTCATATTCAAACGAAAAAATCATTAAAGGAGTACATTCTTATAAACTATAAATTTTTTCGATAACTTGTGAAACAAAAAACCATTTGGCGGAAAAATAATAAAGAAAAATAATAATAAACAGAACAATTTCAATAGGTCTTTCCACGGAAAGGTGGAAAGACCTAATTATATTTAAGGATGTCTGTCATTTTTGAAAAGTTTATGAGACTTACTTCTCCCAATAATAGAGAGAAAAATCCAGGCCACCTTAAAAAAAAATTAATGGTTGTCCTTTCAATTTAAAAAAACTTTTATGTATAACAATGTATCTCAGAGATATTGTTTAAAAAGGAAAGTTTGAGGACAAAATTCTTAGAGATGAACATATGGATGGAAGGGTGCAACTTAATGGATCCACATTTATCAGTTTAGTGAATGAAAATTAGGAAAGAGCAATTCATTGAAACCCCTTTATTATGTAGCCATGAAGTTTCAACAAAGACAAACAAGATAGTTCAAGAAACAACAAGGCAAATGAGAACCATTGCTGCAATGACGGGACTAGAAAGGGTAAGTCATACTCGACAAAGAATTGAGATGATACACTTTTCAAAGTTCGTCTGAAGGACGTACGAATGTTTATTGCTTTGCCTACATGGATATATTCATGTTCAATGCTCATGTATGTAACATCAATATTTCTCACATAAGCTGAAGGTTCTAGTGAGCTTTTCTGTTCAAAGTTTGTCAACTGTTTGTCTATTAACTTTTCACATTTCTATTTTTTTCTCTCCAAAACTGTTTGTCTGACAAAGTATTTGTTGTGAATAAGAGATTGAAGTTTGTTGAAATTATGGGCTACACTCTTTCAGGGGGAAATAATTAAGTATCTTTCAAAAATTTTCATCTTTAATAAGCATCACACGTCAGATCTGCTGATGGAGAACAAAAGGGATCCATAGAGATTCAAGTGATCATTTTGGCACATGGGCTTCTTCTTTATATCACTACCTTTGGTTGAGTTTAGGGCGAGCTTCAAACAATTTTCATCTGTTAGAAAATTATAAAAATATGATTTAGATAAACTTTGGCTTCTTACTGTTTTTCTCTTTCTATTAAAAGAGCATAATCTAATCTAGAAATGATTTAAACTTTGTTAAGTGAAAGACAGTATCATTTATTTTAAATGCAATTTTCAAAATTTACTTTCAGCAACAAAAGTTTCAAGTTGATCGATTAAAGAATGATTTCCAGGACTCCGTCACAAGATTCACTTCTTTACAAAAGGTACTTTCTTTGCTGGCTGTATACAGGTAGCATTAAATTCAATCAATAGAAAATGAACTAGAAAAGACATTTTTTCTTTGGAATGCATTTATAACAATATAAGTGTATTTGTAAATAGTTTAAGGTACATGTACTGATTAAAATTGCTGGATAGGAAATAGTGATTATTGGAGAATCAATTTAATAGAAGATAGAAATTAATTTCATACACCTGTCACAGATTTTTTCAATGATTTCTCACACCTACATGTATCTAGGATTAGAGAATAGATCTATGCAATTTCATTTTGACTTGGCTTTTCAGAGAGCTGCAGAACAAGTAAAGAAAACAGTTAAGTTATCAAGTCAGAAACCCAAACCAAAGTCTAGTGGAGGTTGGATGGATGTGAGTAGTATTTTATGACACACACCAGTCTACATGTTGCGTGGTATTATTTAAAATACGAATGTTGTGATAGACTTTTAATAATGCTGTTCATATTTTTAAAAAAAATAATAAGGATTTGTTCTTCTGAGAAGTACAATGAAATTTGGTTATCTCAAACACCAGTTATATTTTATCTCTGTGTTAGGATGAGGATGATGAAGTTAAATTCCTGGAACAAGAAAGGAAAAGAGAAGAACAACAAATACAGGACCAAATTATTGAAGATGATCTAGCTCTGATCAGAGATCGTGAGGAGAGGATCCGACAATTAGAGGTAATTAATGTTTACTTTGTCTTGATACTGAAGTGTATATTCATGTGATTACCCACAGTGAAGGGAGAAAGATTTTTATGCCTTCAATTATACCATACGAGGGTTGTCCATTAAGTTCGTGGACAACATTGATAATTACTGACAAACATTGATAAAATATATGAAACTAATATTTTCATTAAATTCATGTTTCATTTCATTAATATGCAAGTTTTCAACAAAAACAAAGTGTACTGTCCGTGTTCTAGACACTTATAACAGAAACACGTCTGTTCGCTTTAACGCTTTAATTCTAAACTACATAACTAAATGATTACACAAATCGGCGTGGCTGAAACTGTCAACATCAATTACTGAATTTGTATTTAACATATAACATTCTGCTGGTATAGCAAATTCCTAAACGTGGGAAAACATTAAATCTGAATGACTATTTTAAGATATGAACATTACATCCCTCTTCACCTTAGACAGAAAAAACAATCTTTACATAATTTCTGAAATGACAGCCTGTAATGCCAATAACTAATCTTTGTACAAATAGAGAATAAAGTTACAGTCAAATAACAAAAAAGTCAATCCTTTTTTTTTTTCTCAGGTGGTCACATAGTCTTTTAGATAGGCGGGTGGTTTACGTTCCCGGGTTGGTCTACCGGTATCTGTGACAGAACGGTTCTTGTCCGATTCGTCTCCTGTTTCATCTGCGCTAATTTCGGGGTCATGCGATTCTGTTTCGTTTTCGTCGCTCGATATAAATTTCTTTATAGCTGCGCAGTTTCGCTTAATCAACGATCCATTTTCATCCTCGAGAGTCGCTGCATTTTTGCATTTCTCCCTCACGATGAATCAGGCGCGAACTCGGTTGATAACTTATCGCGCTTAACGTTGTACAACAGTGTCACCGATCTCAATTTCACACGGTACGGCGCGGCGCTTCTCATCCGCTCTTATTTTAAAATCCTCTTTCCGTCTTGCGTCCGTTTCTCTTACTTCTTTGCGATCGATTCTTGCACTGATCTCTGGTAACTTGGTATGAATTTTCCGATTATATAATAACTCTGCAGGGCTTTTTCCGGTTGTAGAATGTGGGGTCGCACGGTACGCAAGTAAGAACTTGGGTAGTTCTTGTCTCCAATCCTTGCCTTCTGCGTTTGCTGCTTTAATGGCTTTGAGTAGTGTTCGGTTTTGCCTTTCTACCTCCCCATTTCCTTGTGGCCAGTATGGTGTAGTCCGAATGTGTTTGATACCATTTGAATTCAGGTATCCCTTAAACTCCTCTGACACAAACTGTGGTCCGTTGTCGCTTCGCATACTGTAAGGTAAGCCGTGCCTCGCGAACATACTCTCAAGTTGAAGAATGATCTTCTCACTGGTTATCTTTTTCATAATGGCTACTTCTTGAAATCGGGAAAAATAGTCTATAACGACTAGTAGATATTCCCCAGAAGGAAACGGTCCCATAAGATCTATAGCCAGATCCTGCCATGGCCCGTCGGGTAATACCGTTGTTCGAACTGGTTCGGGCCTATTGTTGTTCGACAAAAGTTGGCATTGTTGACATGTTTAACAAATCGCTCAGCTTCTGTATCTATGCCTGGCCACCATACCTTTTCTCTTAGTCTTTGTTTCGTGCGGACAATGCCCTGGTGTCCTTCGTGGGCCAGCTGTATTGTTTGTCTCCTCAGGCATTTAGGCAGTATGATGCGCGATCCACGTAATACTATTCCGTCGACGACTGAAAGTTCCGTTTCCACAGTACGAATTTTAGGATCCAGACGGCCATGCCCTGTTTCGATCCTCCTCATAATCTCGACGAGTTCTCGGTCCTCCGATGTTTTTGACGAACTTCTTGAATAGTGAGTGCTTTCGGTACAGCATTATCTGCAATGAAATGCGCATACTCGTCTGCAATGTGGCGTATTCGGCAAGCCTGATTCTGACTCAATCTGGATAGAGCATCAGCAGCATTCTTTGGTCCAGGTATATAGGCAATCTTATACTTATACGGTTGAAGTCGCAACATCCATCGCTCGATTCTAGCTGGTGGTTTCGACTTTGGAGAGAATATGTAGGTCAACGGCTTATGATCCGTCCAGATTTCGAACTCCAGCCCGTATATATACATGTGAAACTTTTCACAACCAAACACGACACCTAAAGCCTCGCGCTCGGTCTGCGAGTATCTTTGCTCAACGTCGGTTAGAGTTCGACTTGAATATGCAATTGGTTTAAACAATCCGTCCGGTTGTTTCTGTGCTAGAATGGCCCCAAGTCCAACGGGACTCGCATCCACGATTATCCTGGTCTCGGCTTTTGGATTGTAGTATGCTAGTGCTTCGGCACTTACGAGCGCTCTTTTTAGCATGTCAAACGCATCCTGGTGTCTTTTCGTCCAACTCCAGTGTGTGTTCTTCCTTGTAAGCTCTCGTAAAGGGGCAGCTATCGTTGAAAAATTCGGTATAAAACGGCCGCAGTAATTTGCTAGCCCCAGGAAGCTCCTTATTTCGGAACTGTTGCTCGGCGTCCTGGTCTCCGATACTGCTTTGATCTTTTCCTGGTCAGGTTTAACCCCCTCTGATGAAATCACATGTCCGAGGAAAACAATTTTAGATAGACCGAATTCGCATTTTTCTCTGTTAAGGGTAAGCCCTTTCTCAGCTAGTCTGTCAAGCACTTTCGTAAGTTTCTTGTTATGATCCGCCTGGTCCGTCCCGTAAACTATGATGTCATCAGACAAATTCCTCACTCCTTTGATACCTTGAATAACTTGTCCAATTACTCTTTGGTAGATCTCAGATGCTGAGGAAATTCCGAACATGAGGCGCTTATAGCGATAAAGGCCCTCGTGTGTCACAAATGTGGTTAATTCCTCGTCTAGCTCTATTTGGTGGTATCCCCAACGTAAATCAAGTTTTGAGAACACTGTGCTGCCGTTCATATCCTCTAGCATTTCATCCACTGTCGGGATCGGGTATCGCTCGCGTTGAACAGCAGTGTTGACCCGTCTCATATCGACACAGATTCGAATTTCCCCGTTTTTCTTAGGCACAACGACAAGTGGCGACACCCAGGCCGTTGGGCTGTTTACCTTCTCAATTATGTCCATCTTCTCCAAGCTTTTTGTTCACGCTTTTCCTCACATTAAATGGTAACGTAACGGTTGTGCTACAGGGGTCATGTCGATATGAATTTTCAGTTGAAAATTTTCCAGTTTCCCTACTCCATTGAAAACAGAATTTCTTGAGGCAATAATCCTATCAAGTTCATTTCTAACGGAGCATAGGTTCGGCTCATCGGTCCCTATGCGTAAAACTCCTAGCTCTACCGCTGTGTCTTTTCCTAGTAAGGAAATATAATCGCCTTCAACGACAGCAAACTCTGCATATGTTTCACGCAGTCCATGCTTGGTGACTGCCCGAAATGTTCCTAGTATTTGTAATGGTTCCTTTGATCCGTAAGAAAACAATCTTTTTGTGCTTCTCGATAGGGACATTGTTTCATCGTTAGCGCTAATGGCGCTCCATACATTGTGGTTCACGATATTGCAGCTTGCGCCAGAGTCGATTAGCATCTGTATCTTAGCTCCGCCCACGCTAACGTCTATCATGCCATTTGTATCTTTTTTGTAGACAGCAAATGCGAACTCGTCATCTGAGGACTCGCTCTGCACTAAATGAACATGCTTTGTACTGCGGTCCTTACCTGGTCTAGTGCGCGGGGTATCCGATTTAGTCTTACACACTTTTGCGAAATGGCCCTTTTTCCCGCACTTATTACACGTTTTGTCCTTAGTAATTGTACAGTTCCTTGCAATGTGGCCCTTCCGCCCGCACCGAAAACACGTGGCATCTTTCTGCGAACTTTTCTCAGACACATATTGTTTCCTGTGACTTACCGACGGCCTAACAGTGTTTACATCGGTGCTTGAAAATGTTTCACTGCCCTTGAATCTGTCTGCTTGCTCGTTTACAATTTCGCCAGCTCGGGCTATATCCATTGCACTTTTTAAAGTTAATTCCTTTTCCTTTAGGAGTCTTTTTCTTAATTTTGACGATCTACACTTTTCAACAATTTGATCTCGAATGTTGTCGTCTGGCTTCTCAAATTCACAGGTTACGGCCAGTTTACGCAGCCTAGTCACAAAACTGTCAATTTTTTCTGTTTCACCTTGTGCCGCATTCCTGAACAAATGGCGCTCAAATGCTATGTTCCGTTTTGGTTGGAAGTACTCATCTAATTTCTTTTTGGCACCGTCCAAGTCATCTCCAGACTCCCCAAGGGTATCAAATATTTCTTGGACTTCACTTCCCGCGGAATGTAGAAACAAAGCCCTTTTTTGTGCTTTATCCGTTATTTATGTAAAATTCAAAAGTTTTCTTCCACTTATCCCACCTTTGGGAAACGCTTGTCTGGTCACCATTTACATCAAAGGGATTAAGTGCAGGTAACTGCAATGCCTTTGCCATTATTGTTTTTCCTCGTCGCCAATGTACTGTCCGTGTTCTAGACACTTATAACAGAAACACGTCTGTTCGCTTTAACGCTTTAATTCTAAACTACATAACTAAATGATTACACAAATCGGCGTGGCTGAAACTGTCAACATCAATTACTGAATTTGTATTTAACATATAACATTCTGCTGGTATAGCAAATTCCTAAACGTGGGAAAACATTAAATCTGAATGACTATTTTAAGATATGAACATTACACAAAGCACATATAGTTAAATTTTTATCAGATACAAAAAAGACACACACCTATACCCGGAGCGCTAAAACGAAAATTTTTGACACTACCTGACATTAAAAGCTTAATACGAGTACATGTAACTTTTCTCAACATAGCCATCGTTTAACTTAATACATTTCTCATGTCACTTTAATCAGTCATACATTGTAAAAATGTGCACAAAACGTTCAGGTTTCATACCTAAAATAATATTTAACAGTACCTGTCTCATATCCTGTAATCATTCAACCTCTGTCCGTGTAAAAACGATTTTATTTACAGAAATATGGAAAAGTCAGGTTTACAAAATTCATTTTTTACAGCACTGCAATCTCGAAATAATGGTTTTCCTTCACACGTCATCCTGTAAACTGTTCCTTCCGTCCGAAAAATATTATATGTGACTTAAATACTAATGAACGGCTTCTTTAACTATGTTTTCATGATTGTTTACAGAAATACAAATGTATTGGTCTCTGTAGGTGTTTATCCAATGTCTGCGCAGAATTTTATCACTGCTCACTGCACCACCTATTCCCAAAACATCCCTTTTTTTAACAATTCCGATCCGTCTTAATATGTTCTAACTTTGATTGCTCAGCCATTTTACAACTTTGAACGTTCAAATTTTGCAGGTTTGATGTGATAACTTCTGTCAAATTTATAATGTAAACGTCATCCAGATTTCCGCAGAATTTTATAAAATACAAATGAAATTTATAAAGTGATAAATAATTTTTTAATTAAAATTTTGCAGTGTTCGGGTCTCCATTCCAAGTCTAATTATGAAGTCATAATTGTAATTAAACATTTGAAATTGAATAAAATTTTAACATTTTTCAATTCATATTTAGTAAAGGATTAGGAATATGCTAATAATAAATATCATTAACACAACTTTTATTAAATTCTTTGCTTGTCCACGAAATTTACGGACAACCCTGGTACATACTACTCCTGAAATTATTGCTGCTGATTCAAAGAGTAGAGTATTTTATAACTGTATTAGAAGTTGAATCTGTCCACAGCTGATGCCAAATATGATTGATGTCATTCTGTGTGTTTGCATGGCTTTGTTATAAATATTTTGGAATGTATAATATTTTTAAAAATCCTACAAAGTGAATGGCAGTTGTTATCAGTTATTTTTGCAACCTAAATCCTTTTTTTTTTTTTTTTTTAATTTAACCAACTTAGTTTAATCTTTATAAATATAAGTATTAAAGTAACATAAGTGTTTGTGGTACATGCATTAATAAAAATAGGTTGTTTTTGCCTCTTTTAGTCGGACATTCTGGATGTTAATGAGATATTCAAGGATTTAGCCACACTGGTCAATGAACAAGGAGAAACTATAGGTAAAGTATTCATTACCTCTACTTTTAAATATGGTAAAATTGTACCTTTATCCCCTGATTTTGAAAAAAAAACATGGGGACATTAATCTTTTTCATTATTCTGTCAGTGTTCACAAATCTTTAACCTTAATTGGTTGTAAATCTAGAATGAGAGAAACAAGTATTTTATGTTTCATATCATTTCAATTGTGACATTTTCATTTCAAGGAACTATATTTACATGTATGAATTTGCTTGTTTTCTTTAAATTTAAAGGCATCACAGATTTTGCTCCACAAGCTTAAAAGAAAATGAATCACTCAATTACAAGAACATAAAGAATGATAATACCCTTCTTATATATCACATCCTGTATCAGCCCGAGGGCAGAATGAACATGCTCTATACGTGGAAAAGTAACTAATTAAAAAATTTTAAACTAGTTATTTTAAAGTAATACACAAATGTAATAATGACTTTAACCTTCTTTACAGATTCCATAGAAGCTAATGTCGACAAAGCCTACACAAATGTTGAGTCGGGAACCTCACAACTCTCTAAAGCAGCTGAATACCAAGTAAGTCAGCTTTGAGAAGGGTTTTTCTAAATTTTTATGGTACACATGTGTAGCTGGTTCTTGCTTGGCTGAGTGAGTCTTTGATTTTATAATCCAAAGGATATGTTAGGGTTCAGCACAGGGTGGGGAGCAGAAAAGTTAAAATGCAGTAGATCATTTAATAGTGCTTACCCTTGGGACAGCTTTGAGACAAACTATTTAGATATACCACAATTATTTCCCTATGAGAATTATGAGATTCATATTTCTCTAAGGATTAACTCCAGAATTGGAGTAAGTTGAAAATAAACTGTACATTGAAAATGTAAAAGAGACTTCAATAGGTAGCTATACATCTTCTTGTCCAATCTTATTGTCCAATCTTTTTCAGAGTTCAAAATTAATATTGTTTAAATGCAGAAAATACAGTACATATGGCACGCCAAATTCACAAACATTAGCTAAACATAGTTTCACAGTCGATAAACTAGATTTATCGTCTGTAAACTATTGTCTACAAATCGTGAACTATAGTTAACAATTCGTTAACTATAGTTTTCATCTGTGAAACTATATTTAATGGTTGTTAATTGTAGTTTACGAATTCTAGTCTACGTTTATCTGTCTGGAATAAAACGTTAACAATAGATTTTGTTGATAAACATAGATTCACATCTTTAAACTATAATTTACAATCATTAACTATAGTTAAGAGTTGCTATATTGCTTGATTATACCGCACAATGAAGTTTATGTGATGAACATTGTTGCCTTTGATTCTTCTAGTTATTTCTAACGTTCTTTGCAAACGGTGAATGTTTTTGTTTTTCAGAGAAAGTCTCGGAAGAAGATGTGTATTTTAGTAGTGATCTTGGTGATTATAGCAGCGGTTGTGACTATAATAATCGTGGCATCTGTGAAATCCTGAAGATTTTTTACAATGTTAGACAATTAAAGGATAGCAATGAAGTGATTGATGATGAACCAAGTGGTATTTCAGGCAGTGAAAAAAGTTACTTTTCATGAACTTTATTTTGTTATAATTTTTATTTTTAATATTCAGGATGTACAAGGTAATTTAAGGTCATCCAGATCAGTCAAATGTCCATTCCCTGCTATGTCTCTGTCTGCTTATCATATGCATTAATTTTGAACATTTTAAATTCTTAATTTAAAGTTATGGGGCAAAAATGACCAAATATGCAACGCATTGGGCATAAGGAGGATGTTCCTAGATTGTTTAGAATTAGGAAAATGTCACAGTGCAAAGGGAGAAAATCAAGAAATATGGAAGATAATGTCATATATGATATGTGGTCTTCTCTATAACCAATGTCAAGAATTGACTGGTGAATTCCTTCATGTGATGACTCAAAACTGTTTAAATCTTGGTCCCTAGGCCAAGACAGGCAATTGATAGGGTTCCAGTTTTACACTTGATGTAGGAGAAATTAACATCTTTTTGAAAAATCATTGGTACTAGACAGACAGACAGGCAGGCACTAGGGCTACATATTTGATGCTGTTAGTTAGACAATCAATCAGTCTTTTATACCCATGGAATTTTTTTTTTTATTTTTTGATCCACAACTGGGGGTTAAGACTTTTACACAAGCATGTATATTTGCAAACAAAATTATTCAAAGAATTAGTGGGTTTTGAATTGTCTAGTGGGTCAAGCATCGTCATAAAATGTAGATTACCATGGCAGATCATTCATATAGTCTAATGGGATGAGAATTAGGTCTCAAGAGATGTTAGATATTGTATATTGGAGATTGAAACACATTAAAGAAATATTTACAATGGATATGTTGTCTGTAACAGAAACATATGAACAGCATGTATGTAACACACAACTAAATATTACATGTATATAGATAGAATGATCAATCCCTTCATAGTCTAATCTAATTTACCTGTTGGGCTTTTTCAGTGCTTTGAAAGAGCTGACATATTAAAGTTCTAGCCTGTTCATGAATAAAATGTTATGATGTACAATAATATGTACACATATTATTTATGTCAAATGGTCAATGGATTCACTAACCATGATTGAGGGAGTTATCTTTCCTTTTGGTGAACTATTCTTCTGTCTCTTGTAGATTATAACAGTTACATGTATGCTATGGAAGAGCACAGATGCTAAATTTATATGCTACTGATTAATTTTTTATGGTCTAACAATAGACATCCAATGGTTTTCACACGTATATCTGTACAAAAATCTAATTTGTCCTTATTGCAAGTATCCTGAAAATGACTCCCATCTTGCTTAATTTCATCATACCATCCAGATTTGATAATCATTTGATTAATCAAGGTACAAGCTGTAAATGCTTTTTAAATGATTTTAAAAATGAGCTTAGTTCAATATTATTTGGAAAAATTGAAAACTATTTTCAAATTATTCAGTCTGTTTTTCCATGACCCATGACATTTCCTTCCTTGATGAAATTCCATTATTGTAATTCCTGTATAAAATTCCAATAATCTCAAACTTTGAAAATATCAAACATGCCTCTGCTAACAATTTACCATCTGGCTTGTTGTTCAGTACTTGTTGTCTCTAGCTCACCACCGTGAGGTAATATTTGTAGTAAAACTATAATATTAAATGATGATCATACACTTGAAACAATTCAGCATTGTATACATGTATACAAATTTTTTCTCACAATACCGGTATCTTTTAATAATTATCCTTAGATCTGTTCTGCTAATGGCATTAAACTTCATCAATTTTTGTTTTGCAACCTTTGAATTTAATTTAAGATGCCCAGATGAATTATTATAAATTCCTATTACTCTTTTAAACCAGTTTATGCCATGTTTAATTATCTTGGTACCTTTTTCAGTAAAACTCGGTTATAGTGAAGTCACTGGGACTAATGAAATTACTTCGTAATACGTGTATCCGTATAAGAAATTAGTTAAAATTATATAGCTGGGGATCCATGATAACTTCGCTATATCCGTGAATTCGCAATATCTGTGTTCGTACTAAATGAGTTTTACTCTATGTACAGTTGAATAGTTATATTCAGATGCTTTTTTTTTAATTAAAAAAAAAGTGTTATGTGATAAACTTGTATAGGTACGTATTACTTAACCAAATTCTTGTACACAGTTTTTCTGAACAAACAGAGGTTTTTATCAAGTCTTTGTATTGGTATGAGGAGGTTTTAAAATTTGTGGGAAAAAAATAATTTTTTGTTGACATTCCTTCAAGATTTCTGTGCAATAAAAATTAAAATACATATTTGTAGTTCTTTTTATCGTTTTGAAACTGAACAACCGTATATGCAGATGTACAGTGGGGAAATGAGGATGACTATTTGGAGTGATTTGAAATACATGTACTGTTTTGCATGCGTCACTGTACCATTAATCGAACATTTTAATGTCCAATTTGGTGAATGTGAATATGGCGTTATGTGCAACACTAAATTAGAAAAAAAATATGTGGAAGAAGTGCAAAATCAATTAACCAAGACATTTGAAATGAACATGTGATGCTTTTGGTACTTGCATATTTGTAATCTATGACGTACTGTGAAAAACTCGGAAACAATAAAAACAAGAGGCCCACGGGCCTTATAGGTCACCTGAGTATCGTAACAACTTTCCAGCTATTGTATTTGGTTCCTGTTTTAATCCAAAAGCCATGAAATTCACAAATTTTGCACCATTGCTTATCAAAGGGCATATTTCAAAGCATTAATTTATTTCTAGTCAAAGTACCCCCCTGGTACCCCTGACCCAGCGGCCCTGAAATTATCTATTTTAAAAGAGGCCCCTTTCTTCATTGTAAGGCCAGCATTTTTTTTATGTTTAGGTTTAGTTATGAACAAGAGAATAAAAAAGTCCCGAAGGAGAAGGAAATAAAAAAAAAAAATTGATAAATCAATTATTAACATTTGTACATTCTTTTTTTATGCTATCCTAATAGGCTCCTTACCACTGGACACATAATGCTTACAAACAGGAAAGTAGAACATTTAATTGCTTATTTCATCATCTGCCAGTTTGGGCTAGATAGAATGTTCTATCGTTAAAATGATATTGTCCTACGGACCCGGTTTAACGTGTGAGGGCTTGTACCGAGACACAGTTAGATTATTCTAACTAAGTTTGGGCCAGTTATATAAATTTTGTGATGTTGATCAAAATATATTTTAAAAAAATCAATTCTTTAAGTCTTTCAATTATCTTCATTTTTTTAATATGTGTTAGGTGAATGTGTAGACATTGCTCTAAAATTTACTTGATGCCTAAAATTATAATTCCTATCATAAAACAGACATATATTGGGGAATAGGGTGAAAATTTTTTCAATTAAGTGTGAAATAATTTTTCTGGCTGATACAAATGATACTACATGCCTGTATATATTTGTATATTCTTGCCTTTTAATAGTTGAATTTTTTTTTATTTCTTCAGGTTATTGTTTATTTCTTCCTCAAATGGACTTAACTTCTCCCATAGTTTTATTCATTACATCTGATGCATAAGCAACCCTTTTCTGAAGAATGATGCTTAGACTGTAAGCTATAACAGAGACCTAAACAATGTCGCTGGCAATATGCAATAGCTACCACGGGCAGTTTAAAGCCTGGGGGAGGAAAATAACTTTTGAAACGAATACATAATTATCTCACCAGCATGTCATTGTGCAACAAAGTCTTCAGCATTTTATTTGTCCTTTGAACGGGTGAAACGTTTTGAATGGCACTCTTATCGATGAATTTTACACTAAACCAAGCTATCTTCTCAGATCTAGCTTTATTTACCCGCCGTTTCATCGTAAAACCGGAAGTGCGAGTTCATAAATTTGAAATCTTGATCCCGACTCAAGTTTGACATCGGAAAGAATTTTTTTAAAATTTTTTTCTGAAAATTCAAAACCTTGAGCGGAGGGTTTGTAAAACAGAAAATAAAATAAATCCTGACCTTAAATATGTAATTAGATCATTAGCATGTTAACCAGGAGCAAAGGATAATATGTTCAAAGAATTCATGCATTTCACTATATAATCAAATAGAGCCCTACCCTAAAACAAGAACCCCTGACCCTGGGGCCATAAAATACACAATTTTGCTCATCATAACTATGTACTTAGTTGGTTTATTCAATACCCAGGAGCAGAGAAGAAGATTTTCAAAGAATTAATGTATTTTCACTATTTAATCAATAGAGCCCCGCCCTAACACCAGAACCCCTCACCCTGGGGCCATAAAATTCACAATTTTGGCAGAAGCACTCTTGCTCATCATAACTATGTACTTAGTTGGTTTATTTAATATCTAGGAGCAGAGAAGAAGATTTTCAAAGAAATAATGCATTTTCACTATATAATCTATAGAGCCCCGCCCTAGCACTAGAACCCCTGACCCTGGGGCCATGAATTTCACAATTTTGGTAGAGGACTCAATGCTCATTACATTCATGCCAACAGTTTGCCTGCTTGATGTCCAGGAGTAAAGAAGAAGATTTTTAAAGTTTTCATTAATTTTAGTGGTTTTGGCCCCACCCCTCAGGCCCCTGGGGGCGGGGACCATGAAATTCACAATTTTTGTTCCCCTTCACCCATAGATGCTGTATACCAAATTTGGTTGAAATTGGTTCAGTGGTTTTAGAGAAGAAGCTGAAAATGTTCGAATGTTAACACACGACGCACGACGGACGAAAAATAGCAATAGGTCACCTGAGTTACTCAGGTGACCTAAAAAAATGCAGCCCATGCTTGAATTTACCAAGTAATTACAATGTGCAAGAACTCTATCCTCCAAGTTACCTTGAACTTGCCCAGATGACCTTGATAAATTCTTTAATCACAAGTATAATTTGTGTGTGTGTGAAGTTTGCACTTCAATATTTCTCCATTAGAAAATTATGACATAAATACGTGTACCGGGTTTTACTTTTTCTTCAAGTGACCAAGAACTTGCTTAGATGGACTTAATTTATGACATATCCTATATCTAGTTAAAGTGATCTATGAATTATCAACATCAAATATTTGACTAGTTAAGAATTTGAATGGATATGAATTAACCTTTTTTTCTTTTCTGACTAGTTATGAAGTATGAACAGGATAGGAATTTCTAACATTTTCTCCACTGTACTAATTTGCAAGGCTAAGGTCATAACCCATCCTCAGGTTACAAGATTTTCCTTACATCCTTTTCACTTTGCCTCTGTCTTTTTGTCACAGTGTCAGAGCCTGTGATTTCTTAACCGAGTGGTTGAGACAATTAAAGTGGGTAGCAATTGCGAGACTGGCACTTTCAGTCATGGTTTATTTACTCTATTGAACAAGGGAGTTTCCTCTTCAATCTCCAAATATGTTGTCAAAATGTTTATGTTTTCAACCTTGCATTTGCCAATTGCTATTAAAGCTATGATGTCTAAACATCACTGGTTATGTCACTGTTGCAAAAAGACAGTGAAAATCAAAACATAAACAGAAAATTTGAATATTTTTGTAGTATTTCATGAGTGGGACAGGATTTTTGTTATCTTCAAAAGTGAGAAGCACATTTTTTTTTGTTTTAGAGGACTCTCCTCTTCGATCTATAGTGAACCCAGTTCCCTCTTAATGCAGTCCACACCTTAGAGCATTTATCATAGGAGGAGGGAGTTGGCACCTGGAGGAAGTGGCTCTGTACATGTAGGAAAGTAGGGGTGTTTTTTTTTTAGATTTTGTCTTCTTCCTTGGGGGGGGGGGGGGGGGGGGCTTGAGCAGGAGTCTCCCTTAGCAGAGAAGTCTCATTCTACAACTCATATCGGTACATCTTCACAAGACCACACTGCAAGGTGTAAGAAAACCTAAGCCTAAAAATCAAAACAGAAAACACAATATTTGCTTTTCCCCTTTATTTATGCCTATTCATCATCTTCAGAGCGTAAACGGGCATTAGGATTAGTTAACTTTATGGAGAGCTGCTGGGCACGTTCCACAATGTCTTTCCTTTTCTTGCTGGAAACGTTGTGTGCAATTTCTGCAGCAAAAGTTCTGTTCTGCATCAGAAGTACTTCAAGTTCCTGGAAATAAAATATATGACATTTAATTTTTGGTGCATTATTTCTTGAATTTTTTCTTTGGGTAAAATTTTTACCTATATGTCAATATCATTTACAGTATAGATAATTTGGTGTTAAATGTATGCAAGATTCACTAGCAATTCAAGCCCACATACATGTACAGTGGACCCTCATTTATCCGGACGCTTTGGTTCCCAGTCAATTTGTCCGGATATGTAACAAAGCGTCTTTGTGTACCTGAATCACCAGATAAACAAGATATTACGTTTTAAAATTCTGTTCCAATAAAAAGTTGTCCGGATACTGAAGCATCCGGATATCTGGCGTCCGGATATCTGAAGGTCCACTGTACATCTATTGGAATCATGAATCTTGCTTATCAAAGCTTACAAAGCTCAATTCAATAAATATTGGGTAATCAAAGCTTAACAAATTTTATCTTTATGTAAGCCACACATAACAGATTGGTCTAGGAAGATTTTGTTACTTAAGGTAGGTCCGTACTTTCAGAATTTTCTGTCAAACTGATAGTTTTTCAATTTGAATACTTTGAACAAGTCTTAAACTCACTAAAACACCCTTAAAAGACATATCTTTGCAGATTGATTTTCATACAACATGTCTCAGCACACATACCTCTAAAAACTCAACAGCCAAAATTGCACATAAAAAAGTGTGATATCATATTTCTCAGTTATGCACCAAATCACATCAAATTTATGTTAAAACTTATGAAGATCAAAAATATTCATTTACCTATGTCAGAAAATTTGAAATTTTTACTGCAAAACATTAACAAATCGGTGTTGAATCTGTCCATGCCTTTCAGAAAAAAATCTCAAAATATCTTTATTTTTTATAATTCTTAAAATCCAATATGTTTAGATGCCATTTTTTCTTTAAAACTATTGAGAATTATATCTAATGTTAACAAAAACATCTACTTTATTATGATTGACCAGAGAATTTTAACAAAACAGTCTTTTGATAAACCCCCCATTTTTGAAATATCAATTTTTTCAATTATTCAATGTAAAATTTTTAAATAATAAAAATTAAATGGATGATATAGGCTCTTAATCAATAAAAATAGATCTCAGGTTAGTTTGCTTAAAAGAAAATTAAAAAGATTTAGGTCTTTAAAAGCAATTAAGAATTTTGTGTCTGGATAATTTCTAAATGACATATGCAACCTCTGCAAATGAAAAGTTTTAATTTCCATAAATAATGTATATTATATGCTTCATATGCACAATAACACTATAATAAACAAATATTTACTTGCTAAATCATTCTCAATCAATCAAAAAGATTTATATCAATAGAAAAGTGAAAATCATAATTTTTTTTATATTTTATTTTATATGTGTAAAATTAGAACCGGATCCGTAAAAGTGTGGGCCTTCCTTAAGAATGGACTTGCTTCCAAAACAATTCTGTTCAAACATGGGAAAATGAAAGTAAGATTCGGCATCCAAACTAAGTCTGGTAGTGTACATTCCTTGATGCATCATCCACATGATCCAAGGAAGTTTGGTCTTAAAAAAATCTTGGAATGAACCTTGTCTAAAAACCTCAACCTGGTTACTAATCCAGAAAATGAAGGTCAGCTCAAAATCTGAAGCAAGACTGATAGCTTTCATCCCTAGATGAATCAGTCATGCAAATTTATTGAAGGAAGCGATTAATATCACTTGGAAATAGATGAATTACCAAGTGATAATGAATGCTCAAAAAACCCTTGAGGTACTGTGAGCACTGAGCTCACTAAAATATTTTAACCTGGGACGCTGATATCAAGGGTATTACATAAGCTCCCCCTACCTTTGTTGAGGTGAGCTAAAAACATCAAATGTAACAAGAGATTTTGTAAAACACTTATGCCCCCCTCCCTCAAATAAAGGGAATTTTACTAAGTCCAAGGGACATTACTATGTCAAAAATGGCTCGGTCGTACCCAGAACAGAACTTGACTAAGATGTTCATTTGATAAATCTCTATACCAAATTTCATTTCAATATGTGCAACCTCTGCAAAGAAAATGAACTGAAATTGCAAATAATTGGAATTTTATTGAGTCCAAGGGGCATAACTCTGTCCAAAGTGTTCTGATCGTACCCAAAACAGAACTTGACCTAGATAGTGTTATGATAAATCGCTATATCAAATTTCATTCCAATATGTACAACCTCTACAAAGAAAATGAATGGAAACTGAAAATAATTGAAATTTTTCTAAGTCCAAGGGGCATAACTCTGTTCAGAATGGTTCGATCGTACCCAAAGCAAAACCTGCCCTACATATTTTTATGAGTAATCTGTATACCAAATTTCATTTCAATATGTGCAACCCCTGCAAAGAAAATGAATGGAAACTGATGGTTGACCGAATAACAGACCGACAAACTGACAGCAGCAAAGCAATAGGCCCTCCCTTCTTTAAAGGGGGGCATAACAATAAAATATTCTATTAAATCATACCTTAACATTATGAATGAGGAATTTCTTGAATCCGTCTGGCATGACGTGTCTGGTCTTTTTGTTGGATCCATAACCAATGTTGGGCATCTTGTACTGGCCCTTAAACCTGCGGCGGACTCTGTTGTCAATACCCTTGGGTTTCCTCCAGCTTGGCTGAAAATCAATTGAAAGTTAAATGACTCCAGTCTACTGAGGGATCAGCTGCAGAACTGAACCTCTCTTACCAGAGACAAACTAGAGAGTTGCAGATCTTTTGGAAAACCTGTTAATAACCAAAGATGGCTTGATCATTGGGAGCAGATATACACACCTTTACTCTGAGGTATCTATCAGACTGATGCCTGATAAATTTCTTTGTCCTCTTCTTGACACATGTCTGTTTTACAAGGGGTCGGATAGCCATTTTTGACTACCTGAAATAGAAAATGAATACATTGTCAGGGTATTAGTAAACAAGCTCAAAGAGAAATACTTCAAACTTTATCATATAGCCATTTTTTTAATTTAGGGATAAAATCAAAGGGCCAATACTATGAATTGTCCAAACTTATTTTGTTGCTTTTCTCTCCAGAGGCAAATGACCTTGCATCACAGCTTTTACAGATAGTTTGGGTAAATTTCAGTTTGCTGACATGAAAGAGACTAGAGGTATAACAATACAGCAATACATCGATTACATTGATTGCAAGGTCTCATAATACACATATCATATCGCCATGTATGTATCGTAATACAGTACATTTTAATTTTTGTTGTCTATTTGAAAATTCTACATGCAAACTAAGAAATTTTAATGTTACAAAATTAAAAACAAGGTAGCCATGAAAAAATATAATGATCAGTCTATAAGTCCACCTATAAATAACTTCGGTTAGGGATCTCAAGACATTCTTTTTATATTTTCAACAACTGTACAGTTTAGCAAGCAAGAATATGTAAAGATATCAGTTAATTTAATTGTTGACGGCTGTATCATGATTAGACATGTTGTATCGCATGACCATATTGTTATATGTATCGTTTCGTTAGGTAGCTTGCAATACCCAGGCCTAGAAGAGACATGCTAAATCCAGAACAAGGCCTTTGGAACACTTTGCTAATTTTTGAAGTGTTGTTTTCACCAATTGTGGTTTACATTGTACCCCTAAATTATCATGATCAGCATGTGAAAAAATTGCAGCTGACTTGACGCTTTGTATCAACATACATTTACTTGGGACTCCAAATAAGTGAAAACATTTTTGACTCCAGACTTTTGATTCTGTACCAAGCCCCTCCCCCCCTTTTTCTGTACGGATGTTTAAAAACGTTTAAATTATTTGTTATGGCAAGTGAACCTTCCAAATACTGTAGTCTTTGTCACTCCAATAACAGTAGCTTATCATATAATGAAGCGCACATTGTATAGCAATGACAATATTTTCATTACAAACTATGAAAACAATAACCCGAATTTTCTCCAATTTCAACCACGAGTTTTACTTACAATAAGACTTCATATTTTGGCAGGCCTGTTTAATTCAGGGATCCTGATAGATATACTGTAACAATATGCATGTTAGCAACAACAACAGCTATTTTCAATGTAAATAATTCTTGTTTGAATTGTACCTAAAGGGATGATCTCGTTCTACCTACTTCCTACTGTCAACGAGGTAAAACAGATCAACAGAGATGATGATTATCAATATCTTCGATTTTTGAAGTTTACTTGCTATTCTCGTTATTAATGTGTAAATGTTATGCGGTGCTTATACATCAATGTGGGGATTATTGAGGATTTATAAAACATAAATAAATATGCACCTTCGCTATGAGATTTGACCGGAAAAAGGAAGTTTCGAAGGTAAGGCTAGTTACTGGAAAGAGAGAAAGATAATTAGTTTGGGGTTTGGAAATATAAATCTCAAAGCTTATCTTGATTTTGTATATCTAAACTGAATACTTAAAATATATTTTTAAACAAAATTGCATTTTATCAATTTAAGCTTATAAACTCCATAAATTCAAGTCTCTAAAAATGTTGAAAACTTGTCATAATAATAACAATTAAAAATCCCCCTGGTAAAAGATGTCAGACAAGTAAGAAATTTATTTTCAAATTTGCAATATATTCACAGACATTAGTATTGGGTATAAACTTTCATGAAACAGTGCGTAGATTTTCATGATTTTGTAAAGACGGATAAAAATATTCCATCCCATTACTTAGTGCTCTCACTTCAATTTCCGCGCACCTGCTTCGCGCATCTGGAACTGTGTACTGTTTTTGCTGCTACAAACAAGGGTCTAAAATCTATTCGTAATTATGAGAAGTATTAATTTATAATGCACTATATGCAAGGAGAGTTTTATTTGCCGAACACCAACAAGCTTATTTACATTTGCTCAATTCTAAAGACGACTGCATAAGCACGGAATAAGCTTTCATAACAATATATAACATTTCTGTTTTCATTTTCTGTCAGCCAAGACGAAAGTGTGTCAAGCCTCGCTTTCGTTATCAATGGATGACTTCATATAAGAAGAGATCATGTGCAGTTTTTCAGGAAATAATTGTTTTGTTTGGAATTCCACCTGATAATTGTTCTCATTATAACGGAACTGATTTATTTCAGCGATTTTGACAATCGAGTCAAACATTGCCTTATTACAAACACATCATTTACAGAACGATCAAAAGAGAGAAAAACCAGTTCCTCTGATCATCATCTTGATGATGAAGACAAAACTGTGAAGATGAAAAGTTAGAGTTGATGATAATGACAAATCACTTATATCATTTGATTGTTGAAATCTGTTGATTCCTGTATGTCAGAGAAAGCATAGCAATGTCACTAGCATGAATTAATGTTTTGTCAAGAATTTTGTGAATTTTTAGCATAGAAAAACTGCAATTTTTACTATTTTGAAAAAAAAAACAGCAACAAAATCCTTGGGAATTTCCTGACTATTTAGTTCCCCAAGCTACACAAGGAGGACAAATGTCATATTTGCGAAGTTTCTTGTGACATGAATTAATAGACCGGCTCAGCCTATTGCACCATATACTTATCTATAAGTAACATTGACAAGAGACTAAAATGGTTCTTTTTACTCTGGTTGCATGGATTGAGAAACACAAACTGTTAATGTGTAGATGTACACTCTCTCAAAGTTTTGGGATAAAGTATGTCGCGTAGACCAAAACAAGGGAACTCTTCAGCTGCAGCAAGAATGGCAAATCATGATTTAATGGAAAATCCTCCATATTTAGGAGCAGGGGGTGCTACAAATGTTGAATCAGATGACTTTTTGGCGGGAAACATGCTAGAGACTTGTATTGATGACAATGTTTCATTAAGTGATCCAAAAGAGGGAAGCAAGCATGTGAGTATTTTATCAGTTTTATCATCTTTCTCAGAAATTAGAAAATGTTGCCAGTTAATCCTTTGAAATTCTTGACTCTCGAATGACTCGATATAAATAATCCATAAGACTAAGTGAAAATTTTGGAGGTTTGTTGATTAAAATTGAGTTATGCAATCTTCATTCTCACTTCTTGGTATGCGTATTGTGATGTGTGTATATAATTTACAATTGAAAATAAAATCTTAGTTTGAAACATATTTATGATAATATACTCTGAGAATAGATAGACTAATGTCAAACCTCACTGTCTAAAACTCCATGGGACCAAAAGGAGATCAAATATTCCAAGGATATAAAGTATTTGAATTGAGACTTCCTTTGAGTTTGACATATTCATAGTATTAGAGACACCAAACATACCAAAGTTCAATTTAATAACTATTTTTATTCATGGTCACATGGTCACCACTGCCCCACACCGGCAACTTTTTAGCAGTTGAAAAGTATGGCATATGTTTATCTTTGACCATCCTATATGAAAGTATGACACAAACATAAAATGTGTGTTATCATCTAGTTTAAGTGAAATTTGTTATTGAAAATGTTTTATAATTGTACATTTAGTTAAATTAAAAGACTTCGCCTTACTTATATAGGTAACATTTTTTGAGGTGAGCTTTGTATTCTTTGATTTCTTGTTTAACGTGTGACTATGTTGACTATTAAAATCACTTCACAATTGTGCTTTGCTACAACCAAACCAGATACTTGTATTACTTGCAGTGATTAAAAATATAAGTGCTTTGTTGTGTCATGTAGGAAATATTTTATACATCCAGTGTAAAAGGCACTTTCATTAGAAGTACAATAGGAACTACACACATGTGCATTCTTCAGTTTTACTACAATATTTTTTTTTTAATTATAAAATGCATTACTTTCATTATTGACAGAAAACGTCTTGTGGAGTCAAATTTTTGTGTCTTGAGGAAGAAACTTTGAATCATGGCTTTTTTTTATTTAAGGAAATATGTAGTTGTTAAATGTTGAAAAGTTAAAAAAAAAAACTCAATAAGATTTGTGGATGATTGGAATGCATGGGTTACTTTGTAACATGGAAAAAAAAAAGTCTACAAAAATTCTCAATTTCGTAATTGAATTTTTTAAATGAGAATATCATAAACGTTATACACTACCAGTATGTTGAAATATATATATGTCAATTTGAAGCAACAACTAGATTTAATTCATGATATTTTACTTATTATTAATTTTTGGATCAAAACAGATGTTTTTCCTAACCTCCAGTTTAATGACCTTGAACTTTGAGATTAATTTAGGTGTCATATACTACAAATTATTAAAATGATTATGTTTTATTAAGCAATGCTTCAATTAAAAATACTTGAAGCTTAAAGGTCCAAAGTTATGAAATGTAGTACAAAAAAAAACTTTGACAGAAAACCAAAGTAAAGGTGGACAGAGTCTGACAGACCGAAAACCCTGAAAAAGTAAGGCAGTGGTCCGATATGTGAAAAAAAAAAAAGATATATATATACAATCGCTAGTTGTTTTTCTAATGTAAGCCCTCATAAAATCTTGCATTTTGTTTGTCATAACAATACAAACATATCACAATGATATAACATGACATCATAACAAGGAACTGTGTGGGAAAATAGATTTGAAATGATTCTCTACTTTGAGGCTTTTAAATTCACATTGAAATTTAATTTTATTGAAAACATGTTTATTTGAGTGCACTTATTGACTAAGCTATTAGCCCTTGATCTGAGAGAGGGGAATGTTTAACAGACATCACAATCAGTCAACCAATATAATAATATTTATATGTATGTCAGTAAAGTGTAGACCAGATGCTGTCCTCTATTAGAATTATTGAAATGTAGCCTGAAATATTGGTCAATTATCATGAAACTAGAACATTGGAGATAAGTCATGATATAATTTATAACATATTGCAGAGACAAGAAGGTTGCATCACATTTATGTGATTTGTAATTTACAGGGGGTCTGACACTTTGGATCCTCCCCAAAAATTCAAAATATCATCATTACTACTGTGTCTCTTTATCCATCATAATCCATGGAAGATTTTTTTCATTGTAACAATGTAATTGTGTGTTTGTGTGTGTGTGAGTTTAAGCTGTTTTAATGATAATTTACTTAAATAGCTAAAATACAAGTGTTTAGTTGAGTGACATAACATATCCCATTTGTTCAGCATGTCCTAATTTTTAACTATATGTTGTTTGTGTTCTATTTCAGGAAAAGAAAGGTAGTACTGCAATGATTGCAGATCAGAGGAAAGGGGTGGTAATCCAGGACAAGGGGGAACAACACAAGCCCCGCAAACCCAAACAACGCCAACACAAACCGGAACTGGTGAGTGGTACACCACTTTAATCTGGAGAATTTAATTACCATGAGCAAGCAGTCTCACCTAATTACCCAGAAAATGAGAAATAAAGTTGTCACAAATGAAAAGTAATATACATTAAGGCCATGTTGCCTGATTGAGGATAAAGCATGGGAATATAGGTTGGGTCTAATTTTTTTGTATTTAAAATCACCTGCAAATGTGAAGCTAAATACTTATAAATAAATTAAACATAAAGAATTGTTTTCTGGTGGTGAAAAAAGTTATAAAACGGGCAAATTTTAGTCGGTAGGGAGAGGGCACACAATTTTTTTTTAAGGATGGCCTTACCAAGTTTTACTACAATGGATTTCTCAACCATACTAGAGATTCACTGTTAGAAACTTTTGACACCAAGAAGGGAAATGTAGGCAAGGCTTATAGGATTCAGTGACCAACTGTTTAATATATTGTAGGATGTGGCTAAAGAATTCAAAAAGTGCAAAGAAGAGGAAGCAACTCGTTTGGATCTTAGCAAATCCCAGGTAACATTTTATATATAAAGATAATAATAAAGAGGGTTTATTTAGGCAATACCTGCTGCCAAATCATTTATGTTTTTGTAATCTAATGAAATATTTTCAAATCACATATACTGCTAATGTTTGATATTTACAACTCTGTCAGTTAATTAGTTATATATTAGTCATTGGGAATGAAAATTTCTTAGCTGTAAGCATTAATTCATTTTAAGCGTGTTCGCTCTAAGTGTGTTTTACTGTATGTACTTCAATAAATCTAGTACGAAATTTTTTCTTTTAGATTACTGTGATACCAAATACAGTTAAAGACGTGAGTGACTTATTTCCTTTAAGTAAAAAATAAAGTTTTCATTAAATGGCCCTCGTATCACAATTCTTCATAATACTAAACAGAATTCAAAAGTGAAGATAAGCTATTTGTTCATTCAAATGAATTGTTATATCCATGCATTCATACTATGTGCTTGCATTAAATGATCTTTTTTTCTGTATAACCTGTAGTTGTCACAGTTACAAGAATTTTACCTGTATGGGAATAAGCTGGCCACATTGCCCCCGGAGATTGGAGCTTTGACAAACTTGACGAAGCTGGGACTAAGTGAAAACTCCTTAACGACCCTTCCAGAATCTCTTCAATGTCTCAAGCATCTCCGCGTGCTAGACTTACGACACAACAGACTCAATGAGGTCAGATTTTCCATTTGTATTAATAACTTTTTGAAATGAAAAAAAGATCTCAAAAAACTATTGTGTGAAATAATGGTTTGAACAAACCATATGTGCATTTTAAGCAAATTTTATAAAATTGCTCTCTTTATAATATTATTTATTTAAAAAAATTGAATTTTTTTTCATGGATGAATTTCTCACAGATTCCAGAAGTGGTGTATAATCTTAGATCCTTAACAACACTTTTCCTTCGATTTAATCGAATCAAGCATGTGGAAGAAGCTATTAGAAATTTAACAGTAAGTTATTCTGCAAGTTTCAATTCATTCTTCATCTGAAATGAATTGTCAGGAAACATATTGGCTTAAAAAATTGGTATATGTAAAGATTGACACAAAAGAAATTTTAAAACCTTGTAAAAATCCAAATCATTTTGTATTAAAAAAAAAAAAATCATACATGTAAGTATTGGACAGCTGTAGCAAATTATATTAATAATTTGATGAATTAATAAATTAATAATTTAATAGATAAATAAAAATGAATTTGAATAAAAGGGAAAAATTATTATTTAAAGGAACCCTGTTGAAAAAGTTTTTTTGAAAACTTAATCATTGTTTGCATCTGGACAAGTTTTGAACGTTTATTGAAAGAACAAAGGAAGATGATTTTTTTTTTTACAAAAAATTATTTTCATGAATTTTGTAGAAACTTACCATATTTAGCTTGCGAGAAAATAAGATATCTAAACTGCCACAAGGTATCGGCCAGCTGGTGAATTTGCTCACGTTCGACATTTCCCACAATCATCTGGAGCACTTACCTGAAGGTTAGACATTTAAAAAAAAAATTGCTTCTGAAATAAAGATGTTCTAATTTCAGATTTTTTTTGTGTGTGTTAAGGACAGATGATAACTTTTATCAAAAATTCTGCAAATTACAACCTTGGCTATATGAGTAATATGAATACATTTAACTGTATAAATTTTGATTTTTCATTCAAAGTTTCACAATAATGGAGTTTTAAGTGACATTAAAATGGAATAGATTAATATGAATTTTTGCAGAAAGGTTGAATTTTGAACATCACAGAAAGTTTAAACATTCTCAATATCTTTTGAAATATATGTCACACCATTTACAACCAAAATAGATAAAAAAAAAAATATAAACCAATACAAGCATGTATATTTTTTGGTCTTATCATCTGTCCTTAAGTCGTATATACTTAATGATTTGTGAGTTAGTGTGTTTTAAGTCTTGTGTACTTGGTAATTTAGTTTGTTAAATAAGTGGAGTATGATCATTGATGACCATTGAATGTTTTTTTTTCCAGAGATTGGAAACTGTGTGATGCTTAATTCCTTAGATCTACAGCACAATGAACTCTTAGACATACCAGAATCTATTGGCAATCTCAAGTCACTCTCCAGACTGGGGCTGAGGTAGGAGACGAAAATAACTAAGTACAGACCCCAGGATCATGAAGCAGATTTAGACTTTCACTTTTGATTTGCTTGACTTCAACAAAATCAGAGTACAACATAAAGATTTTTGACTTTAAGCTTAGATGTTTCATGATCCCAGGGCCAGGAGTATACAATCTCTGACAGACATTCAAGCTGTTAATGCCAATTTGCATGTAATGACACAAAGTCCATTGCCTGTTAACTTTAAAATTTTCAGTTTTTTCGAAACCCCTGAATCATATTGAACAATTTATGATTGTATCAAGACCTCATTATAAAAGTGGCATGCTTTTTCTATTGACAATACTGGCCAAAGAAAATGAAGTAGATCACCCAGTATGAGTGTTATATGTAATAAGTGTATTTTTTTTCTATTTTTATTGAAATGGCTAAAAGATAATACTATTAGTAGGTACATGCACAATAGTTTATCCTCTGTGATATGTTTTAAGTTAGCATTCTGTTGTCAGAGATTTCTGTGTTTTAAACATGGTACTAAAAACGGCACTCCGTTGACAGGTATAACAGGTTAACAAGCATCCCAAAGAGCCTGGCTAACTGTGTCATCATGGAGGAGTTCAACGTGGAGGGAAATAATATTGGACAACTTCCCGTAAGTACAGGATTGTAATACATTTTATTCACCAAAATTTTGGAGTGTCATATGATAGAAAAGTACATTTACTTCAGTTAAATTCAATTTATTGACATCACCATGTTGGTATTCAGTCATAATAAGAAATCAAAAGTGACAGACAACAAAAAAAAAAGAAATATCGTAACGTATAGAAACTATATGTGATTTTGCGCTTTATAAATTAATGAAATAATAATAGTAATTGCAAGCAATACAATTTAACGTAATTCATTATATTTGAATATATGTATATCGGTCTCTGTTTTCCTGTTATAGGAGGGACTCTTATCGAGTTTGACTGGCCTACGCTACATTACACTGTCCAGAAATGCATTTCAGTCGTACCCAAGTGGAGGCCCAGCACAATTCTGTTCTGTTTATGTAAGATATACATGTACTATTATATATACAGAAATAATGGGTTTGATTATTATATAACCTCACATGAACAAACAGATAATTTAATGATGATTGATTATATGGCTATTTTTTTTTTATTATGTAGAATCTCAACATGGAACACAATCAGATCAATAAAATTCCACTGGGGATCTTCTCCCGAGCTTCGAGTCTGACAAAGCTTAACATGAAAGATAATCAGCTGACATTCTTGCCATTAGGTAAGTCACACAAATTATAAGGTCATTCAGTTTTTGTGGCAATATTTTAAAAGTAAGAATTAATATTTATAGTTATACTCTTGTGTCAGAGGTTCAACGTAACTTTTCAGATAATGGTTTCTCTTTTATGTGGTTTTGATATCTTCTTTTTACATTGGTTTCAAGTGACAAATATTATGAAACATTTGTGATGCAGGGTATGATCATGGAATACACATTAAGATATTCTAAATTTAATTATTGATTATTCTAAATCTAATTTGAAAGTAATTTCTCATAGTTGACTTTTGGGTGTTTTATAAACAGATATTGGTAGCTGGTCCAATATGACAGAATTAAACTTGGGAACAAATCAGCTGACTAGAGTTCCAGAAGATATACAAAATTTAGAAAAATTAGAGGTCCTTATTCTTAGTAATAACTTATTAAAGGTATGTAGACATGTGAACAAATACATCTATATTATTTTATTGCTTTGTTTTTTTCGACATACGAATTAATTACTGAATTAAATACTGCATGAACAATCAACATTTAATACAGATCACACACTGTGACCCCCGTCATGCAGTGATACGTTGGTGCTTGTCTTTAATTTGTATACTTGATTTCTGCAGCGTCTACCATCCAGCATTGGTAATCTAAAGAAACTTCGAGTTCTTGATTTGGAAGAAAACAAACTAGAATCACTACCTCAAGAAATAGGTAATTTCTCAACTACACATGAATATCTGAGATACTCAAGTTGCAGAAATACTGTAAACCAACTTTTATTCATCTATGAAGGGTCTGCTAGTTTCGACCTACCTCACCTGCTAAATGTTAATCTCCGCGAACCATTTATTTTGCTTTGTATTTGTAGAGAACATTTCCTCAATTTTGAAAATAAATCATCATGGGTTGATTTCAAAGTGATAATTTGCGAATAAAAAAAAAGCAACAAATAGTTGGTTTACAGTGAACATGTACTTCAAAATCTGACATCTACTCTGTATGTTCTGTTTATTTACAGGACAGTTACAGGAGCTGACACGACTTGTTGTCCAGTCTAATCAGCTGACCAGTCTGCCTCGTGCCATCGGGTAACACTCTTCTTTACTTACTCAACATTGATGTGTTTTTATTCTATACTTGATAAACATTTCAGCATTGTCTTCCATACTTACTCAACATTGAAGTTTTTTTATTCTATACTTGATAAACGTTTCAGCATTGTCTTCTATACTTAATCAACATTGAAGTTTTTTTATACTTAATAACCATCCAAGAATTCTATTATTATTTCAAGAAAATCCTGGTTGATGTGTTCAACTTGTCAAGATACACTCTGCAAATAATTTTATTTTTTTCTAATTTATTTATTAATCTGTATGTTTTGGTGTGATTTCGATAAAGAAATGTATGACACATGTTCATTTAGATGAATATTTCTCATGAAATATTTTAGATGCCTGTCCAAACTAGAATACCTTGGTGCTGGGGAAAATAACTTGACATCTCTTCCTGCTGAAATAGGTATACATTGTTTTATATATACTTGTAACTCTACTGTACTCATTTGAAGATGATTGAAAATCTTAATTGATATCCTGACAATTATTTGTTTGACCAAGTGATTGAAGATTATGTTATAAATGAGTTCAGTGCTAGAATAAGTAGAATTGAAGTCCAGGCATCTTCACACTCTAGTTGTATGATCATTATTTTGAAGGAGCGTCTCTATACAGTTTGTGTTCTATGTTTTATGGACGTTGGAGAATCTGGAATCTCTGTACTGTATATGCATTGACTGTACAATACTATGTTTTATGGACGTTGGAGAATCTGGAATCTCTGTACAATATTTGTATTGATTGTACAATACTATGTTTTAGGGACGTTGGAGAATCTGGAATCTCTGTACTGTATATGTATTGACTGTACAATACTATGTTTTAGGGACGGAGAATCTGGAATCTCTGTACTGTATATGCATTGACTGTACCATACTATGTTTTAGGGACGTTGGAGAATTTTGGATCTCTGTACAATACATATATTGATTTTTAGGGATGTTGGAGAATCTGGAATCTCTGTACTGTATATGTATTGACTGTACAATACTATGTTTTAGGGACGTTGGAGAATCTGGAATCTCTGTACTGTATATGTATTGACTGTACATTACTATGTTTTAGGGACGCTAGAGAATCTGGAATCTCTGTACTGTATATGTATTGACTGTACAATACTATGTTTTAGGGATGCTAGAGAATCTGGAATCTCTGAACTGTATATGTATTAACTGTACAATACTATGTTTTAGGGACGTTGGAGAATCTGGAGTCTCTGTACTGTATATGTATTGACTGTACATTACTATGTTTTAGGGACGCTAGAGAATCTGGAATCTCTGTACTGTATATGTATTGACTGTACAATACTATGTTTTAGGGATGCTAGAGAATCTGGAATCTCTGTACTGTATATGTATTGACTGTACAATACTATGTTTTAGGGACGCTAGAGAATCTGGAATCTCTGTACTGTATATGCATTGACTGTACAATACTATGTTTTAGGGACGTTGGAGAATCTGGAATCTCTGTACTGTATATGTATTGACTGTACAATACTATGTTTTAGGGACGTTGGAGAATCTGGAATCTCTGTACTGTATATGTATTGACTGTACAATACTATGTTTTAGAGATGCTAGAGAATCTGAAATCTCTGTACAATATTTGTATTGATTGTACAATACTATGTTTTAGGGACGTTGGAGAACCTGGAATCTCTATACAGTCCATCTATTTTTAGCTCTTCTGAGCCAAAGGCTCAAAGAGCTAATGCTATGGCCATTTGTGCGGTGTGCGGTGTGCGTTAACTTTTTAGAATATGGGCCATAACTCACACCCCTTGGCCAAACAGTACCAAATTTGTCACAGGGTATCCTTGGCCCAAGGGCTACCCTTTATACTAAAATAAGGGTTGGAACCCTAAAACAAGGGGAGATAATCAGGAAAACAAAACCAAAAGTACTGGTTGCTAAAAAATCTTCTTCTCCAGAACCACCCGGCAGATTTTTACCAAACTTACATACAAGGATTAGGATATGTTGAAGATTAAAAATTGTTCAAGGCATGACCCTGGGGCAAAGGGCGTGGTCTCAAGGTCACTTCAAAGTTGACCTAAATTTACAATTAATAAAAACGTGTATATTTTTCTTACTATAAGGACTAGGATCATCAAATCTTGTAAGTTGATACATCTTACGACTTCACATCATGTTAACTCAAAAGTAGGTCACAGTGACCTACTTTTTAAATTTTGTGGGGATTTGTTTTCAAATTGATTTGAAGGCATATTTTGGACACTTTAAGGCCTATGATCATCAAACTTTGTCAGTTGATGCATCTTGGGTCCTTGAACAATGACAACTTAAAAGTAGGTCACCGTGACCTACTTTTTGAACTTTATGACTTATCCATTTAAAAACATTAAATCCCATTATTTCAGACACCGGGAGGTTTAGAATCATCAAATCTTGTACTTTGATGCATCTAGGAACCTTAAAACATATTTATGAAAAAGTAGGTCACTGTGACCTACTTTTTGAATTTTGCCAACATTTATTTTCAAATTGTTTAAAATGCATATTTTGATTACCTTCAGACCTACGATCATCAAACTTGGTCAGTAGATGCATTAATTGAAAAATGTCGACCAAAATGTAGGTCACGATGACCTACTTTCGACATTTTATGGCTATATTTCAGTATCTTAGGTATTTATTGGCTTAGAATCATCAAACTTTGTGAGTGGATGCATATTTAGTTTTCGGAGAGTGACGACCAAAAAGTAGGTCATGGTGACGTACTTTTGACATTTTATGGCTTTATTTAAGTATCTCCGGTACTTATTGGCTTAGAATCATCAAACTTTGTGAGTTGATGCATCTTGGGCGGAGAGTGAACCAAAAAGTAGGTCATGGTGACCTACTTTTACATTTTGTGGCTATAATTAAGTATCTCTTGTACTTATTGACCTAAAATCATCAAACTTTGTCAGTTGATGCATCTTGGGTTTTCGGAGAATTCGACCAAAAAGTAGGTCACAGTGACCTACTTTTGAATATCTCAGGTACGTATTAGCTTAGAATAATCAAACTTTGTCAGTTTAGGCACCTTGGGTTTTCGGAGAACGTCAACCAAAAAGTAGGTCACTGTGACCTACTTTTGACATTTTATGGCTTTATTTAATTATATCTGGTACTTATTGGCTCGGAATCATCAAACTTTGTCAGTTGAGGCATCTTACGGTTTCATTGAATGTCCAACAAGAAGTAGGTCACAGTGACCTACTTTTGAAATATCGCTATATTTAAATATCTCAGGTACTTATTGGCTTAGAATCAGCAAATTTTCTCAGTTTAGGCATCTTGGGTGTTTGGATAACATCGACCAAAAAGTACGTCACCGTGACCTACTTTTGACATTTGATGGCTATATTTAATTATCTCTGGAACTAATTGGCTTAGAATTGTCAAACTTTGTCAGTAGATGCAGCTTGGGTTTTCAGAGAATGTTGACCAAAAAGTAGGTCATAGTGACCTTCTTTGGAATCTCAGGTACATATTGGGTTTGAATCTTTGAATCATCAAACTTTGTCAATTAATGTATCTCGAGTCCTCAGAAAATTCCAATCAAAAGGTAGGTCACTGTGACCTACTTATGGTATTTTATAATTATATTATGATATCTTCAGTCTTAACTGGCTAAATATTATCATACTTTGTAAGTTGATGCATTTTGGGTCTTATGATACTAATAGAGTTGAAGGCTTCTAATAGAAGTGATAGATTGTACAATTTATGAGAAGAGCGATTCAAGGCCCTTGGGCCTCTTGTTTGTAATACTCTGTGTTTTAGAAACATTGGAGAATCTGGAATCTCTGTACAATACTATGTTTTAGGGACGTTGGAGAATCTGGAATCTCTGTACTGTATATGCATTGACTGTACAATACTATGTTTTAGGGACGTTGGAGTATCTGGAGTCTCTGTACTGTATATGTATTGACTGTACAATACTATGTTTTAGGGACGTTGGAGAATCTGGAATCTCTGTACTGTATATGCATTGACCGTACAATACTATGTTTTAGGGACGTTGGAGAATCTGGAATCTCTGTACTGTATATGCATTGACTGTACAATACTATGTTTTAGGGACGTTGGAGAATCTGGAGTCTCTGTACTGTATATGTATTGACTGTACAATACTATGTTTTAGGGATGCTAGAGAATCTGGAATCTCTGTACTGTATATGTATTGACTGTACAATACCATGTTTTAGGGACGTTGGAGAATCTGGAGTCTCTGTACTGTATATGTATTGACTGTACAATACTGTTTTAGGGACGTTGGAGAATCTGGAATCTCTGTACTGTATATGTATTGACTGTACTATGTTTTAGGGATGCTAGAGAATCTGGAATCTCTGTACTGTATATGTATTGACTGTACAATACCATGTTTTAGGGACATTGGAGAATCTGGAATCTCTGTACAATATTTGTATTGATTGTACAATACTATGTTTTAGGGATGTTGGAGAATCTGGAGTCTCTGTACTGTATATGTATTGACTGTACAATACTGTTTTAGGGACGTTGGAGAATCTGGAATCTCTGTACATCAACGACAATCAGGAGCTCCACAGCCTTCCCTATGAACTGGTTCTCTGCAGCAACTTACAGATCATGAGCATAGAAAACTGCCCTCTTAGTCAGATTCCACCAGAAATTGTCGCCAAAGGACCCTCTCTTGTTATCCAGGTGACCATCTTATATCTATTTAGCTAATAATCTCTTTCAAGAAAATCCATTACCACCACAACGTTCATGTTAATGGTCAATTATATTTAAATTATAAGATTCCAATAATGCTTCCCAGTCAAAGGAAATAAAATTTTCAAACATTAATCTTATATATTTTTAGGGGAAAATATTTTCAGATTTTTTTTTGGTTGGCAACTACGAATATTTTTTTACTTTGTTAATGCCACAAAGGATTTGAATCTTGATATGCTATTATTTAATTTCAGTATTTACGAATTCAAAGTCCATTTTGTCCAATATGACGACCGAGACATGTCCCTTGTTTTGTCATCATTCAGTAATAAACAGGAGGTGTCGGCTTCATCTTCATGGGGACGGAAGTGGGAGATTGGTCGTTTTAGTCACGTGTTGACGATGGAAATCCAGCTGACAATCACGACGGATGTCAATTCTTTTGAGATGTTTCCGCTTAATGACCGAAGTGTTAAAAAGACAAATATGTCAGTGGAGATGTACAGGAAAAATTCAATTGACTGGTTTTTGTTCTTGCTTTTGATTCATATGAGAATGCTTCCAAGTCATTCTGGCATACCCAGTATAGAAGTAATCAAATCATTTTTGCCTGATTCCATGTCAATACAAGAGCAATTCAGCATTTCCTTACAATTTTATGTCATTTTGTTTGTTTAGGCATAATAAATTTTTGTACACATTGAATGCCATTGGACATATATATATATATATCTATATATTAATTTTTGTCACTACAGAATGTTTTTTAGTGTGTGTTCTAGAATCATGTTCATATTACTGTGATAAATTAAGCTATGTTAAAGGAGAACATTACAAGTTTATATTCTTGTCTGTAGCTTGTGTCACTGAATACATTGTATTTGAATATTTTACAGATTTAGTCATTCAAAGTTTATGTTCTTTAGACAAGATCATGAAGAATGTCATACATAGCAGTAACTTCTTCCTATTTTAAGACATGTACCCCCCACAACAAAGTTGTATTTTGGGTATTCTGGAATCACCAGGGCTCTTAGTTCATGACCATCAATCTGTCTGTATTTTTTCCCCAGCTTATCTTTAAACCAAACTTGCACATATAGTGTATTATCTAGAGTGGCTTCAGAATTTGACCTAACATCTATGTTTCAGTGATTCTGATTAAACTAAATGATTGATAAATAATTTGAAAATTTCAGATATACACATTTATTCCGGGACTGGATTATTTGCACCCAAAACTTGTCAAAGAAGATTTAAGTTGTTTGCAAATGGCAGTCCAAAAAAGAAAATGTTGTAGGAATATCTGTATTTTCCCAGAAGCCTTAACAAAGAAGCTTATTTTGGTTGTCAGTCATGTTTGATTGGGATGTGAATTGTACCTTTAATTTTATTTACATTTAATGCTTGATTGATTAAAAAATATCCTTGAGATCTGTCGTTTTCATCCTGAGGTTGCAGCAATACCAACTATTTTCTAAAATGTTGAAAATGTAACAAAAATTGTGTAGTTCATGTATGATAGATTGTTGTTGAAGGCTTTTGGAAATTAACTCATTTAAGTATCTTTTAAACCTGATCTTCTTGATGTGCTCCTGATGCATTACAATAATAATAATTCAAAACTGCTCATCACTATGCTTTCTTCCTTGCAGGATTTCAAAGCTGACATTCTAATACCCTGCAAAGAGATGGGAGGGTGAGGGCATAGGTCCTCTTAGAAAAACTAAAGTTCTTTCAGATTTGTCACTTCATGTATACATTAAACTGTTTTATGTTCCTTTTTTTATGTTTTTTTTTTTAAAAGACGTTAAGAGAGAGTTATCTACCTTTGTCTTATCTTCAATATTTGAAGTCAAGATTAGTTTAGGAAATGTATGGAAAGAATGTGAATTAGGATCTGCAAAGGACTCAGATTTTTTTCATATGCAGTATAGTCTTGTCCATGATGTAATTATATCTATATATTTACCTTTTCATTTCAGTTTTAATTTAAGATGTCTGTCTAAACATTGTATTGGTGTGAATTCTCTGTGCTTAGATGAAGTTGTATGAGTGTAGTATGTTTAGAACTGAATATAAATACTGCTTATGTGCAACAAAAAAAGGAAATTGGGCTGAATTTGGTGCATTTTATCTACATTTTTTAATAATCTCCAAAGAAGTAGAAAATTCTTATATAAGCCCACCTTGAAGACTGGTTGTTTATTTAAGTGTATATCATGTCAACAAAGCCTTCAAATGATACAAATAGCATTTGGTTATAATTCTGTTGCTAAGAAAAATGTGTTCTTTCCTCACAGTCTTAATATAAACCTTTTTGAAACCTTGAGCTTGATTTTTTTGGGAAAGCTTACTTGATGCGGTTATATGGAAATGTTGTATGTGATTTGTTTAAAAAAAAAAAACTTGCCTGTCCACATTTAGTCTTATTCCTTTTTGAATCTCTGAAATGACATTAAATTGAGGCAATATTCAGAGTAATTCTTAGAAATTGGTGCCTCTCTGGGTTACCGGTAATCCTTAAAAATTGAGACTGTGTTAAGAGTAATAGCATTTTGGGGGTGTTTTAAAATTGAGGCAGTGTTGAGAGTAATTCTTTAAAATTGGTCTAAATTTTAATCCTCTACTGCCAAGTGATAATCCGTAAAAATTGAGGCAATGTATTGAGAGTATTTCATGAATATTGAGGCAGTGGAAATGGGATGATTTAAGTCCACAAAAAGGGAGAAAACTGCCATAAATGGAACTCTTCGTAACTGTTCATACACTACAGTGGTTTTTGGGGCAAGTTAATTCTTACTAAACTTTCATGAATGATGCATCATAGAATGCTTACTATCACATTCACACCAGCTTAAAACTAGAGGTACTGTTTGACCTCCTTTTAAAACCTTTAATTTTGGTCATACCCGGTAACTTTTGAACGGTTGATGCATGGGCTTTCATATTATACAGGTATTTCACAGGCATATTCATTGAGACATTTCTTGGGGTAACAAAAATTTTGATCTTTTGACTTTCACATTGGAGTTTGACTTGCATTTGAGAAACCATAACCTTCACCCTATGCTGCAACAGAAGGTCATCCATTTTTACAAGCACATCTTGTTCTAATAAAATTTAATATTTTAACTCCCTTTGACATAAAAAGACCCCTTTTGATCTTTAGGTCAAAGGTTAGAATTTTATATGAAAGGACAAGGTAGGGTAACAGCCAAATTTGGCCCCTCATTTGATGACTAAAAATCAGAACACTGGTAAAATTGTGATAGTTTGTAGTTAAGAACTTTAAATGATGCTTCCTTTAAAACCAGCAATGATTTGGATTCAAGGCTTACATGGAGGTCACTAGAGGGTGCAGAAGTAGGACATTTTCCTGAATTTCTTCAACTCTGGTTGAATTTCATAATTGTGATACTTTTCTCTTCGGGAAATATAGAGTACAAGCTTGCCTATCTGAGATTTTTACACATAAACTGCATCTGTACTAATGTAAAAAATATATAAATTTAGGGGCAAATGTGCTGTAAAATAGATGAAAATTTACATAAAAGAAAGACTATTTGAAAATTGACCTATTTTCTGACTTCTCTGAGACATCTGTGTATTCCAAAACTTAGAACCAATACTCATTTTGTGGCAGGGATGACAACAGGTTTTTATTGATAAAGTGTTGCATCGTTCTAAAAGACACCACAAATCAGGAGGGCAAAAAAAGGGGTCATAGCCTATCTTTATGTTCTGTTTGAGTTACTAAAGTTTGGGATTTTGCAAAAGAATTAAATAGATTCATATGCTAATAAAAATACTCACTTTGAGGTCAAAATGTTAAAGGTGGAGGTCAGAAATGTACATTTCTTATATACCCGGTAGTATTCGGGAGATAATTTTAGTTTAAATATGCCTCCGTAAATGAAGTTTCGGGGGTATATAGTTTTGTCATAACTTTAAAAGGGTTAGGGCTTAAGATACGCAATCCTTGTGACAAGACCTTTCATTTGATAGCAAGACCTTTGACCCTTTGACCATGACTTTGGAGTTTTGCCTCTTTTTAAAATTTTTAACCTTGGCTGTAACTTTTGAACAGTTAGGGCTAGGGATCCATACTTTACATATGTATTCTATGTGGCAAGACCTTTCATTGGATACCAATTACCTTGACCCTAGAGATTTTTGTCCCCCACTTTCATGAAAGCGAGGGGACATTAAATCTCATTTGTCTGTCCGTCTTTCCATCAGTCTGTCTAGCTGTCCGTCCGTCACAAAAACCTTGCCCATAACTTTTGATTTAGTGGAGCTATGACTTTCATATTTCACATGTGTATTCTTTGTGACTAGACCTTTCTTTGGGTACCACCAAATTTGACCTTGACCTTGGAGTTTGACCCTCTTTTACACAAAAATTCCAAACTTTTACTTTGGCCATAACTTTTGAATGGTAGGTACTAGGACTTTCATATTTCACACATGTATTTTTTGTAGCAAAACCTTTAATTGGATGCCAACAACTTTGACCTTGACCTTTGAGATTTATGTACTTAGGAAAAAACTTTAACCTTGACCAAAACTTTTGAATGCTAAGGGATAGGGCTTTCATACTTCACGTATGTGATCCTTGTGAAAAGACCTTTCATTGGATATCAAGAACTTTGACCGTTTGACCTTGACCTTGGAGTTTTAACTACTTTTTGAAAACTTTAACCTTGGTCACAACTTTTCAACGGTTGATACCAGGACTTCATATTTAACACATGTATTCTTTGAGGCAAGACCTTTCATTGGATACTAACAACTTGACCTTTTGACCTTTGAGATTAACGTACTTATGAAAAAACTTGAAACTTGCCCATAACTTTTGAACGGTAAGGGCTAGGGCTTTGGTACTTCACATATGTAATTCTTATGAGAAGACCTTTCATTGGATATCAAGAACTTTGACCTTGACCTCGGAGTTTAACCTTCTTTACAAAAACTTTGACCTTGGCCACAACTTTTGAATGGTAAATACTAGGACTTTCTTATTTCACATATATATTCTTTGTAGCAAGACCTTTCATTGAATACCAACAACTTTGACCTTTTGACCTTGAAGATTTACATACTTATTAAAAAACTTTAACCTTGACGATAACTTTTGAATGGTAAGGGCTAGGGCTTTTATACTTCACATATGTAATCCTTGTGAGAAGACCTTTCATTGGATACCAAGAACTTTAACCCTTTGACCTTGACTTTGGAGTTGACCTACTTTTAAAAAACTTTAACCTTGGCCATAACTTTTAAATGGTTAGAGTTAGGGTTTTCATCGTTCACATATGTATTACTTGTGACAAGACCTTTCTTCAGAAACCAACAACTCAGACCCTTTCACCCTTGGAGTTTTACCTACCTTTCAAAAATTTATCCTCACTTATAACTTTTGAACAGGTGATGCTAGGGATTTTGTATTTCACAATCGTATTTCTTGTGAGAAAAACCCTACTTTGGGTAATAATATATTTAATTTGCATTTAAGAAAAGTATAATCTTTGTTATTTTGCCATACGGGGTCATCAGTATTTCACTAACACATCTTGTTCCTTATATTGAGAAGAGATAGGGCTTTCATATTTGACTTGTGCATTACCTGTGACAAGATAATTCCGAGCATGCTACGATTTCTTACCTCTTGACCTTGACTTTCATGATTGACCGTATTAAAAAAAAATTCAAATTCAATGATAATTTCTAAATAAATGACATATGATAGGGTGTTCATATTAGACACAATATGTCATAAAAAAAAATAACATCTCACCCACAAAGACACCAAAAGTGGGGACCACAATTCTTTGAATTTGCTTGTAGTACTTATGAAAAAACGTTAACCTTGGCCATAACTTTTGAACGACAAGGGCTAGTGCTTTCATACTTTTGTAACCCTTCATTGGATACCAAGATCTTTGACCTTGACCTTGAAGCTTGACCTACTTTTAAAAAGCAAACCTTGACCATTACTTTTAAAGGTTAGGATTAGTGCTTTCATACTTTACATATTTAATCCTTGTGACAAGACCTTTTATTTGATAGCAAGACCTTTTTAATCTTGACCTTGGAATTTGACCTACTTTTTGAAAAAAATTAACTTTGACCATAACTTCTGAACCGTTCGGGCTAGGGCTTCCATACTTTACATATGTGTTTTTTTTGGCAAGACCTTTCATTGGATACCAATGACCTTGGTCTTGGAGATTTTTGTGCTTATGAAAAAACTTTAACCTTGGCCTACTTTCATATTTCACAATTGTATTTCCAGGGAGAATACCCTACTTTTGGCACCAATGTATTAAATTTGCATTTAAGAAAAGTTTAATCTTTGCTATGGTGCCATACGGGGGCATCAGTGTTTCACAAACACATCTTGTTTCTGTTAGAGTCTTGTTTCTCTCTCCATCTGCATGTATATTTCTCTAGTTTTCCTTTATCCTCTTTATTTTTCCTAACCAAAGGACACAAAATCTATGAAACAGTTCTTTGTGCTTTCAGTTTGTAAAGATAATTGCTCTTTAGTAGATAGCTGAATGCTTCTTGTGTAACTTAAAATCTATACTTCAAGATTACAAAAGCTAATGAATTA